TGAGTCGGTTTAACGCGTTTCTTTGTTGCTTTTGTGTTGAAAATTATTTACGCTTTTTTTTTTATTTTATTTTATTCTATTTTTTTTTTTTTTTTGCCGGCCATATCTTCACATTCACCTTTACTCCACCGTGTGTTCTGTTGAAGTCACATGGCTCCTCATATCCTAATTTTTATTCTTGTGATATTTCCTCTTTCCCATTTCTTTTATTTTCCTTCTAAGCGAGATGTACGTGAATCACTACACTTCATTTCCTTGTTCGTAGTAGACGCTCGTCCCTGATCGAACCCCTAGGATTCATTAGCCCAGGGCTACCGGAAGGTTGTTGGTGCGGCTCAGTGCAGTGCAGGTTGAGATGAAGGTGGTGCGATGATGAAAGGGAAAGAGATAAAAGAGCGACGGTCTAAAAAAAGCATTAAAAAAGACAGCGTCAAACTTGAACGCAAAATTTTGTATTTTAACCTTTTTCCTTCCTATTTTCCTGGACGCACCAATATCGATACCCTTGTAGCTTCATTGTTCCTTGGGCTTCAAGTATGAATTTAACCGATATTTTGTCTCATCTTGTAATATTTGTTTCGAGAGTTAAGTTTTTGAACGTATAGAAGTCAGTATTATCAAGTCAGAGTAGAGAATAGGGGAATTAGCTCAATATCAACAGTCCCTTCGATGGTATTAACAAAAGGAGAGGGGAAAAGAAATCATGAATAAATACAATCATCGTAACCCGTAAACCAATAAGTATATAAAAAGAAAGACCCTAGACCCCAGATGTGACTATTTCCAGCGTCACAGGACGCGGGTGCGTCATCCAAAAATTTTTTTCTGTAAATGACCAGCCGTCCAGCCTGCAACTTACTATACGCCGGCAAGGGGAAACAAAGTACGCATGATCTGATTGTTGGTGTACACTCTTTCCAAATCGACACCATTAAATGAGTTTGTCAAACTGTGCCTCCCTTTTCGCCTTGTATAATCCAAAGTCCAGAGAAAGCAAAAAGCACCCAAGACAATTACCTCACAAATACATATCGTCGGATAATATTGCCAAAACAAAGACAGATGGTACCTATACCAGAACGTATGTGGCTCAATTTTGTATGTTAAATGTCAAAATCCCTTGCGCGCCATGACGTTAGTTGCAGAGTCGTATCGTAGATATTGGGTATCAGAATCTGCAGCATTATATTGCTCATTATGATCAGATGATGGAACACTACTTGACGCGGCCCATGATATCCTCCACGTCCTTTTGGTTGACAACCACGCCGCCCTCAGAACACCGGGCCTTCGTGCGTAGCTCGGAGCAAAGGTTATCCACGTCGATTTCGCCATTGCGGAACTTCTCCATAGACTGCAGACGATCCCTGTAGCAGATAAAGTCAGTATTCAGTCGCCAATCCATCAAGCTCGCGTCAGTCGTAACATACCATATCTTCGTACAAGACAGCATCTGTGACTTATCCTCGCCAGGGACCACTTCCTCATCCATCTTGTTGTCGATCTCAGCAATCAGGTCCTTCTTTGGTGCTTGTTGATTGGCCACCTCATTAAAATTGTGAGATGGACTTCCCAGATCCGGCAATGGGAAGGCATCATCGAAGAAAGTACCGAAGTCCTGCGACAGGATTGCGTCTTGGGGCTCCCGCCAGTCTCCAAACAGCACTGGATCGAACTGGCCTCCATTTTGTTGAGCTAGGAGGTCAAGCCCCGGTCCAGGTGGCTGCTCAGAGTTGCTGCTGGGTTGGCTGGGGGTGTTCGACACGCTCTCGCTCTTACTTCGTACAGCTGGAATAGGGTTATTGATGTTGCCGCACGCCATGCCGAGTTGTGCGCAGAAGGACTCCTCACCGTCAATGGTGTTGTAGGTACAAGTATGATGATGATGATTCTGAACGTTGTCATTCATCTTAGTGGCGGGCGAGGTTGATGTCGGCTCTGGTGAAGTGCCATTGGAAGACAACAGCTGACTCTGATGCGAGTCAGATGAGGACGACGGAGAATCAGAGGTAGACGTATCATGCGACGACGTCGACTGCTTGATGTTGTACACCGATGGAACCTGGGGTGAGGGGTTGTTGGACATTCCACCGGCGGCTTTGCCGTGATGAATTGAACTTTTGAGCGATTCCCGGGTCAAGACACCTGGAACATTGGAGTCACTCGTTGCCGGGGAAGAAACCTCCTTTGGCCTGTTCTGGTTTGACTTAGTCAACGGGCCATTGAATATATGCCCCCCGGGAAGGTCTCCGAACTTGGGGAAGTCGAACATGAAGTCATTATTGTTGAGGCCGTACAAACTCCTCGAATGAGCTCCTGGAATAGCGGTCATGGCAGAGATTCCGCTCCCGCTGGTCAGCCATGAGAGACGCTTACGGTATTCCCTGAGTTCCACCTGCAAACGCTCGACGTGGGCTCGTAGGAGTCCGTTTTCCTGGTTGGCATCGTCAGACGCTTTCTGCAGCTCATCCACCTTGGTCTCCAAGTCCTTCAAATGCTTCTCCTTGCGCTCACGGAATGCCCGCTGCGCTGCACGATTCTGCGCCTTGCGCTTCTACAGAGCACGTTAGTGAAACTAGCTCGGTCAATCTACTTCACAAATTTCAATGCGTACCGAAGTAGGCTCCGAAGTCAACGGCTTTCTACCTGGTTTCTTCGCTGCTTTATCATCACTTTCCCTACGCTTCTTTCCGGATTCCTCGTTTTCTTCGTTGTCTGACATGTCTTTTCGCTTTTCGCCGGATTCATGTTCCTCGGACAGTGGGAGGCTTCCCGGTAGGTCACCAATTAGATCCTCGGAACCTTGGAAGTCGAAGTCAAGCTCAGGGTTGAAGTCAAGGAAAGGGCTCTCATCTTCTCCATAACCTAGGCCCCCGGAATTCTGGTGCGAGCGATTGAATCCCGGGGACATGCTAAAGCTGCCAGCCGACATGTTCCCGGGAGTACTATCTGGGTCTGTCTTCGCTTGAGATCTTTGCTTATCACTTTGTTGTTTCTGAAGGGGTTGGTTTGAGGAGAGAGCGGCAAGAAGGAGGTCTTGCTGATCGGGGGAGAGGTAGAGACCTTGATGATAAAGAGCGTTGTAATCGGCCATCGTAAACTGTCGTATCTTCCAAAGAACAGGAGATGAGATAAGGATGCGAAAACACGCACGTCAGGGCCACTTTGTACGCTGGAAGTGACTTGTTATCAAATACAGAACCCCTATTTCGCTGTTTAGACGGACTGTTACAGCAAGGCCGGGCTTCCCGCCCGTTCTTTGTATCGAATGAAGCAACAAACAGATAAGGATATCTGCGCGATATGTGGTTCAAGATGAATGACCAAGGTGGTTCTAGTTGAAGAGGTCTGGCGCCCGAAAACTTGGAATACAGTCGATGGCAGAGAACGTAACAACGAAGAGCCCTATGGTGAAGGGCAAATCAACAAGAGAGAACTGACTTGAGCCGAAAGTCACTGGCAAGGCTTTCGATCAGAGATAGAGCAGACGGCCGAGGAAGAACGGGGAAGAAAAACAATGTCGGAGTCAAGAAGCGGGATAGCCGCACGATAATCCGAATGCAGCCAAACCCGAGACGCAGGGGGGAAGAAAGACAAGTAGGAACGGTGAACAAGAGCGTGCGGTGAAAAAAAGATGGAGGTTGATTGAGAGTAGTGTAGGTGTGGAAAGGAGGGGCTTGAGGGGGGAGGCGAATGAGGCTAGAAACGGGCAGTAGTAGATCAGAGGAAATGAAATTGAGGCGATATACGTCAGATCGATTGGTGCCTACTAGGGGGGGGACCAATCGAGAAGTTGCAAGGCGAGAAGTCTGAAGAGGATGAAGGAAGAGAGGGAAGAGTTGGCGTAAGAGGGGGAAATGACAGAAAAGAAAGCGCTAGACTCCTTCCATCTTCGCATTGCAGTCATTCGATACGGTACTGCAGTCCCGTCTTTTAGCCTGAGGTACCGGTGGCCTCGAAAGAGCGGCAGCGGGTTCGAGGGTTCGCTATTGGCTGCCTAGAGTGAGGTTACTCTTCGGGCCAATTGGATCTCCCGATGGGGGACGCTGTTTTGAGACCTGAAAATCCCCGTGTGCTGCTTAGAAATCAGGCCAGACCCTCTTTTTGATTTTCTGCCACTTTCCATTCCCTCATTTTTAAAGCCGCTGGTGCCCGCCACTCAGCAGATCCCATCTCTCCACATCAATACTCTAAAACCGGCATGTATCGGTCGACAAGAATAGGCTTTTTTTTTTCTGTTTTGTGGAGATATTATCCATTCTTTGCTTTAATCTTTCTTACTCAATTTACATGGCCTCGTTTTCAGAAAACAATGGATCCTTATAATTCCTATTCTTACCTAACAATACGTGGGTGTGTCAGCACTAGTAGTTTATCAAGGTCTTTACAGTTACCGTTCCAAAATCCTCCGACGTCGGTCTTGTCTGAGTCACCCCTTTTGTCTCATGTAGATCGGCCGAATGGGAAAGTAGACGACCTTGGGTCGAGATGGGTGTTGTACCATATTCTGGAATTTGCTATACCAAGCCTGATAGGATGCTTTTTTTTAGTCAAAACATTACAGTCATCTTGTAGGGATCTGGATCTTCCAGTCCGCGCCACCGTAAGTTTAAGTGGCAATGATACCAATGGACGAAAGTGAGATAATCGGTCCCTCATCTTCTTTCCTTCCCCCCGGTATAATACTTGGGATCGCCCTCGGTACCACAACCGACTCCTAACTACAACGAGTGTAGTTTGTAGACTTCCCACGGAAATTAAGCTAATGGGGAGAGATCCACTCCAATTGACTGATTGCAAAAAGGGTATCCAAAGATCTGGAGTGCATATAATCACGTGGTGAGCTAGCCGCAAGGGGAAGCGGCGCTATCTTATCCCAACTTCTCTCTGTTCTTATCTCGCCATCTGCAAATAGTTCGAAAAGCTCAACCCGTTTTTTAAGCCTTTGTTGACAGAGCCCGGTTTTACTTTCTTTCTTCTTTAGAGTGCAATTCGTCTATTGTCTTTGGAATTGCCCCTTTTCTTTTTTAAGTTTTTAATATCTCCAACTATGTCGGACGTCGCAGCTCTGGAGGCCGAGGTCAAGGAATTCAAGCTACAGGTATATCCTCCACATGGCCATCGAATGTTCATCTCTCATCCGTTTTGTGCAGCTTGAAACCGTCCAATCGAGTTTGCAGGTAGATCCAGATAACACGGAACTTCAGAGTCTCAAAACTGAGCTGGAAGAACTGATTAATCTCACCGAAACCTCTATCGCCGAACTCAAACCGGCCACCCCGTCCTCGTCCAAACCGTCGTATCCAATAAAAGAGCAGGGATTGCGGAATAATTACTCGGCTCCTCAGACGGGATATCGCAAGCCAACAGTTGAGCAGACCGAGGAGTCCACTCCGTCCACTCCGCCAGCGTCTTTCTCCGTGAACGAACACGTTCTTGCCCGCTGGGTTTCCGGCGACAACTCCTTCTACCCTGCCCGCATCACCTCCATCACCGGCTCCTCCAGCAATCCCGTGTACCTCGTCTCTTTCAAATCCTATAGCACTGTGGAATCCTTAACTTCAAAAGACCTCAGGCCTATCTCTGGCAATGATTCGCGTAAGCGCAAGGCTGATGGAAGCTCAGGCAATTCCGCATCCCAATCCCCAGCACCTCAACTGCCAAACTCGAGCGTGATCTCTGCAGCCGCAGACATCAATCCTGCATTAGCCAACCAAGCACGGAAGGAGCCGAGTAAGGCTAGCGATGGCTCCGCGCGCCCCGCAAAGGCGCCGAGGAAGGTCAAAGCCAACCGGGAGCTTGAGGAGGGTAAGATGAAGTGGAAGGATTTTGCCAGCAAGGGGAAGTTGGGTCGGAAAGAGAGCATGTTTCGAACGGGAGACGGAGTCAATGCCCGAGGTGCGTTTCCCGTTCCCGTAGCTTGATACCCAATACTAACTTCCATCTACAGTGGGGTTCACCGGGTCAGGTCAAAAGATGCGTAAAGACCCTTCCAGGTCGCGACACGTTTACCAACAAGCCGATGATGAAGGCTACTGATGCGGTGGCTCGGGTGCCTTTTGGAGGGTTCTCTTATGACATGGGCTTGGTTTCTTTTCTCCTTATTATGCTCTTTCGCGCAAGCTATCTAATGTTCCCATTACTAACAGGCTATTGGTGGCAGATAAGTCATCTCATGGTTGTCGAGGCAAGGAGTAGTCGTACATAGAACGCGGCTTAAAGATATTGGTGATCTGTTACCCTATGAGTCTCTGGCGTCCCTCCTGCACGCGATCATTTCTAATCTGCCCTCCTGTTAGGTGTTCTGATACGTCTATCGGAGCATATACCATGAATTCCCAGCCTACCGGATGTGCTCGTAATAGTTGATGCGACACAGCTTCTAGAGAATCCATGACAAGACTTCGGTTACATTAATATAAATATGTAGAGTGGCGAGGCTTTGAAGTATATAGCCGTATTGCTTGTTTCCAAAATTATTGCCCACCTTTTCTCCCAGCAGTACCCCGTCAAACGTACTTTGGCATTAACTTTCTCCATGGAATTAACTGGGGGATGCTGACCCTGCTTCCATATTAACTCCTCCCGTGGCGACGGGTTATCGAGTTCAATATATCTGGATCATGGATTGCGGTACAGGCTTTTGGGAGGTGCTTTCGCTGTATATTCCGGATTGGAGTTAGAAGCACTAAGGGAAAAGACTGGACGTGGAGACAAAGATAGTTCTAATCTCGTTCATCAGTGCCCACCTGGCCAATGATCCTCAATTATAAATTGCTCATGCCGTCTCCAAGGCTGCCGTGCCGCATATGTAGAGGAATCTAGCTGCAGAGGAGACACTATAGGGGATCAGAGTGAACTCCATCTTGCCGGCGTACATGGATACGGTGCTTAATGAAGATGGTCTGAAGTCAGTGAGGGTCGGGAGGAAGATGCGGAGAATGGGGTCACTGCAGGAATTGGCGCGGGCGATGGCCATTTTGTGTAGCAATATGGTTAGGTCAATGGAGCTGATATTGTTGTTCAATCTGTCCTTCTCGTATGCTAAAAGGTGCTGCGAAGGATCTATATAATGCCAGTATCTCTATGAATTCTAAGTGTCTATCATCCTTTTCGTTCTAAGCATACATTAAGATTGTCAGAGAATTGCCAGCCAGTATAACACCCATCATCCCGCCACATCACAGCCTTCTTCCCATCTTCCACCCGATACACACTTCCTCCCAAATCAGCCACATATACCCGTTTCTCTTCGCCTAATTCGATCCCAATAGACTCATGGAACTGCCTCGCTAGTATTCCCTTCTTTCTCTGAAGCTCAACTTTTTCAACCCTTCCACTAACATCTACTCGATTCAATGAACGTCCAGTTGGATGCTCCCCGCGATCGGTCCAGTACAGCAACTGATTCTCCCCATCCAGCTCCAGATCAATCGGTTCTGGCAACCCTTCCAAAAATAAGTCGATGCCATTTCGACTTTCCGCCGTCTGACCAGCAGGTATGTTAATTCCAGCCCTAAAGATCCGCCGCTGGCCACTCTTGCTAGGTCCTTTTTGCGTCCAGTAGATACAAACTCTGTTCAGGTCCAAGGTAATGCCTACACACCACCAAGTCATATCTTTTCTCTCCTCGTGATTATTGAGAGAACCAGTACGGATCAGAATCTCATGATTCGTGCCATCAAAGTTGACCCTGTGCACACCCATGCCTTCACGATCACAGAAGTAGCCCTTGACCCTGATATCATCAATGGCCAGCTGTTTCGGCGTGTGCACTTTTCCGGAGGGCAGGAGAGTGGATATCCGTTCCATCCAGGTTGGCGGAATGCACAGAGCCATCGTTTGTGACTGTTGAACGGCCCATCATTCGTCCAGAAGATTCGGGACACGGTTCTCGAGACATCAATTCCATCCGGCAATGACTGCCCTTCAACGAGGGAGGTCATCTTTCCCGTACTAGGCTTAAATTTAAGAATCCGTCCAGCTGCTGGAATGAGCGAAATGTCCGGATCCAGACCCACATCGAGTAAGTACACGGTCTCTTCATTATTAACCCCATTCTCCAAAGGCTTGTGTGGATACAATCCAACCTTTCCACTCTTAAGCCCCAGCTTTCCTGGCGTGATGTACTCCTTGCGCAGCCAGTCAACGGTCATATGACTGTCTAGTCCTCTCTCCTGGACGTAATTGTCCTCAATGAACGCCACCGTATCCAGGCCAACCTGATCCATCAGCCGGCATGGCGGTAAACTAGACGGAAGCTGGAACATATTTTGCCACAGAAGATCAATCTCCTCTGAGGCACTGACATCTTCCGCCAGAATATACATGATCTCCCGCTTAATGGCCGCCCAAAGACGATTGAATACGAATCTAATACAAGTCAACAATCACTCACAGAAGAGGGCAGAGTATACAAAAGAAAGGAAAAGAACACACCAAATTGACTCCCGTTTCGCCGTAACAGGGATCATACCGCATTTCTTCAGCACGTCGGTCAATAAGCCGAACAACTCTTCCCTCGTTTCACCATCCGTCATTAATTCTACTGTCCGGATAGCAGGCGGCATCGTGAAGTGCATATTCAGCACCCTCGCCCTTCTTTCAGGACTCGTCCAGCATGAGCCTTGACTTGAATGAGCTACTATTCGAGGCGATGATGCAGTCATCCGGCGCATTGCGATCGACCTCTGCAAATGTGCTGATCTTCAAAGGCAGTTGCTCCGGCACGGCTTCTACAACGAGCCAAGCATCGGATACGGCAGCGGGGATCTCGGCGAAGGTCTTGTATGTGCCACTTGGACACTGGGAAGGGGTTAGGGTTAGGGCCGTGAAGTCTTCATGTTGTGCAGTGCCGATATCCGATACCCATTGAAACCGATCCAGTTCACTCGGACTCCCTCGGACTCGGTATGGAGATACTCCGGTACCACCATTGTGGCACTTCTTAAGGCAAGTCCTCTCAAACCCAACCCCGTTGTTGGTAACATTACGGCAGTAAAATAGGCTCTGTTTAACCTCGTGTTCTACTGGTTTTGAGATTCCACTTTCTCGGAGCGCATTCCTTATCTCGACGTCGTAGTTCCCTGTGTGTCATAGTTAGCTACATCACGAGATACTGACCTCAAGTGGAATTGATAAAAATTCATTAGAAAAACGGGTAGATCTTGGTGTGAAGAGATACCTATGGATTGGAGCATCCATCCGCAGTAATAGCGATGGCCATTGCAGTATCTACCTGCTACAATGGAGGTCAGAAGCGCAAGAACACTCAGACAAGTGGAGGGCTTCATCTTGAGCTTGCAGAGGACTACTTTGCTCTTGTTTGAGATCGATATAGTCGTCGAGTGGGGGGCCGGCTCTTATACGGGTTATATATCTATTCGATATCGGGGAATTTCGCATAGGCCATTACATTCTGGATATCGTTTAGTTGTGCAGATATGGGCTTGTCCCACATCTTTGTATAGAATATCGAACATGGTTGTCAGGTTCGGTTTAAGCTCTGCAACAGCTCTGCTCGGGTTTGGTTTTACAGGTGGAAATCGCTTAAACGGCAGCCTCAGACCATTATTTCCTTTTTGTTTTCTTGTTGTTTGTTTTTCTTTTTCTTTTTAATATTTAAGACAATACAATATAACTGTTTAGCTTTTTAACCAGCACTATAACCCCAGATGCGTGGGCTACTTCGGCTCATTTCGACTCTGGATACTCACATCAAGGAGTAGCCCTAATTCCACATGTGATACGATCATATCCCTGCCATCAACCTTCGGTTCAAGTCGAGTCTATCATATGCTTCAACAACCATTATATGGACTCTCAAATCTTTGTCTAGAACTAGGCTTCCCCTCACTCCGACTGATAGGATCTCCGCATCGAATTCAAAACTCAGCAAGCCACCATGAAAATCATTCGTAATCCTCTCCACCCATCCATACAGACCAACCCAGACTACATGGACTCCCATGGCTCCAAGCATCTAGAGAATAACAGAATCGAGTGGATTCCGTATGACTTGGCAATGATGGAATCGTTACAGCACCGGCCATTCTCCCCCGGTTTCAAACCCCCTACTTCTACCTGGATAATCCCTCCTCAGCTAAAGAAAACAAACCTGTCGCCCGATTGAACTACCAACCAATTACTTAGTCTATCAATCAATCAATTGGATCCCCAAAGTAAACAAGAGAAAGACAAAAAAGAAGGAAAAATGACCTCCCAAACCAAAACCAAGCCCATCCCCATTCGCCTCATAACCCACAACATCCGCACCATCCCTTGGTTCACTTTTCCCCCGGAGAAACCCTGGAATATCCGCCGAAACCACATCATCAACCAAATCGACTTCAACACAACTCACAACCCCGAAGCCATAGTCTGTCTCCAGGAGGCACTCCACAGCCAATTAACCGACATTCTGACCGGTCTCAACGGCGCCCCCGACAGCGACAGTCAGGAGGGCGAGGTGACCTGGAAACACTTCGGTTGCGGTCGCGACAGCGACAAGAAGGGCGAGTACTCGCCCATCCTCTACCGAGCCCGGATCTGGGAGGCAGAGTGGTCTACGACACGCTGGTTATCGGAGACGCCGGATACCCCGTCCCGGGGGTGGGATGCAGCGTACCGACGGATTGTGACGTACGGGGTTCTTCGGCATCGGGGGACGGGGCGGAAGATCTTGGTCATGAATACGCACCTGGATGATCGGGGCAAGGTGGCGAGGTTTGAGAGTGCGAAGTTGATCTTGAAATGGATGGAGGAGGTGTTGCGGAAGAAAGAATCGCTGGATGGTGTTGTCCTGTGTGGAGACTTCAATACCAACTCGAGGGATAATACTGATGCATTCGGGGTTCTGACAGCCGGGGCTATGGTCCATACTAGGGATCGTGTGGATGGGGAGAGGCGTTATGGGAATGTGAATTCTTGGACGGGCTTCAATGATACTCCCATTGATGATGCGCTTCTTGACTATATCCTTGTTGGACCTTTGAAGGGGGACCATGTCCCGTGGAATATCCGAACTTATGGCATTCTAACGAATCGGTTTGATGATGGAATTTTCAACTCGGATCATAGGGCGGTTGCGGCGGATGTGGAATTGGTTGGGTTTGCGAAGGATCGTTGATAGTGTAATGATTTATGCATTTTTTCTGTCGTTTTGTCGGATGTAACGCTTATTTGATCGTCAAGCTCTTGAATTATCTTGGCCTACAATCATTGGCTTCTGACCAAGTCTCACAATTTAGCGCTATACGCTGAACGTAGGAAATCCATTATAACAAACAGAATAAAACGAAAGTCCGGTGGGATACACGACTAGGAGAGAGGAAAACGCAAGTCATCGCCAGTCAAGACAATATAACAGTAACATGGGTATGCTTTACTTTTGCAAAGTAAGAGATAACGAAAGAGAAAAACGAAAGAAAAAGCCACGGTACGGATTCATCATCAGTAGAAAGTCATTCAACAGTCATGCAAAATCGCAAGAAGTCCATCCCAGTCAAGCATTCAACCAGACGCCGCGCTCAAGGTAAAAAAAATTGATCCCTAACATACGCCCGGTAAAAGCAGTCAAAGTAGACGCCGAATCCCATCCTCTCTGTGTCATTTATGGACCACCTTTTGACCGACCTTGTGCCCAACCCTTGTTTGATCATCGTTACTCCGCTGAAGCGGCATACATATTCATACAGTACATGGCGCGCACAAAAATAATAGTACAGACGAAAGGATGCAAATATAATGGCCCAATATCAATCATCGAAGATAGAAAGAAAGGAAAAGGAAAAAGGACAAGGAACGTCAACGGGTAAACTCGGTCCACACGGTGGTTAACCAACCGCCCGGAAGACTACCCTCCGATGGCGTCACTCCCTGTATTTGATCGTACTCGCACCCCTCAAGGAAGGCTAACACATCATCCCCTCCTAGGCTCGCAGACCACAGGCTATTTGATGTGAAGCTTTCCATCCCATCCACTGTTGCAGGCGGTGAGGCTGCCGGGTGCACTGAGCCGGGAGGCGGCAACAGTGGAAGACCCTGTGGTGCGGTTGCGTTGATTGGGGGTAGTGACTGAGAGTACGGTGGTGGCGGTTGCTGGCGAGAGCCCAGCCATGGGTTCAGGGGCTGAAGACGGCCAGGCTGTGTTGTAACCGCGCTATATTGTGACGAGGCGGGGCCCGCTGTTGTGCTAGGCGGGGCCCCGTAGGACCCGGTCGGCCCAATGGCCGGAAGAGTAGGTGATGAGTTGTTGTACAAAGGGCCATCGTGATGGTGCTGCAGCGATGGAAGAGAGAAGGGAGACTGGGATTGCAAGGACCGACTGGGAGGGAGCGGGAGACTGGGGCGTCGCTCGCCATCTGGTCCAGGGAGGGGCATTCCCGGGCTGTTGATAGGCACCCAGGACTCGCGGCGCCCACCAGCGCCGTCCAGTGAAGCCTCAATAGTTTCTCCTGGATCACTGCGAACAGCATTGCTGCCGGCGTCGCTGATGTTGGTCACCCGATCACTCACCCCAGCCCCACCATCTTCATCTGCGCCATTTTCTGGCAACTGGTCCTCGATAGTGCCGAAGTCAAGGAACAACTTTTCGAGCAGCTTGAATTCTTCAAGACCGCCACCCGCTCCTCCTTCACGCACGGGCCGGACACCGTTAGTTTGTACGTCGAAAACCTCGGGGATTGAGTCTAGTTTGCGAGAGTGACGTCGATAATCCTGTTTGACCTTGGAGAAATAACTGTGAAGTCGATTAAGTGTACGGAACCAGCCTCGTGCCATTTTGAGCCTTGTCCGCATTTCGCGGAGGATATCAAGAGCTTTTCGTGTTTGGGCTTGGCCTTGCTGGTTTCCATCACCAGCTGAAGTAGGCTTCGAGCCGAGGACACCTTCTGGATCCATTTGTGGAAAGTGTGAGGCGTAGATGCCAATAAAGGCGGCATTGTAGATGGCAAAGCCAACCAATGGGTTCTCAACTAACACACCGCGGTCCTGGCAGGTTACAACCAAGTCCATCATCTGCCGGGCGGCAGTGAAGAGCTCGCGAGCGCTTTCGCGCCAGAAACCATCTGGAGCACCCACTTTCTCGCCGGGAAACAGAGGCTCATCTAGAGGCCCAGAAGGCTCTGTACAACGCACAGGAAGGAAAGGAATATAGGCGCGGTGGAGAACAAGAACTGAGAGGAAGTAGACCACATGCATCAGGGTGTAAGGGGGTGTAGTCTTGTACATGATATGAGTATCCGTATGGCGCGTCGAGTACTGGAGGTTGCGGGAGAGTCCATCCTGGAATTCAGCCAGGATCATCCGAAGTCGAGAAAACCGCGAGTCGGGATGCCACGGAGGTAATTGTTCAGTCCTGGGGTGGTTAATTAGCTTCAGCTTGTTGGAATATGAGAAATATAGGGGGCGTACCTTCTGCCACCTGCGCAGGACCACTTTGCAATACTACCCCAGATACGAATGATACGGATGACACGGCTCAATACTGCCTCCTCAGCCCCGATCTCCCACCGATCAATCTCATCTTCACTCGAGTCTTTTCTCCGGGAGATGGGGGACCAAGACTTCGGATCAGGGGTAATATTATTCGGGAGCTTGTCGTCTCCAAATCCCAAGCTCTGGCGGATGCTGGGTATCTGAACACCCTGTGCACCAAAGCTCTGTGGGCGACGTACGACCGGCTCACTGAGGCGCGAGGTACGTACACGCTCTCCGAAGGCGAAAGCATTATCACTAGGGAGCTGAATACCTAGTTCCTTAACTCGGATCATGCGTGGGCGATATTTACCACTGCTCAAACATCGGTCAAGGATAAAGCATGCCCAAAAGGTACGTCGCTTTGTTTCTTGAGCAATTACATCGTCTGACGTTTGCTCCTTCGGTTCCATACCCCGTTTGGAAATGCCGAAGAGATCTGCTTCTGTTCTAAATGTGGAAGGTGACCTGGGGCCGTCTCGCGAGAAGACATCGTTCTCCAATTCATATGGAAGGCCCATAGCCTGGGACAGTCGGATAGCCATGCCCACGTATAGCCACGCACTCTTACCGCGACACATGCCCCACTCGTGGAGCGCTAGCATCAACAACGCTTGAACGCGGGTCAAGTCAGGTATCGCAAGACTGGCACCATCAACACCGGCCAGCCGGCTGCGCAGTGCTGTCGCGTAGAATTCGGAAGCGAGAGCTGGATTCGAAGGGTTCCCTTGTGACGGAGGAGAGTGATAAGCAACAAGTTGGGGATGGAATCGAGCAGTGAGCGCAAGCACTCCAAGGGGAATCAAGGGATTCGGATCCGACTTTGTAGCCGGCGGACTTTGGGCGTTTTCTCGGGAGCTTTCTTGCTTTACAGGGACGGTCGATGACGAGGATGACTGGGGACCGGACAGCTGTCGAATGTGGCCCATAAAAGTGGCAGGGTGCAGAAAAGGCAGAATAGTCGCAAAATGGGATTGGAATAAGTCGAAGACGGCTTCCCATACCTTGACGGTCAGGATGGACGAGTCGAGCGCATCCAGGGTTCCTTTAGCCGCATCCTTAGCTGCGGATGATGAAACCGCAACGGACTTGCGTGGTCGTTGTCGTTTCGGGCTATCCCAATCTCCATTACGATCATCTCCATCTGCCAAAGCGGCGATATCCCGTTTGGCAGCAGTCCCACCGATACCGATGGCAGGAGTAGGATATACACATTCTCGGCCGGATGATTCACAAGCGCGACAGGTGGTGTCGATACCGGAATTGACACATTTGATCTTGCTGCGACGACAGCGAGCACAGGCGATGCTAGACCGCATTGTGGGAAAGAGTCAAGGCGCGCGAGACGGGGTTTCCGTCTCCCTAGGTGGATCGGATGGGAAAGAAGGCGGCGGATCAAAGGGATGGGGAGAAAAGAAGGGGGAGGGAGAATGCAGTCCCAACGACTGCTGCGACACGTGTGGTGATGCCTCCTCAGCGTTGCTTGCCGCGGTATTTCTCCGGTAATATTTCCCCGGGATTCCGAACCAGTGTCGTGATGGAGGGAAAGGGGGTGACAGAAAGGACCGACCTCCCCCGGCTGTAGTATTTGCGTCAGTACAACAGACACGGGAAATCAGTCACGCAAAGTCCGAAAAGTTGGCCGACCTTCAGCGCCGTAGCGTTCTCTGGTTTCTCGAGTAAGTTCCCGTGCGCAGCACCGAGCCCCTTCCAGGCAGTTCGATATGTGGTAGGAACGGGAGTAAGAAGTGACAAACAGACGGAAGAGGAAGAATGAGGCGGAAGAACAGGGAAGAGAGGAAAGGAATTAAAAAAAAAAAAAGAACTAAAGTAATGTGCGACGTGGGTAAAAGCACGCCCGCAGACCCAAAAAGGTGTGTGGAGTTAGGTGACGGAGTAGGGAAGCAAAGTAAATCCACCCAGAAATACACATACACACACAGAGGGAGAGAGAAAAGCGGGAATAAGCGGAGTGTGGGGGAAACTCTCGCCCAGGGTCGGGGCACCGGTCCGGCAGCGCGAATGGCTGAGGAATGGGGGAAAGATCCGTACTACACGAAGTAGGTAACAAGGTAGAGTAAACCTAAGTGCGGGGGGAGAAAAGGAAAAAAAAGAAAAGGAACAAAAAGGATGGTAAAGGGGGAGACAGAGGGAAGACGCGAAATAAAAAGAGAAGGAAGGCTGATGGGATGGTTCCTCTCAAGTTGTCTCTCGTTCTCCTTCCGGCAGACGACAATAGGCATAGACTAAAGGAATCTCAGGCACATCCACTGGGGCAGGAATTGCGGAGGCCCGGCCAGCGTTAGTCCCCAGTGGGTCTAGTCTCGTTGGTGAGCAGCAAGTCGATGCAAGGACGCGACCGAGCCGCCGGAGAGTGGAAGGTGGAGCCCCAGTTTCCGAGAGCCGATGAATGTGATCATAGATGTTCAAGAAGTGTATGATAGATTTGGGGGCTGAGATGGAATGAAAATATCATATCAGAGGGGTGTGTTCAATTCTCTCATGAGGTACGTGGCCGAAGTTGTAGAGAAGAGGAAAAAATAAAATAAAATATGGAAAGACGCAGAGACACAAGAAGAAACAATCATCAGCAGAGTGGGAGGGAAAAGAGTGGCCGAGAATCGGGTAAATTACCATAATTTTACTGGGGTTCAGTCCGGAGACGCCGCCGTCTTGTGGTCTTGTCTCGTAATAATACACAGTCCCTCGGGAACTGCCAGTTGGCGGACAGTAGGCCCGACCCGATCGATAGGGACTGGGCATCTTTCTACAGAGTTGACTACTTCCTGACATCCACCTAAACGGTTACTTAAAATTCACCTTAAGTATAGTAGTTGACATATATGCAGCACAATCGAGAAGTTATCTAACATGAAAAGTCGACCCTAAAACTAGGCCAGAGTCTCAAATTGTCCAGTGATATAAGTTCCAATTTCCTTCCATCCTACCGACCGACCGAAGAAGCCGGTTACCAGCAGCCGTGTGGAACGTCACTTGACACCGCAAATTGTTTCTCCAATGTTCATTCAACCTATTACATAACCAGTTTTCCCTTCCCCGGGTTATTGTCGTTCAAAAAGGTAAAACGGTTATCCAGTCTTTTGGGCATCGCACATAACACACATTGCTTATTGAATATTCAAAACAATTATCAAGTTTCATCGTTTTCCCTCTTATAATTTCCTCTCTCATTTGTTTCTCCTTAGCTTGATCGCATCTATAGTCCCGATCGGTTATTTTCCGGGGTTAATTAGAACCCCAACATCATGCCATACCCCTATATTTACTGTCTGGTTCGGAGCTGACACAAGCTTATGCTGGACCCTATAAGTTCAGAGATCCCAAGCTTGACAAGACCCTTAGCTGCGTCCTTACTCCAAACTCTAATATTGAACTCCAAATTTGAACAAAATGAGGGGAAACGGCAAATGATTCAGGCCCGATCACAATCCTCAACCAACGGACCTCGGGTATCGACTAATGTTGATGGCATTTTATTTTCGTCTGTCGGGTATGGACTGTAATTCAGCCACGCAGGCCGACCTTTTTGTTGGAGTTTGTCCTTTTTTTTTTTGTTTTTTTCGGGACCTTCCTGCATTGGGGTCTCCCCGCGGGGAGAGAAGCGAGATCCTAATGGACTGCTCTCATCCTTGCTAGATACGGATTTGGGGACAAGGGACTGCGCCGACAGAGATTGGCTAACGCTCACAGGGATGGAACCCCGATCGACACGGGAAACGCTGTCTGCACATGAGAGTTTGTCCATACAGAGAAGATCATGTTATATATTATATCATGTGTTAGGTCATGTGTACGACCTTCTCATACGACATTGCATATCTGTACAACTCATAGGCCCTTTCGCTTGTCGTGCTTATTACCTATTGCCCGTACGGAGTAGCTTCAGTAGGAAGAGATCTTGTTTGTCCACGGAAGAAGTGCTGTATAACCCCAAGACTCAGAGATGAAATCGAACCCGACCCGACCACCATCGGAATTCCCAGACCGGCAACTCCCCGCCCTCTGCGCAGTTCCATTTTAACCGGTCCCGTGTTGCTGCTCGGCCCCAACCGCCGCTCTTGATTGGTCTCCATGCACCACCCGAGGCTAGACAAGCGAACCGATCCCCGCAAATGACCTTTGATTCTTCGTTCATTATTAGGTTATGATTTGTTTTAAGAAATATTAGTTAGGCCGTGGGATAATCGGGGATCCCCGGAGGAAATTCGATGTCAAGGAGGAAGGTGGTAACTACGGAATGCCCTAAGAAACACAAAAAATTGACGAAAGAAAGGAACCCAAAAAAAAGAGAAAAATAAAACATTGAACACCCTATTGTAGGTAGTAAATATCTCTTACCTGCTATATAAGGAAATGCTACCCGCAGCCAAGCCTCCCGTGTCAGGTGCTCTGCAGATTTTGAGGCTTTACTCAAACAGTACCATCCATGGACGTACTAAGGTTCTGTACTTACAAAGTACTTGTGTAAAATCAACTCGTCTCTATACCTTGTACGTACATCGCCCCCATTTGCTCCTTCGTTATAGTGCGAGACATGGCACCAGTCACAATAAGAAGATTTGATGACACGTCGTACCTTCCATGTACAAGTTTCGTACTACAGTAGTATGTGCCAGGTGCGGAGAGTACCACGCAACCTGGGCGTATACTACAACAAGTGAGGTTGTACCCCTAACCCAACCCAACCCAATCTAACCCTCGTTATTACTCCGAGACTAAAGTTTCCCGACAACAACCCCGTGATTCAATCTGGAAGCAATGAAAGACTCGGCGAATAATCGACAATAAAAGAAAAGAATAACGACCAGGATCCATCCTCCCACGCGAGACGGCGATATCCCCACTCCCTCACCCTGGGAACGGCATGGTCGGCCCCATCCTTTCAATACACTCCGTCTGGAACTCGGCCACTGGCCGCACGGCTCAAGAATAGCCCCGTATATGACCGGTTCTGATTTGTTGCTACTGGCCGCCGTTCCTCGTGTACCCATCTTTCCTCGGCCTAGCCCATTACCATCTGGCTCAATGAAAAAAAAAAGATTTTCCGAAACGGAGTTCTATTACCTACATTGGAGTAATCTAAGTTTTTAAACATTAATATCTACTTGCTAACGGGACTAAGAAAATTTCCGGAGTCTGGGGTCTGTCAGGCTACTAACTGGGTAGTACCTTAGGAACCAACCGAACCTCCTTGTACGGAACATGCCTTATTTTATCCAGCGCCTCGCAGCCCTTTACCCCGAATCTTTATTGGACAGGTTGACTACACTGAACAAAGGGCTGAGGGTTTTCATTCAGCCTTCATTTTCCCGGTCAGCTGGCTAAATATCGGTGAGCGTTATCAAACAATGTTCTTCCCATCGGACATGGGTAATCCGACATCTACCTAGATAATTAGGGCTTACTCCAACCGACGGAACACTCAAGTCCATAGTGCTTTGTCCACGATCGAGCACTAGGCATATTATTATGAGACCGATCATTCCACGGCGCCACTTTGGCGCTACATCCGTAAGTAACATTTACTATCATGAATGGTGGTGCTCGAGTCTTCGCCAAGTTCCTCCCCTACAAAAAAGTACAGCCCGACGGGAGCTACGCTTTGTGATATGTTTGTGCTTGTGCTTGTGCTTGTGTGCCGCGTGCCATGTGCCTGCTTCTTCACCGAGTGTGCGATCTGACCGTGGCCTTTTCAAGACTCCCAAAGAAAATAATCAGACAGTATGCCCATAGTTCTAGATCTGATGCAGGTCTTTGAGGTCTTCACAGGCTTGGCCACTTCCGATCCGCGATAGGAGTTCTCCGATGCCACCTCCCCTACCGAAGCATGGATCTATTTCGATTTCCCGTATTACACTTCTAGTATTAATGGGTTGACGCCTCGGCCTCGAAAGCTAATTCATTTATTTATTGACGCCACAGGTACAGACACTATGGTTCCCTCTCGGCAGCATCCCATCAAGTAGAGTTATCAATTTCCCAACCGAGCCCAGTGGCGTTGTTTCCAGACCAGGACATGCGCATAGATATATGCCCAGGTTTCGTTCAATACCTCCATGCGTAGCTGGGTCAATCAATCTCGTGGAAGCCTACATCAAACTCACTTGCTTAGCAGCCAATATCCATGTCCATAAGAAAGCAAGAACCAATATACAGAGTATGATCTAACGAGACAACTGAAACAAGACACTCGATCCAATTGTCTACTTACACAGTAGTTCAGAATCCTCTTAGTATTGCCCTTTAACCGCATGCTACCGAGTACTCCGCAAATGGAACCCGGCAAACGAACAAGTTCATCCCTTCCCCCGACATCGTCCTCGGCCCCTAACCCCCGAGATCCGGGATCCCAATCCATTACCCTTTCCCTGCGCCTGCGCCAGGACGCACATTTCAGCCCTGAGAAATAAAGACAATGGCCCTGTATAGTATGGTGGCTATGGTCTATACCAGTTGCCACAGCAATCCTTTCCCTATATGACATAGCATCTGCATCTCACTCGCCCATGACCAAGACGCTCAATCCCAGCCCATCTTTCCGAGACCGTAGTTCTCCCCGTACTCGGTACCTTCATGCGAGTGGGTGAGTCCTCCCTCCATCATATCGACTCGAGGTGCACGTCTGCCCATCACCCAATTACAGACTTCCCATTACAACCATGCGGGACGATCTGGCATCGATCCTCCAATTGTGATATTTTCCATTACATAAAGATAGACACCCCCGTCTGCGTCCAGAATATTTACCCGAGTCCAGCAGAATCTGGGGATGCGACGACCCTTTATCCGGAGAATACCGATGGCTCACCTCCCCGTAAGCGCTAGATATATACCTATGCAGGAAGGTAGACAAAGGCGGGCTGAGGCGGGGTTCTCGTGTCTTTTTTTTTCTTGTTATTAATCGGGGATTGTGGCTCTGTAACTGTACCAGGGAGGTAGCAGTTGGAGATGCCGATTAGTGTTTTAGTGTTTTGTGGGGAAGATAACACGTGCACTGGAGATGTTGGGTTGAGAAGATGATAGGCGGTTGCTGCCGAGGTATTTAGTAATAAATTGGCGCGTGTGGGTAGTTTTTATTTTATTTTTTATCTTGGTATACGACCTTACTTACCGTCGCTAGGGTTGGGTTTTCTCGTATGTGCTAGGGGGTTGGTTGAAGGGTCTGTGTGTGGTGTGATGGGTATTCTCGGATGTTACTCTAGGTTCGGAGTTATCATTTATAGTAGGAGAAGAGTAGTATGGTTGAGGTATCCACCATCGTATAACATTCCTCAGTGATTATAGAGCGCAAAACAGAAGCACAATCAATATCAGATCAATTCAAATTAGTGGTATCATCGTATATTGCACGGCGACATTATGAGGGTAATTATCGTATTATGCTTGCAGCTGTTTCTGGTCCTTGGGAGGATAAAACCTACTCTTGTTAGATTGTACTTTTCTGTCGGGGTGCTGGTACCTACCAAGCTGCCACGGCAATGATCAGGTACATCATCATTAGTAGGATGCCTTCGAGCCAATGGGACTTTCCGTCGGCGATGAGGTAGTTTACCTATCCTCTTTGTTAAGGACCTATTGGCTAAGAATGGTTGTTTACTTACCAACAGGACGGCAACGAATAGCAGAATCACTTGGAATGCGTCAAAGTAAAGGGTCTGCAAGAGTCAGTAGCTGTCTTTTGTCAGAAGGCAGCTAAAGGCGTACCATTTCATTGTTTCCTAGAGAGGAGGTTAGTTTCTCATACAGTCTCACAACACAATCCAGATTCACTTGCCCATGCCCCATCCAATTACAATTATAAGCGGAAGCACCAGCAGTGCGATCTGCATGCTAGATCCCACCGCCACTCCAATCGCCAAGTCCATCTTGTCTTTACATGCCACCGTCACGGCCGTGGCATGTTCGGCCGCATTGCCCACAATGGGAAGAAGGATCAATCCAACGAAGGTCTTTGAAATACGGCCACGGTCTGTAATCGCATTGATAGAATCAACCTGCACCATCAGCTTGGCGTGACTAGTGGAATATGTCAGTTCAACATACCATATACTCTGCACATAGCGCAACTAGGACCGTGGAGATGGCTAGTGTCAGCACAGCCACCCAGATGGTTAGCTGAGGTTCTTCCTCATCATTAGGATCCTGCAATTCCAATTGCTGTGCGTTCTGTCCCGCCAGGGTGGCGGTCATTTTGCCTATCTGTGCGATTCCCCGGTGTGTATCACCGTCGCTCACTTTCACGCGTCTCTTCTCAACTTTGGGGCTGGGGGTGTTGTACATATCCGCATGCGATTTCAACTGGAAGAAAAGATAGCATCCGTACACCACCAGCATAATGATACTGGTGCCTGTTGCTGGTAAGAAAATGATTCATGAACTGCTTGCAGATCTAAACCTACCTCGTGAGAGTGGTGCAACACCGCTGTCACCCGCTGGGATTGGATTAGAAACGGACTTCTCAGAACACTGTTCGACGACTTACCGCCTGACCAGTTGTGGAAGGCAGTAGGGATAATCAGGCATCCCACTGCTAACGCAAGAAGACTGGCTGCTGTTTGGGCGACGACCGGGTTGAAATGCTGCTCCAGACGATTGACACCTCCAAAGAAGAAACACATTCCCATGACGAGAAGAAGGTTCGACAGCATACTTCCAATAAGGGAAGTTTGCACAATGACGACTTCATTGTCGACCAGCGCAATGATAGCCACAATCAGTTCAACGGCATTGCTAGTGCTTGTTAGCCAAAAGCAAAAGGGGGATTGTGCAAAAGTCTTACCCAAAGCTTGCGTTGAGCAGGCCACCGATTGTCTCCCCAGTACTAGATATGTCAGCTATCGCCCACCTTAGGATGTCGATACATCTTACCGCATGGCGATCTCTTCTGTCGCATAACCCAACATAGCTGCAAGAGGGCTGTCATGTGTCAGTTATATAACAGCAGGTCCGATTCCAGATGGGGGTTACATACATGATGGCAACAAAGTTGACCACGAATACAGCAACTGGATCCACATCGACATAATTCAGTGCAACTTGGTCAATGTTAGCAGTGCATTTTGGCTTAAAGAGCGTTTCTACGCTTACTTCCAACCGGAGCGGCAATGAGAAGGACATTGACCCAAGAATTGAAGAGTGTCGCTTTCAGCTGTCCCATAGCGGTAAACTTCGGCTTTTCGTGAATGTCTTTCGGGGAGAGTGGATCCGGTTCCCCGTCGGTAGAATTTTTTCCAAATCCGCTCATGAAAGCCCTTCTCTTTCGAGGGGCGCTCGCCTGATGGTCGTCCGGCCCGGCCTGAGATGAAACATTGATGGGTTCATTGCTGTGCATTGACGGCTCTGGTCCCACTTTATCAGCGCTGTCCACTCGAGTAACGTGGTCGGTCCCAGATGACTCCGGCGGGAAAGTATCATAATGCTCCGGGCCCGTCAAGCCCTCCGTCATATCCCTCTTCCGGCGTTGCTGTTCTTCGGAGGGCACATTCCCTTCGCTACGGATCTTAGCAAGTCCGCGCTCAAGCTCAAAAGAATCTGTCCGGCGCTGGCTCTGTCGTTTAAACTTTTTGAAAGGGTTGTGAGACGATGGCTCCCCATCCAGATCATACCATGCCAGATTCCTGGCCTGACGTCGATATTTATCTGCATACCGAAGCTACATTAGCCAAGATCATGGACTCAATAGGGAGTGGGCACGGCATACGCATTGTTCATGTAACTTTCTAGTCTGCAGATTATCGAGAGAAGACAAGTTCACGAATATATACTATACGAGAATTAGAACCAGGATTCGTGGATATACTAATTATAGGATGTCGACGTGCGAGCCTGCGGACGGGAGACGCCATGCTGAGGCACAACCGCCGCATCCAGGGGACCATCAAGGCTAAGCATTAATAGGCAGCAGTGCCATGAAAAGTATACTAACGTGATGTTATATAGAGGGGGCCTGGTGTGGCTTGAGTGATGGGTCTGAAGAAACTCAGCCTCAGTTGCGGCCACCAAGAAATCCAAGACAAGGACAAGAAGTCTTGAGTGCGACAAGCTTCTCGGCAGAACAGTTGGAACCTGTGGATTAAAAGGAGTGAAATCGGCCAGTTCTAAAAGTCAGCGAGGGACAAAAAAAATAGATAAATAAATAAAGGGAAATCAAAGCACAAAAAAAGATCGAATGAAGATCAAGGGGTTCTTTCAGAGCAGTCTCAAAAGAGTGTCAACGGAAACGAAACATCTCCAAACAAGGGTGAGAATGAGAAAAGAAAACCAAAGCCAAGAGCTAAGAGGACAACAAGAGGAAAAGAAATTAAAGGAGAAATATCCATTGTGAAAAAAGAAAAAAATAAAGAAGGAGAGAAAAAAATAAAATAAAATAAAATAAAAAATTTATTTCCATTCAAGATGTCCCAGACAAGCAATGTACACAGCCACACTGTCGTCGGTAGTTCATGTAGATCGTCCTACGGCGCGTGTCCTGCACTCTTTGGATGCTCCAATTATCAGACAGGAGTACTCCCAGTACAGCGGTCTAAAAATTGTCATTTGCTAGATAATAACCACTCAATACGCTGCTTTGGTGTTTTTCAAGGGATGATGCCGCGATTCGCCAAGAACTAAAGTTATGGTGGTTGTCTCCTAAGCAGCATTGAAGTCCAAGCTACTAGTATCAGTTTTGATTAGTGGCCGCGCGACCCAGAACCCAAACTTCTAAGTTTCTTGGGTCATAAGTTGTTGGCAGAACAAACTCTCTCTTGTCCTGAACAGTCAAGATAGCCAGATGATTTGTCACAACATACAAGTAACCTGTCTATGAAATGGAAGAAACTACGTATCGCTGCATTTCGTCAATCTCTTTAGGGGAGATCAATGACGATGGTGGATGTAGTTAGTTGGCCTGTCAAAGATCCAAAATCTTTGAAACTTTTTCAGCCCCTGACCCATCCCCTCAACCTTACCATACTTAAGTGGTACCACTACTAGCCTTCTCGCTGGCTGCGGGATGCTCAATTCTTAAGAGTGGCCAGTACTACTCCAGATACAGAGTAGTTAGCACGCACTTCTTTGGTGATCGGTCAATGCGTGTGGCTGGGGGAGGGGCGTTGTTCTCTCTGTGCCACATGTCAGCCACATCCTGGCTGTGTGCGGTGCGTGGTTTGTTTCTCTTGCAAACATCTGAGTGCTAAGTATGAAAAATCCACCGCAAAACAGTTTTTCATAGGTCTTCAAGTCTCTAGATCACTGGGCCCAACGCTCAAGCGATTGATAAAGGTGGCATAAATCTTAGGTATTTGCTATTCTATTCCTACCATAACTTGGCATGCTTCACTACGTAGTACGCACAAAGATATATATATTCATCCCAGTCAGCCGTGTCCATGTATTGATATGTGTGTGGTCACTTGGTATCGTTACATATGTTTTAAAGAGAAGGTACATAATCTACCAGGGTAGTTGATTTCATCTTGCAGCCCATCTTTTGGGACGATGTTCCATCCTAAGGGGCAAGCACAGCATGCTGCAAACCAGCCAGTAATCCGCGCTGAATGACGACAGAAACGAGGAGATAGAATGAACGAGACGTCAATGAAAAGGCCCCGCCTCCTTGCTTTCATGGCTGAGGCATTATATTTGACGTCATTCCGGGACTGAACCTACAGTCTTGGTTGATTCTGTCCGTTACGAATAAATTCTTGCAGTGTTATGGAGGGCTCCATTCTCTCCCTCTCCTACTATGTACATCGCGGAATGAGATGCAAATGGGCAGGGATTTGGGCGGTATTATTTAAGGATTTATAGAGTTAATTACTCATACATTATCCCTAATTAAATGAACATCATTTACATGGATCAGACAACAAGTTTAAATCCCTACCAAGTATGCAATGCGTGTGTAATAATTAAGAGTAATGAAAAGCTTTCCCGCCACCAGTGTTTCATTCAGCTTTCAGTGGACCCCCCTTGGGTCATCACCCTCGACACCTATTGAAGAAACTGACTCTGAACCCACCTGTAAAACCCTTCGATGGACCGACCCCCTCTGACGTCCAATGGGGTGTTCCTGGTAAAGACAATGTATTGTCAGTGGTTGTGTTACCGGCCATACCGGTACCCCTGCGGTCCATACCGACCGGAGGATAGATACCTCTTAGAGGAACCGTAAACACAGATTTGATGGAAGCCGTGAACATCCATCATGATCGTTGGTAACTGGTCACTATCTTCTAATATAAAATACCTCGTAAGATGGTGAAAGAAGAACAGAACCTTACAAGGATGCCAAGGGGACCTCGACCGGTCAAGAATCACAAGCAATTATTGGCAGAGAACAGGACTCTTGAGCCAAGCCGGTAACCGGATATAATACAGCGTAATATTCTTGTGGTATCGGCTGCAGGGAACCTCCGGCAACCAATTAAGGGTCAGTCACCAGCGACTAGTTTCAGGGGTCCACATATAGTATACTGTGTAGTAAGTAGGGTTCCACCAATGAAGGGCTTATCAGGTTAAAAGGTCTGTCGCAAAAGTATGGCTAGTTTAATGTGCCGAGTATTCTTAGAAGAACGATTGGGATTACAAGTCTAGATCCATCAGCATTTCGGTCTTCAATGTAATGCAATTTTTTATTTTTTTTTATTTTTTTTTTGCCACAGAAGGGATAGAAGTAATCGGGTAGTAATAGATGAAGTAACGAATCGGTATCTCACCAGTTGACCTTCTCAATGAGGTGGATTTGGCTCAATATTATGATGCTGATCTTTATTACATCGTTGCCTGTGTATTATTTATTACCAGACGAGCCAAACCATTCAAACAACAGGTGATTGATTCTATTCTAAGTAAGACACTGACACTAACCCCCTTTCCCACTCCTGCCATTCTTCCTCCTTTCCTCCTCGCCCTCTTGCTATTTCTTGTTTCTTAATTCTTCCCTATCACTTCCTTCCCTCGTTATATACCTCTTTTTTTCATACTTGATTTGTCTGTTATTTTCCGCAATCATTCCACGGCTCAGTGTGTCTGCCGTCAGTCGCTCGTTATAGTATATATATATATATATATATATATATATATATTCCGGTTCCCTTTTCCATTAATTCAACCTGATATCACTGGGTCTGCAGATCAAGTTGATCAACCGCTCGTTGCTATCATCTGCAGATCATTAACGGTCGTCGTTGCGGCTGGTATTCGTTACAGGGCTGTGCATAGAATCTCATCATGAAGGCCACCCTCGCCCTTGCCGGGGCTTCGCTCGTGGGCAGCGCCCTGGCGACTCTGCCTGCTATTGAGACGAAGGTACTTGGCCGAGAGCTGCGATTGACGCGGTCACATTCGTCGCTAACTCGGAAGTTCCGCTCTAGGGTAACAAACTCTTCTACTCCAACAATGGCACTGAATTGTAAGCGGGGATCTTCAAACTAGCATGGACTGGGATTGCAAAACTAACAGATATATCTTAGCTTCATCCGTGGTGTTGCTTATCAGCGTATGTTCATGCCGTGCAAAGCGCGAGTCAAAGTTGATCGGACGCGAACTAATCTCGATATGTAGAGGAATATTCTGCCAATGACACCTCTTCTGGTGACTCTAAGAGCGACTACACCGACCCTCTGTCCGACCCCAAGAAGTGCGAGCGTGATATCCCTTATCTGAAGGAACTGCGCACCAACGTCATTCGTACCTACGCCGTTGACCCCAAGGCCGACCACACTGAGTGCATGAAGATGCTGGACGATGCCGGTATCTACCTGATCACTGATTTGTCCGCCCCTTCGGAGTCTATCGTCCGTAACGATCCCAAGTGGGATGTAGACCTGTTCTCCCGTTACACCAGCGTCGTTGATGCCTTTGCCAACTACACCAATGTTATTGGTTTCTTTGCTGGTAACGAGGTCGCCAACGACAAGAACAACACCGACTCCATCGCGTTCGTCAAGGCCGCCGTGCGTGACATGAAGAAGTATGTCAAGGCAAAGAACTACCGTGAATCCTTGCTTATCGGCTATGCCACCGATGATGATGCTAGCATCCGTGAAGACCTGAAGAACTACCTTGTCTGTGGTGATGACGATGCCCGGATTGACATGTTCGGTTACAACATCTACGAGTGGTGCGGCGACTCTTCCTTCGAGAAGTCCGGTTACAAGGAGCGCACCGAGGAATTCAAGGACTTCCCTGTGCCTGCATTCTTCTCCGAGTACGGATGTAACAACCCTAAGCCTCGCAAGTTCACCGACACTCCCGTACTGTACGGTCCCAAGATGAACAACGTCTGGAGTGGTGGTATCGTCTACATGTACTTCCAGGAGGACAACGACTATGGACTGGTTTCCCTTGACGGTGACAAGGTCAAGACTTTGAGCGATTATTCCTATCTCTCTGAAGAGATCCAGAAGGCCACCGCCACTGGTGTCAATAGCGCCAGCTACACCGCTCCGTCCGCTGCTACGGCATCCTGCCCTTCGGTTGGCAAGGACTGGGAAGCCACCAGCGAGCTCCCCCCATCTCCTAACCCCGATCTGTGCTCCTGCATGGTCAATACCTTGTCTTGCGTCGTGAAGGATTCCGTTAAGGAGAAAGATTACGCGGATACGTTCAACTACATTTGCTCCAAGGATGGAATGTGCGATGGAATCAAGAAGGACGCCACCAAGGGCAAGTATGGGGCGTACAGCGTGTGCACTCCCAAGCAGCAGCTTTCGTTTGTCATGAACCAATGGTACAAGAGCAGTGGCTCCGGCAACAGCCAGGCCTGTGACTTCAACGGCCAGGGCCGTGTCAAGGACGCTTCCAAGGATGACAGCAAGTGTTCTGACCTACTGAAGCAGGCCGGTACCGCGGGTACTGGCAGTGTCACGGCTTCCCCCACTGCCGGCAGTGCTGCTGCTGGAAGTACCTCTACCTCTTCGACTTCCGGCAACGCTGCCGGTGCGGTAAGCCCAGTGGCTGTCAAGGTTGGCGGCTGGCAGTTTGGAGCTTACGTCATGACTGCCTTTGTTGCTGGTGCTGGTATGCTCTTGCTGTAAGGTAGTAATTAGCGTGTATGTGCTCAAAGACGTTAGGAGAATAGCGACATGCGACTTGGGGGATCTTTTGTTCGCTGGAGTGTATTCGACTGTGATTTTTGTCATTTTTTTTTTTGAATATTAACACGTACATACTTTAGCCAATAGCTCAATCGTTCATTCTCTCAAATACATATTCCGTAAGCTGCCTGTTTAGTCGGTTTGGCTGTAAGCGATAGGTATAGTACCATGTATGTATTGAGGTGCGATTTATATGTGCCACGTTTGATGTCGGTTACAGCTGCCGACTCGGCGTTACCTCCCGAACGTACAAAATAGCTATGACCCCAATCTCGGTCACACAAAAGGCATACCGAACACTTTCGGAAAATAATCCGTATGTACCTACCTTCATATTAATAACTTCAAGCTGTCCCTCAGTTGTAAATTGTAGCGATTTACGCTTTATATTATCTCCTGCTTGTTCTTTTGTCATAAAAAGACGGATTGCATTGAACATCTGCATCTATAAACGGTTAAGATTGATCGAACCCTAATTCCATGGCCAGCCATGGGCGGTCCCGACCTTGAATCCCAGACCCCAAACACGATAGACGGGGTCACTAGAGAAGAGGAAGAGAAAGCAGTCAAAGCCGGAAAAGGCTACGGCCTGCCCATCTGGCGAAAATGTATCATTCTCTTCGTCGTTAGTTGGATGACTCTCGCCGTTACCTTCTCAAGCACATCTCTTCTTCCAGCAACCCCCGAGATCGCCGAGGAATTCAACACCACCACCGAAACTCTTAACATCACTAATGCCGGCGTTTTGCTGGCTATGGGATTCTCGTCGTTGATATGGGGGCCTATGAATAATTTGATCGGCAGGAGGATTTCTTACAATCTCGCCATTTTGATGCTCTGCGCGTGTTCGGCGGCAACAGGTTCTGCTGTTGATCTAAAGATGTTTACTGCATTCAGGGTGTTGGGCGGGTTGACGGGGACATCATTTATGGTCTCGGGGCAGACTATCCTAGCCGATATTTTTGAGCCGGTAAATTCTCTCTACCATTTCCCTGTTTGTTTTTTCTTCTTCTTTTTCTTTTTGCAGTTATCCTGTGTAGATCGATCAAGTGCTAACTAATGCGTAACAGGTTGTCCGTGGAACAGCAGTGGGATTCTTTATGGCTGGATCTGTCAGCGGACCTGCAATTGGTACTTTAAATCAAACCCCGAAACTCCACCTTTGGATCTGATGATGATGTTGAAGCTGATATAGAGTTAGGTCCTTGTATCGGAGGCCTCATCGTCACTTTCTCCAGCTGGCGCAATATCTACTGGCTCCAAGTTGGTATGACAGGACTCGGCTTGGCTCTGTCCATCATCTTCGTTCCAGAAATCAAACCAGAAACAAAAGAAGGTTCCGAGGACAAGGAGAAGATGACCGTGCTTTCAGCCCTGCGTCTGTTCAACCCCCTTCGGATCTTCAGACAATGGGTATACCCCAACGTCTTCTTCTCCGTAAGGGCCTCCGACCATAAAAACTAACTACAGATCTAAAACGCTAATCAGTCATGGAAATAAAAAAGGACCTAACCTGCGGCCTCCTTGCCACCTTCCAATACTCCCTTCTGACATCCGCCCGCTCAATCTTCAACCCCCGCTTCCACCTCACAACTGCCCTCGTCTCCGGCCTCTTCTACCTCGCCCCAGGGGCAGGCTTTCTAGTCGGCAGCATCATAGGCGGAAAACTATCCGACCGTACGGTACGAATATATATTGCTCGCCGTGGCTTTCGATTACCCCAGGACCGTCTTAATTCAGGTTTGATTACTCTCTTCGCCGTTCTTCCTGTCTCGACACTCATTTATGGGTGGACGTTGCAGGAGGAGAAGGGGGGCATGGTGGTGCCGATTTTGGGCGCGTTTTTCGCCGGTTGGGGGCTTATGGGGAGTTTTAATACCTTGAATACTTATGTTGCTGGTGAGTCTTTCTCTGCCCCTCCCTCTGATATATGTATATATATATGTATATATCGAATATGCTAATGGGTTGTTCTAGAGGCTATACCACATAAACGCTCCGAAGTCATTGCCGGGAAGTATATTGTGCAGTATATATTTTCGGCAGCGAGTAGTGCCCTTGTTGTGCCTATTATCGATGCGATCGGCGTTGGATGGACTTTTACTATTTGTATGTCTTGGTCTATTCTCCTTAAGGTTGAGTGCGTGACTAACTTGCTGTGCAGGTGTTGTATTTTCCATCATCGGTGGCCTGTTAACGATAGCTACTGCACGATGGGGCTTGGATATGCAACAATGGGCAGAGAAGACGTTCCGTATTCGCGAGAAACCTGGGTTTTGATTCGATACGAATTGGTCCGGCCTTATAATTCTGATTATAGTTATGGCCATGGCTATGATAATGCTTATTTATAGATCTTAGAGATGATATAGATATGAAAACATATAGAATTAATAGACTAATGCCTACAGCCCGTGGCAGGTATATAGACTCTCGTCATTCATGAACGTATCTACTGGATGTAGCAATCCTAGGTCGAAATCAGACTGTGCGAGGAAGTCTTGCATCGTTGGTTCAAGGAAGGCCATTGCTGTGGTGAATCCGCCTGCCATTGTCGGGACTGTTAAATTCCCTGGTGATATGTTTGGATTGCCCTGAGTTTGGCGATATCCCGGGTTGTTGCTGATTAGGTCGGCCTCCGCTGCTGGGATTATTGAGGCGACAGGGACAGCTGTGGCTTGGGGAGCTGTTGACATTGTCGGGATTACGGTAGATGGTACTGCTGGGCCCGATCCTGATGCGGTGCTTAGCCGGCCGGTGGCCGAGCTTGATTTGGGTTCTTTTGGCTTCCGCTGGTCAAGACAATGTTTGACCTGCTCTAGGTTGTGGTAGAATTCTGAAGCTGCGAGGTTCCCGTTCTCACTCATGGCCCGTAGCACTTCCAGACCGGATTCGAATGCGCCGAGGTCGGACGGACTACCGATTGGGAGGAAGCTCGACATTGCGAGTACAAGCGCCGAGGAAAAGAGGTAGTGCGCGTGGAAGTAACCGAATACTGGGAGTGAACCGTTGATCCATTTGGTTAGAATAAGGGAATGCGAATGTCTGGCGGCGTGGATGCACGCTTCACCCAGGGTCAAGACTGGCTGGGAGATACTTTCGTTGCTGGTGTTTGGGGAGCCGGGTTCGTTGAGTTTCATAAGAAGGTGCAGAAGCGTTGGGCGAGTGGTGAGTATGACGCACTGTCGGGAAGATTAGAAGGAAGATGAAAGTGACGGGGAATAAAACATAGTACCTGGTTGAATGAAAGATGTAAGGAGCTTATATGCTTTCGATTGGTTTCTGGGTCGTCTTCATTAAGTCGAAGATGCTCCGGTAGTGTTTCCACCCAGTTTTTCAACGCCTTCAAAAGTTTCTGCACTCTTTGCAGAAACGTCTCATTATATTTTCGTCGACTATACAGCTTTGCAATTGTCTCGCCCACAATCCGGGCCAAATTTATATTGGCCGTTAGATAGTCAGTATCGGAGAATTGCTCCTCGTGTAGCTGTGCCGGGCTGACACTGGACGGCATGTCTAAGTGAATATCTTCGTCGAGGATCTGCGAAGGATGTCCCATCTTCGATCCCCACATGCGATCGAAGGTGTAGATTGTCCACCAAATCCGGATTCGGTGTTGACGCTCCACAGGGTCGATCAGCTGCGATTCAGGAATATTGTGGTTCAGCCCAATTGACAGACCTAACCGCAAGGCGGTTCCGATCAACACCAGGGCTGAATGACGTCGGTTAAGGTAGTAAGAGAACAGTGACTAATATCGTTAGCTAGGACTTCACTTACAAAAAGGAGAGTGCATACCAGGAGCAATAGGGTTTCCAAGTGGGTCATGCTCGTTCTTTCAGGCAACACTTGGCCCAGACTCAAGGCTCGCGCGAAGTATGAGGTCCCCGGGACCCTGGATCCAGAGGATGGCTCGGCCCTCATCGAGTATGCTTCTCCGAATGCGAACAAAGCAAAGAACTTGCACTGATTGATGGTGCAGTCGAAGCTGCCCATTCTATATATCTCCTCGAGCTTCTCTAACGTTGATTTGCGAAGAACTAGGTGATAGATGTAGCCGACTTGACGTAATGCTATCTTTACCAGTAATCGAGCCTGCTGGAGACTGGGCCATTGCACGTTAGCTGCATTGGCCGCAGCGATATGCTCTTCCTTGACATATTGAGTCCGAGGAATATGGGGTAAACCATTGTCTCCCGTTAGAAACCGGCGAAAGCGTGTAGCAAACGCTGTACAGGCTGCCTCACCAACAAAGAGTGGAGGTGCAGATGGATCGTAGCGGTGAAACCATGCACGGTCACCAATCAGCGGATTGCGCACACTGGTGTTGGCCTCATCCGGTGCTTCTGCTGGTGGCGCTGGCTCTGGCTCGGCATCATGATCCGCGTCGGTCGTGTTTACCGAGGATGCCGACTGTTCTTTCAACCGTCGGTTTTCCGATAAAAGAAAGTCCAAGTAACTTGGCATGTAAGCTCAGATGCCCAACAATGTCGTGTCACCTTGTAGAAGCCGGATAGTGAGTCATACCTTTCGCTCACTTTGATCTGTCGATCCCTTGGTGTGTACTCGCACTCATCCGCACACCCAACCAGGCGACATTTGGAGCAAGGCTGATCTCCAGAGCACTTGATCTTATGGGAATGACAGCGCTGGCAACTGAGTTGTTTAATAAGTCACTCTAGTTGTTGAATTGAAAACCACATTGCGGGTCACGTACGCAATAAACTTCCTACGCTTCGACGGCTCACTGGCCTGTTCGGTAGATCTGCTCTGTCTTTTGCGATTCATGGCATCGGGTGGGTACTACTGGTTTGAAAGGTAGGCATTGACCATATCCACTTGAATAGTTGACAAAACGTTGATCGGATTTTGCAGGTACTCTTTTTTCTTTGGTTTCGATTGCGTCAAGGAAGTTCGGTCGGCGTTTCGTTACATTCGCCGAACTTCATTTTGGTCCAATCATCGTGAGCCATTCATTCATTTAGTAATATTTATATAGTTAGTAATAATTGGTCGCAATCAACACCTGTAGAATATTCTTCTCTTGTTACTAACTATTTTATGATATGCTCGAACAATGAGTATTAATGAGTGGATTATTTGATTCTAACGGAGCACTGGCCAGTCAATATGGTGTCTGGCAAAAGAAATCCCAGGTGCTAACTCGCCCATGTCAGACTCTTCAATGAACAAGTCTATCTAGGGTAGATCTACCCTGTAGTCAGGCAAATACGGAGATATTTTTAAAGGCTCTCTAAACGTTCTAATCTGATCTTGTGTTAAAAACGTATTCGTCTGCGACCTAAACTAAGATTGGAACTCATCTCTTCTACATCAATTGATTGGCCGGTGTCATTGAACAACGTCAATATTGCTATCCCTAATCATTAAATGATGGAAGAGCGTCTTCCCTCATACTAGGGCCATTAGAGTCTCCGCGGAAGTATGTAAGAAAGGTAGAGATATTCATGCTAACCATGGGATTAGGTAGATCCTGACGGAGAGCAGACGATGCTCGAAGGGCGTATAGCCTAGTCAATGCGGCCAAGAATAGGGAGGAGATAGCAACAAATGTGTATTTAGTCTTATCTTATTCTACACGTAAATAGAGCTATAGGAGTTAATGAGACATATTGCTGTATGGGTGTATATGCGGAGATCATTTGCCGAGAGGATTGGCACGGTGCGCGATAGACGTCGATCTATCTCCAGTAGAGCCTCAGATTAATGGACCCTTCACTCCTGATCTTGTCACCCCACAGTTTAAGTTTCATTCAACCGTGAAAGAGAACGGGTGGCTGGATCTCACAGCTAGTCTGATTGGGTTGTGTACTGATTCTTCAATTGAAGACATGACACGCGTCATGAGTGTTGCTCAACAGGCATTAAGTGCTGGCCTCAACCCGTAAGCACCCTTACTGGTGTCCCCCCGGTAGTTTGCAGACTCGTAAGACACTTTAGTATGACGGGATCATCGATGCCTTTCCAAAGACTGGGTTGAAGATGCTGACCAAGGTTTGTGGTCCATGTTGTGGCTCCTGGGAACGAACTGACATCCCCAAAGTATACAGTATGTCACTTAAGGGATCGATCATGACAACCTAACATCTATTCCAGGGGACACTTAATTTCAGTATTGCTCTGTATAATTCGTAATATCTCCGGTCATCTTGAATCGAACCTGGTTCCGTTTTCGAGGCCACCCTGAGAACATCTCAAATGATGCGGTGATCGGAGCTGTCAACGCGGAGACCGGCAAAAGCCAACCTGATCTGTAATCACTTGACTGGTAAAACGGCAACATACCCAACATAGCCCAGGCTTATCAAGCCAAAGGCCGTTCTTGAATGGTGGTTGCTGGCCATAATTACGGGGAGTGATCCTCCAATGAGCATGCTGCCTTCCACCCTCGATACCTTGGAGGCGTGGCCATTATCACCAAGAGTTTTGCACGTATTCATGGGGCCAACTTGAGAAAGCGAGGAATGCAGCCACTGACCTTCGCCGATGAGGTGGACTATGGCCGGATCTGCTCTTCGGCTCCTAGCTAGCCGCTCAGAATATTGGTAGCCTCATGAGAGCCACCTAAAGAGCCGTGGCAGTTGGAGGTCTCTCATTCATTTACTCACGAATAGATCGGTTATTTCAGGGCAGGCAGTGTACTTAATTTGATGTCCAAGTATGTTCCTTTGCCTACACTTCTGGAGCGTAAAATTCAGGCACTAGTCAAGACATCATGATGTTGACTTACCATACTGTGGTCGGTGATAGGGATGTTTCATAACTAAATCCAAAGATATATACGATGCTATGGGGCTGTATAGACAGCCCTTTCATAAACTAAGAAAGCAGAGCTCGAGCTAAAGCACCCATCCCCATCCCGATTTATGCATCTGACGTAAACCTAGCCCTAATGAGTATGCGCTCAACGCTGGGAATGGCGGGTTTCTCCTCCAAGGGCTTTGTTTTTGAATTTTTCTCACATATCCTTGTGGCTTGTTAAAATGACATCTACCGAAGCCTAGCTTCCACGCGATAGCTTTACACCGAAGACTGGAGACAAGCATGCCTAAGCTCTGGAGAACTTGGATGGACCGTGCTTTCCAGGAGAGACGGAACCCACCGAGTATTGAATCCTTCTAATGCTCTAAAAGTTGCCAACAACATATGACTGAAGGGTCTCTCCGCTTTACGTTTTATATCTCTTGTCACAAGAAAGAGATGTGAACTTTTCAACCTTTCAATTCAAGTCTTCTCTTTGGTCATCAAAAGCAATGCGCATATAACCCCAGTATCTTTTAACTCTAAGTTAGATCAACGTTCAGATGACTTTTGGTTAATACCGGAAAAAAGACCCTCCATTTCCGAACTTTCGGCGGATGAACAAGTGAGTTGTACACTGATAGCTACTGTATCTCAATAGTTTGTGATCTAACGACTTCTCAAGCCGGACAGGACAGCGAGATATGTGAAGCTTGTGGGCTTGTTGTGAGGAGCTTAACTCTGCCAGATATCCACCACTCTGCCTTCGTTTTATGATACCCTGGTTTACTACAAAGAGTAACCCCGTATATTACACGATATGTTGTAGTTCCAATCCCAAGGTCTATCAACAAAGGAGACAGAAAAACCAAGTACTCTGCCGGGTGTGATCAAACTAGACGTGGATGACGCTTTTAGATTGTGACCTTTGTAATGGTCAGCGACCGACATATCTCACATAGCGTCCGTTGCTCTGAAGAAACAACTGATCGGGGCTCTTTTGTAGAGTAGACGTAAGTGATCATCTCAGGAGCGGGGCATTTGCCTCAATACTTGTTGTCAAGAGCGTTGGTAGGTAATAGGTGGCGAATAGAATAAGGAGAAGAGCTCGAAAATCAACACCCTGTCCTATTCATGTGGGTCAGTTGACTCAGTTGATGCAGGGGACGTAAGGCCTATGTCACTGATCGTCTTAATGTAGATCAGGTTTGTTTGAGGCGACGGGTTTCCCACCGCGACTCAGAGAGACTCGAATGCCTCTTAACACCCTCGTCGCATTTCCCGAGGTTGGAAAGAGATGTAGTTAATTTGCAGACACTCCAGGGTTCAGGTACATGCCGCATCTGGTCTGTATCAATCTGTCGAGAGCAAACCTCGGTAGGTAAAGTAGGGGCAAGTCAGCTGAGGAAAAACTGTTGCTCCGCGTTTGGAGAGTTTGATAAAAACCCTTTCGGAACATAATTCCTCGCCAATCAAAGAGCCCCCTCGCAGTTGTTGAACACTTCCACCCCGTCTCTTTTAGTACCTTGTAACCTTCTTCCTTTAACCCAACCACCTCTCTTGGTATAAAGAGCGCTCAGGATCACCCCGAGGGTCACTTTTTCTTTGTCACTCTCTTCCTTTTCCCATCCCATCCCATCTTCCCTCCCCTCTTCTTTTTACTTCCACCCCTTTTCTGTCATGACGTAGTTAAGATGCACAACCCTGAGCCTCAAGAAATGGTCGCTTCAACACATGAAGCACTGGGTTCTTCTAAGATATGCTACCAGACCATCATGACGTCAATACCTAGCAGTGGACGCGTCGAGAATAGGAACGCCAGTCTGGGAATCGAAGTAGATGTTACACAGGGTTGGACAGTGGGACCAATACCGCCCGAGTGGAGGGTGAGACGGGAGGTACGCGACGAGCATAGTTGGTTATAAAGTCACGGCTAACATTTAGTTCTCCGGCTTGCAGTCACAAATCTGCGATGCTATCAGATGACAGTGACGCTCCCTTTGCGCGCGTATCATTCAATCATGGCTTTGAAACGCCCTTCGCATCTCAAGATCTTTATCAGAAACCCCGGTCCAACGATCGTACGTAGTTCCACGGAATAGTAGAATGTCAACGAGGATATCCTGGTGATTGACATTACCTGCAACTTCTCAAACGCATTGGACAAAGGAGCATGAGGTCAATGTCGATAGAGAACAGGAGCCGAATTCAAATTGTTGCACCTCCCGGGAAGTCACTTCCCGATTATGGGCTCCTCTGTTTGGATAAAACTGCTAGACTGTTGATGACCACTGGCAGGCGGTTCTTCACCTTACACTTAATCATCGTTTCCCATAAGGTGTTCGCGTTGGTAGGACATCCCCTTGAAGCACCTTCGTGAGGATATAACTCGGAGACTATTGCTCTCTAAAGGAGCAAAGAGAGCATCAGTTGTGGACCTGCTTGATCTGGCCAAACGAAGTTCCACCAGCGGAGCTTCCCTACATTTTCATGATAAAACGCTTGAGGATTCGATTATTGAGCCAATTTTCGCCACATATCCATATGAGACGCCTGCTTCCTTCCACCTGTTTCCAGATCGGCTAAGCTATAGTCATATGTGCTCATTTTGTTCCACGAGACTCGTGAGCAAATGGTCTCACTGCTATTCAAGTTTTGACAAGAAGATGACAAGGTAAGAGCAAAGTGCGATAACGCTGTTCATAATGTACATTGTTGATAGTTCGCTCCCATGAATATCCATATCTCTGTTCGTCATCCGGGGATTAGTCGCTGCTGTCGGAGAGCATGAGTTTCAGTTATGATATATAATCTGCACTTTCGCTCAGTGTGGATGAGCTGAGATCAAGCAGGGAGTGTATCACAGGTGATGGGTCGACTGATATCACGGGCAGGGAGCACAAAAGAAAATGAGCCATTTGATAACTATACCTGCACCCTAACCATTCTTAGGGTCAGCAGGTGTTAAAGCTTCAATCGTCTTTGCTATTCAACTGCAGTGATGAGATAAAGCAACATCCGTCTCACTTTGGAGTGTTCTCATTCCCAAGGTCGCATCTCGGTTCAACTTCTCGAACCTCAGGCCGTTGCACAGTACTGCGATTGAGGGCGGCATTATTGACCCTGCCTTTTACAGCAAGGCCAATGTGAAGGGTAACCTGAGCAATAGGCAGATGGCAATCTTCATTACCGGTCTAGGAACTGTCTCATCTCATGGCTTGCTTTCTAGAAACCAGGCTCCGATGCAACCGGGTTAGTATGTTCCCAATGTACATGGTCTAATATCTTTAGAAAACGTCATCAACGTGCAGTACATATTCTGCGAGCTGACCCTCACTGAAAACATTATGCAGTCGATATTTTGGACAAACGATCATGAGGTATAATTGGAAGCCTCCCGTGATCTCGACATCGTACACAATACAGCATGGGTCCTGTCATTTCTTAGGTTTAGGGAGAACCTAAAAGAACAGGAAGAGAGAAACATGGAGAAACTCAACGCATTATGACCGCAGATCGCAGATTGCAGAACAAAGAGGGGCAGAAGAGAGTGATTAAAAAAAACATTGAAAGAGAAAAGAAAGAGCAAAAGTAAAAGCCAATCTCCTAACAATACTATGGCACTGCCCAGATTTTCGTTTTTGCTTTTTCTCAAACCCGTACCCTTGTTCTTGAGCCTCCGTCCTGTTTAATACAGGATTGGTATCCGGGAGGTAAGGTATGTCCACGAGTATCGATACCTTGGTTACAAGTTCGGAAGCGAGCCGATTCCCGCACCAGTGAGCACGGCAGTGAGCTCCAGCCTACCACAATCCTTCCTGGGTCCCTCACTTTACCACCGCTACCTTCCTAGTTCCATAGGTATGTATGTATGTTTGTTTGTATATTACCGTGGCTGACAAGGAACATCGCCGTTTCCCGCGTTTGTAAGCCACCTCTTAAGCCACTCTTAATACTTTCGAATTTGCTCGGGCTTAGTGTGTTAACATCCAGGTTGTTCGCACTATCAGAGGGCTGGGACAAAGGGGGGTTGGCAAGATTTCCTTTGACAATGTCCGACCCCAACCGTCCTCCACCCTTTCATTATCCGTCCTACACTTCAAATTCATCCGAGTATCCTGGGAATGAGGCAACATTCAACGACTGGGCGATGCCCCAGTATTCGCAGCCGTCCTATGCACCTTCGGTCAACTACGACATGGTAACTGGCTTTGCGGAGAATCCCGCAAGCGCTTCGCCTATATTTTCGGGGGAGCGGTCTTTAAATTCCAAGGTCGCAATTCCTAGATCAGCAAACCCAAGCAACTGGACTAGCAGCGGACGGGTCAGCCGGGCATGCGAGAATTGTCGAGAACAGAAAGCAAAGTGTAGCGGGCATCGCCCGACTTGTCAGCGATGCCAAGAATCCGGCGCTCGTTGCTCATATGGCGATCGGAAGCGAGAGAAGATGGCCAAGTGCGTTGTGTGATAGCTTGCGAAGACTAGTTTGAATTTCTGACGGTGGGTAATAGGCAACTGAGTGATCTGACCAACAAGTCTAAGATATATGAAGATTTGTTGAACGATGTCCGTTCGAAGGTAGATTCGCAAACTGCTGAACAAATCCAGCAGGTTATACGTGAAGTAGGTTCTTGTATTTCCCCCTCCGCCCCCCGATTTGGCTCGCTCAATTAATAATTTACAGCAAAGCTCGCGCAATGATCAGGCACCTGGTCGCAAGACGCCGATCTCTTTGTCCACTGTTCGAGGAGCTGATACCACTGCTAACCCTAGCCCTGATTCGATCTCCTCCTTAGTGGCGTTGGATTACATCAACGAAGATTTCAACCGTGATGAGAAGATACAAGCAATGGGATTTGTCGGCGAACATTCCGAGATAGCATGGCTGTATAGATTGAAGCGAATGCTCGAGCGCTCCAGCCCTGTTACACCTAGTCCCAGAGACAGTTGGGACCGCCCGTCGGTTGCTTCAATGAGCTTTTTCTTGGATGATTCGGATATTCCTGCCATGGATAATGTCGATCCCTTGCAGCGGCCTGAGCAGATGCTTGCTGATCAGCTCGTGGATAAATACTTCTCAGTCATCCACCCATTCTTTCCGATCATAGGCAAAGCGATCTTCCTGAGGCAGTACAAGTCGTTCTACTCAACTCCGTTCGTGCGACCGGGGAAAAGATGGCTAGCGATATTAAATATGATTTTTGCTATCGCTGCGAGGTACTGCCGCCAGTTACAGGCTGATGACCAAGATACACCGGATGATGGGCCCTTGTACTTTTCACGGGCATGGAAACTTAGTATGAGTGATGTGGCTCTATTGGATCATCCGAATCTACAACAGATACAAGTGGAAGGTTTAACATCATTCTATCTCTTGTCTGTGGGGCAAGTCAACAGGTGCGTCTGCTGTACCAATATAGTTCGAAAATTGGTTCTAATTCCTCCCGTTTCCTACGTAGATCATGGAGAATATGTGGCACCTCGATACGATCAGCCGTTATTATGGGGCTGAATCTACGGAATGAGAGCAGCATGGTTGTCCACACATCTAAAGAGACTCGCTATCGTGTATGGTGGTCAATTTACATGCTCGATATTCAACTCTCCGTGATGACTGGTCGTCCACCTCACTGCAGTAGCGACTTTTGTACTACACCCTACCCGGTGCCTTTCCAGGAGGAAGAATTTCTAGACGATAACATCGTTCAAGTCATTGCGGATAATGAGACTCGAAACATCTTTATGGAAGCTTTATCGTCAAAGCACTTGACAAAACCTTTCAACGAGGCCATGACTTCAGAAAGCTCCGGCCACCCATTGTCAAATCTCGGTAAACATTGTTGGCAAGCTGCACTAAATGCTGTGGAATCTCTCACACCGAATACCTCGCTATATTTTCTTTGTCTTGTCGACTTAGGCTTGATCTTGCGTGAGTCTATCGACACATTATACGCCCCAGGCGCTGCTCGAAAATCGTGGCTTGAGGTAGAAATGGCCATTTCCACATTGAACGGCAAAGCAGATGCATGGCTCTCCCGGCTTCCGGCAGCATTTGACTTTACCCACGGCCACCAAATGTTTGAGAGACAGAGGTCATGTCTAGCCTTTCGCTTCTGTAGTGCCAAGATCTTGATTACTCAGCCATGTCTTAGTCGTGTCACACGGAAAGCTCCGGGTGTTGAAATACCAGGAAATTTCTGCAATACAATGGCGGCTATGTGTGTCGATCTCGCGGGTCAAATGCTTGATCTCTTACCCGATTCGCCGGAACCATCATGGGTCTACCATGTCTCACCTTGGTGGTGTGTCTTGCACTTTCTTATGCAATCGACCGCCGTGCTCCTGACTGAACTACTCCTCCTCGCAAAGGCAGGAACTATTCATCAAAGGACAATTGCTGAGAAAGTTTCTAAAGTGACGCGTTGGCTAGCTGTGATGTCTTCTAAAGATACATCGTTTCAGCGCGCTCAACTCGTGTGTAGAGACCTGCTCTCCCAGAATACTATGGAACTTGATATTGGAGCCTACACAGAAGATGATAAAAACTGACTATCGTGAAGGTCCCAGGTATGTTTACTGTTAGCCAGACGGCGCGTGCCTGGTTGGGGTTGACTACTGTGTCAATGCACCCACATACTAGTACACCGCCAGTCACCCGTTGAATTGCTTCCTTTGCACCGAACACGACTTATTGCAAACGAAGCCATTTCTTCCACCTTTTTGCCCTGACAAGGCGCCGTTCCAGACTTGATGTCATTCGGATCTCTAGTCTTCGATGACTTGCCTTTATGCATATATCTGGTGCATTGCATTCTGGCTTTATGGTTCCGTAGTGTCTCGACCAGTGTTACATGCCTTATCCAAGTATACTTCTCATCTCGATTCTTATGAAATTTGTGCCGCCTTGCCCACGTAACTGCCACGGGTGACTGGAGCAAATCACCCGCCACCTCGACTTAATCCTTAACTGATCAAACAATATCAATAGGCAGGCCCACTGTGCCACTAATACTTCCCTTTCATCTTATTTTATTTTTTATACGACTTTTCTTTCCCCTCGGTTATCGGTCCTAAGCGTAGATACGATAGGGATCTATGCTGTGCGTGGTTTTGGGTGGGGTTAGAACTTCTTATTGCCCTCCACTCTCGCGAAAACTCAGTGAAAGTTGTTGCTAGACCTTATTGATAAGTAAGTCACCGACAATTAACGCCACTTCAGAGGATCGTGTCTCTATTCCCTAAGAGTTAAAAGATATGCAGAGCTCCACATCAACTGATGATTTAGGCCTAGATGTGCCCCACTAGCTGTTTCTGCTTCTCTATGCTGAGGTAGATAAGTCTGAAAAGTACCCAGGGACCCCCTGGTAAGGTCACTCCGTATTGAGTGGGTCTATGTCCTCGCTGTCATTCGCTGGCGAGCCGGCCCGTGGCAGCGGAAGGTTCCTTCTGGCTGGTACTCCCAATGTCTTTCTCCTAGGTATTGATCAGAGATCTACCATCCCTTGACTCGAATTGGGTGACGGGTCATACCTTACGGCCCACTGCTTAAGCAAATACCAGCCGTTCGTTTTGTGTCAGATCGTCTGAGACACTTTATTATATAGGTCTCCTGTGTGACAAGTCTAACGTGGCAGGCCTTACCGCGAATCACACTAACTCGGTTGAGATACCCATTTGGCTCCTTGTCGAAGTGCCAGACTGTCTAAGGTAAGTGATGAGTCTGGAACTAGTACTGGGGTTGTAAGAAACTTAAGTGGATGGAGTACATGCATACATTCTCGCGTATACGTAATTTCATCTATCACACACTCTGTAAGTTCGCTGGGCGTTCCATGGATCCATTCTGGGTCAAGTTAGTTAAATCGGCTCAAAAAAGTTCCGTTCCACCAGATTCGCAAAGAATTCATACCATATGAGACCGTATACGGAGTAAGATTCCAACGTCAAAGGTTAGCCTGTCCGAAGTAGGAAAAATGTAAAGAGTTGTCTACATTTATGTGTCGGAAATATCCGATCGAATCTCAAGAAGCGCATCCTGATGTGTGGGTTTGGTACAGATTAACACTAGTGCCTCCGTAACTCAAATGGTACGGATACTCTGTATGTACTTGGTAGCAAATCCCGACAGCCCGTTCAAACCCCGAGGTCATGCTGATTATCCCTAACTATTCTTTTGGGTTATCACTGAGGGGCCAAGAATCGTACATACTCCGCAGGGTAGGTAGTAACATAGTTAAGCGCCAACTGCCTGCTATTCTTGAACCCCACATACACAATGTAGGTATGCACATGTATGCAGGTAGTACGGAGTACCCAAGTTGTTTTTCGGATCAGTAAGGCGCAACGTTAGTATTCAAGTCTTGTTTGTAACTACACAGAGTACGTTGCATATGACAACAAGGGGGAGTCATGGAATGAGTAAGGAGGTGATTAAGTTCGTAAGAATTTGAAATTAGGCGTCAGTATTCACTTCCGGTTGACTTTTTCCGCGGACACGAGAGTTAACTACGTACAAAAGCTCCTTGCATCTGTTATATTGATGGTAGTTGACCTACTTTATGTATTTTACCTCCTGAAAGGGCCCTCTCTTTTTCTCCTTCTCTCTATGGATCTGCAGAATAATCAGACCTGCTCCTCTCTTCGTCGTGTGACAAACGAAGAGATAATCGCAATGCTCAGTTGGATAATCAAGTGCTCTTGTACTAGGAACAACATGGTAGCCACTGTTCTTGCTAGAGAACAAACCAGAATCTAATTCTGGGGAGAGAACTAGCTTGCATGACTCAGTAGATTCTTTGTACTATAGAGCTCACTGTATGGTAACAACTAAACGACCCAGTCATGACCCTAGCACGTGATTGTTAATGTACACACCGCCTTCTTGTTAAAGAACATGTGGGGATCCCCCTTGTGGATGGATAGAGAAGCGCTCTGCTCTTGATAATCTAGTGGTTAACGTCGAGCCATTTATGATTACCTATCAGGGACATCGCAGGAAACCCTATTTTAAAATGCGATAGTGAGAGGGGAAAATGTCTCTAAGGGGGCCTATGAAGCATTCACACCTGAGACAGGTGAGTGCTGCTAGTCTAGAGACTCTCTCTACCGCTCGTTCCCTGGCAGTATCTCAAAATGATGGTCAGAGTGATAACCCATCAACTCCCGATGAGAGAACAATCCGGCTATCATCTACCGGCTTGGATCGGCGGCAGTGCTCGTTATGGGTTCATGATGAGACTTTCTCCAAGGAGGAAATCTTATTCAATCAGACTGCGTTCACCGACATGGGCGTGAATGTTGGCGATGTCATCGAGATATTACCTGCTCGCTGCCACGGGGATGGCGCGCATTCCGTTAAACCAGATCTCGGCTCGAGATCTGTGCGCGATGGACATGTTGAATCGAACTCTACATTTCATTCAAACTCAATGTCCAAGTTCAAGACCCCTTTACAAAGCCGGTGCCTCTTTGTGGTCAAACCCATGCCGCAAGAGATAAAGACAAGGAATCCCAAGCTGGAGCTCTCGCTCACCACCAGTATCGCCAACATATTCGGGTTTAAGAACCGGGCTACAGTTCATATCTCGATTGTAGACCGTGCGCAATGCGGTGCCTCGCATGTTGATATCTCCTTCCGCGACCAGTTCATGGTCCGGTCTGATATGTGGAGATTAGTCATGTCGGAGCTGGCGGAGAAGATTATTTACAAAGGCCAAAAAATCGTATTCATGGGAAGTATCAAGGCAACCGTAAAGAATATCTTCATCCGAGGCAAAAAGGTCCTTTCGGGCTTCTTCTCTCCGCAAACTATCCCCGTGTTCCGCAGCGAATCGGCAAAGTACGTCTTGTTCATTCAGATGTCACGGGAGATGTGGGATTTCGACTCGGAAGGTACGGGGGACATTCTATTTAGCAGAGTCATCAATGGGTTTCTCCCTGAATTGTTTAAACGGTGGGCCAATTCAGATGCGAGACATCTAGTTACCATCGTTTTGTTCACGCGGGTTGAGTATGATGCATCGACGATCGCCTCTTCCAGTCTTGGTTCGGAGAACTTGACGAGCATGTTTGGTCCGAACCACGTCCCCACGAGGGACTTCTATCGAGTAGTGGTTAATGATATGGCAAGCGGTCATTGGACTACTATTTTGGACGAACTAAAGAAGGATTTCAGAACCTTTCTGAGGGACGTGTCGACCCTCAAAGTGCACGATGCGGATACTCCGACGATCAACGGAACTGGAGCCTCAAAATTCCAACCCGTAACCATTGCAGGGAGACCAAGTACTGCCCTCCGTGGCAACATACTTGAAGCCATTCACCTTGCATCTTCACACCTTGCGTTTGACCATATCGACCGTGATATGGTTCATACAGGCACCTCCATCATAGTCATCACACCCGGAAGCGGCGTTTTTGAAGTATCATACGAATCATTAGCGTCCACCACAGAAGCACTCACAAACCGCGGCATCGCTATTGACCTTGTTTGTCTTAGCCCTATGCCCCTCCACTCTGTGCCCTTGTTCAAGTATCGGGAGCCAGCCCAAAGACCAACTACTGCCTCATTCAGCGATATTCAACAGGGAGGTTATTCCCCTGAAATGCGCCATTCGTTTGCCAGCTTATCAAGTAAGACGCCGCACCTTTCCCCGAAGTCAGCTCTTCTCGAATCCTTCACGGGGATGGGTTCTAGTGTACAGTGGTCTAGCCGGTCAAATGAGTGGAATTACGGCATCCCTCACTGGCTTGATATCTCATATTGGAACCCTGAAACATACAGGGAGTCTCGGCGTATCTTGAAGAAAGACCCTAATGCACCTATTCCGTTCACTGTAACCAAACAGTCGAAGGTCTTTGTCCCGCGGGTGCGGATGTATGAAATCCAAATGATGGGTGTTATGGAGAGTGAACAATCGAACATATCAATCCCGTACCTCTCTGAGGGGCGGAGTGTCTCTAGGTTAACCAGCTCCACCCTCGACTCAAGCCCAGGTAGCCTTGTTCCGCCTAAAGCCACCTTCAGGCGCAATTCTCCCTTCAGGCATCAGCTGAGTGACAGTCTACGACCGGAGCCTTTTCTTCAGAACATGACAAGTTCAAAGGATGCGATGCTTGCTGCATCAAAAAAGACGCCAAAAACTTTTCTCTCTTGGATGGATAACTATGATGAAAATGCGTTCCAGCCCTTCCCAAAACGGCGACATCGCCGTAAGCCATCAAAAGTGAAACGGCCTAGTGAGCCAGAGGTGAAAGCGTCTAACGCGCATGAACGAATTTCTGCTAGATCGATATCGCGCCTTAGGGAAAATGAAAGTACTCGTTCAGCATCGCGCCAGACTGAACCCCCACTTTCAGCCCCCAAAAGCCCTGTGTCTAGCAAAAGCGCCTCTCCCAAGAAACCAGCTCTGAAAAGCTCTAAAGCAAAGCTGCCACGTATATCGCGTACAATTAGCTTCGCTCTTCGCGGCCTAAATTCTACCCCGCCGAGAGCTCAGGCGAGCACAGAAGTCAATGTGGAACATGCCAGAGGCTTGCCGACGTCTAATCAGAAGAAGTCAGCTGGTATGTTTGCGGACAATAGAAGTGTGGATTCTTTGAGTGCGTCAGATAGCGCATCCACCGTGATTGACTTATCCGCGTCTCCAGCAACACCTCAGAAAACAACCAAGAGCACGTCCATTACACCATCGAGGCCGATATCGATCAAAGTGCCCCCCAAACAACCTCTGGAAGACTCGGAGCAGCCAGAACACCCAGTCATAATGGAGTCGGTCTCAACCACTACCACGGAGATTCCTCTAAACGGGGACGCTCGCCTTGGGGGGCAGCCAATACGGCATACCCCTAGATTTGAGGTGAGCCTGAGTTCTGGGTCGCGCGACGGGCCCTCAAAATCTCCGCATAGCAAAGCACTGGCCCCTTGGGTTCGCTCGATTAATCCATGCAACACCCCAAGAGAGGTGTTACGGGATACTAGCTGGTTTGGGCGATGGCAACATGCTTATCCAAGGCCTCCTCATGTTGCAGTGGTCAAGTGGAAAAGCTTGAAGTCACCTGCCGTCCTCCCACTGACAACAGAAGAATTCCCCACGCCAAATGAACTTGCATCAGACTATCTTCAAACACCATACCGTGTTTTCCCAAATGATGATCTTGAAGGCATCGAATCCCCTAAAACAAGAAGCGTGCTCTTACGGGAAATGATCTCGCTACGTCTTTCCCACGGGTTCCAGATTGTTGTTGGGAAGAATGTTGTTGAAGCGTCAGGACAATATTCCCTCCAGTCACCAAATGTGTTTGACCCTCATGGTTTAGAAAGGGATGGAACCACTGTCTTTTTGTCCAAAGGTAATTCAATCCATCGATTAATTTGTATTGATGGTGCAGAGATTGAGGTCACGCGATACACACATCGAAACTCCTCGCTTCTAGCATCTGATCAGAAAAGAAAATTCACTCTGTATTCGCCGGCGATGAGAACAATCTTGAGTCCCGAATACGTGGTGAAGGATATAAGATTAGACTCGACCTATGAGGAGTACAATTGGAATTACGCTGATAATTATGTGGCTGGTCATCGAGACTACTTGTTCAATCCAGCTCAACAACTACACTTCTGGCGTGTGCGCTACGTACTGATTCCGATGCGTTTGCACTTCCATTCTCGGGGTCATATACATGGGTTCAACGAAGACAATGAAGAAGAAATCCATCTGCTCGGCATAAATCAGCTTACGCATATATGGCAGCGCCACAAGTACACCCCTCCGGAGGAGAAGCGGTTTGAGAGCTCCAACAAGAAGAGGGATCACAATCCTCTCAACATCATGTATCAAACCCGGAACCCATCCGAGGTTATTGCGGCTGAATTAGACCGTATCATACTCACGGATCCCGGTCTCGACTCGTCTCCTGCACAGCTACTGCCAGAATCAGAGTTACTCGAACGATCTAGTATCAGTCTATCGTCCTTAGCGCAGATAATCCAGGGTGACAAAGGAGTTAGGATGATGGATCGAAGGTGGCACTGGCGACTTCATTACAATTGTTTCATTGGTTTCGAATTCACGACTTGGCTGCTCCAAAACTTCCGCGACATTGACAGCCGGGAAGAAGCGGTCGAATTTGGCAACGAGCTAATGAAGCACGGTCTCTTCCAGCATGTAGAAAAGCGGCACAATTTCCGGGATGGGAATTATTTTTATCAGATCTCTAGCGAGTATCGTCTCTCGCGGCCTGAATCTCGCGGTAGCTGGTTCCCTCAAATACGATCGGACAAATCTGTTCCCTCAACTCCGGCGGGTGAGACCTCGAAAGACTCGCCTATATGTGGACATACCCGCTCCGACAGCACTGAAGAGACACAGCCACAAACTCCAAGTACACCGTCAAAGCTGAAGAATAAAGCGTCCATCACGTTATCTAAAACTATGAAATACGACGCCGACCCTCGCAAACGCTCCAATCGACCCGAGGTCATTGATCTTCATTTCGATCGGCTGCATAACCCCGAAAATTGTTTCCACATCGAGCTCAGCTGGATGAATACCACCCCAAAACTGATTGAGGATGCGGTTCTGTCGTGGGCTTCGACAGCCGAGAAGTTTGGACTTAAACTCGTCCAAGTTCCTATTGCTGAGGCCTGCGCCATTGACAAAACGCAGCCATTTCGGAAACCATACCGAGTTCAACTCAAGGTCCCTCCTCCCAGAGGGCCTATTACACTTCATTACAACTCGGGATCATTCTCCCAGCCAGTTCCATTAGACCACCAGTACTTTCATAAAGCGCTTTTGCGAAAATTTGACTTCGTCCTAGACTTCGAGGGCAGGTCTTCTTATCCCGCGGATGTCGAAGTGTCATATTCCTGGGGAATGCCTGACTATCAATATTCGCAGTATATCCACCGGTCTGGTAGTCTTCTAGCTCAGATCACTGACGAGGGTGACTTCCTACTTCTTGCCAACCGGCTTGTCAGCACACGAAGTGCTGCCAGCCGAGACATGCCGAGACATGAGCGATTAGACCGGCCCGACCACCATCGAGCACGTGCGGGGACTTTCGATCCGGTAGACCGTATATCTCCACGCCTTTCGCCCATGGCTCGACCGGTTCACGAGATCTATAGCCCTCTGAGTCCTCGGGGAAGCGCGAGCATTGATTCCGCAAATCTCTATCGAGCTCCCGAGCATATTCTTAGTGGGTTTGCAGACTTCTGCAATGATCCGGTTAGACTCGAGCAATTCTACAATGAGACACATGTGCGCCCGGCTTCGACCAAAGTCGGCCCAGCACCCACTACGTTCATGGACGCGTCCATACCTTCTCTTGAATTACCTGCCAGTGTTGTTAGCCATCATATATCCCCCCCGCCTGGTCTCCCATCAAGATGCTCGCAAAACATAGCCGCTCCTTTGTCTGAGCTGAGAACCCCATCGCGGGATGACAGCAATGTACCCAGAGGAAGTCCAAGGAGCGGCAGCTTGCGACCACTTTCTCTGGGATGAAACTTAAATCGTACGCATGATATACTTTGCACTGTGACATTGGTCTGGAAATGTAATAATGAGATTTCACTGAAAAGTACCGGAGGTTTAGGCAGAGTTCGAACATATACCTACGGATGTTAGTATGCAGTCCTATTTAGCGCTTAGACAAAATATAATATGTACATACTATCTACTACTACTTGATCGATGCTCTTCGGCTTGACTGCCTTAAGCTAGTGGCGACAGCGAGTGACTTTTCTTTTAAAAACAACAAAATTAATATCAACCTGCAAAGGATCCGTTTTCTCTCCACCCACGCCGCCAAGAGAGGAGGAACTACTACCACCACCCCCGGCTCAATTCATTTAGCCATTCAGGCAGAATGAGATTAATCGATTGTTCCCGTTACTTACTAGTGCTTTATTGTCCCATTATACATATACCCCAGTGCGATTGGCCCAATCAGCTCGAGAGCACTAAACGATCATGCCCGCTTGCTTCTATTTAGGCGACGTGAGAGCTACCCCGCCTCATATGCTACCGTCAGACGACTGAGGAGGCAGAGGGGATGGGTTCTTATTTAGATAAAGTTTTTGCCTTCTCTAAAGAAAGGGGGAAATCGTCCTACGAGTGCTGAGAGCCTCATTGACGTTGATACTTAGAAAAGGTCATACCACCTCTTTCGCGGCGAGACTCGGTGATTGTATATTGATTGTTGAACCAGAGGACTTTTAGAAGATTGTTTTATTCATTTGGGATCGGATCCTATTCAAGCACTGCGAAGATGAAGTTCACCGAGGGGATGTGGCGCCTGCGGGTGAGTATGCCTTACAATTGTTGAGTCGGTGTGACCGTGTGATAAACAATTTCGTAGGAAGGCATTCGAATTGACTGGATGAACAATGTCGAGAGACTGCAAGTTGAGAACGAGAAAGTAAACCTGCTCCTGAATAAGTTCCAGAGGCATCGTGGCGACACGCTTAACTCAGGTTAGTTTCTACTCCGGCGGAAATTGGCTAAACCACATACAAGCTAAGGAAATTGTCAAAATTAGCGACCATCTCTGCAAGTGTCACGTCTCCATTAGAAGGTATCATTGGCGTCAAACTCGTCCATTGGTAGGTGCATTCATTTGCTTTCACAACAAATGGCATTGGCTCTTCCATCCCCCACTCAGTCACTGACAAGTTGCGTTCAGGGCAGGACAAGTTGACAACGGTCCCCATTATCAGCTAAACTCATCTACCGGTCACACAAAAATCGAGCATGAGAAAAGCTTAAAATTGAACTATGGCAGCGGCCCTTTACACTTGGCCATCAATACAGCGCCTAATGAATTAGATTTTGTTTTCACGGGTGCCAAAGGAAAGCTCACTGGTCACTCGTGGAGATCCATCGGTTATATAGGCGATCAAACCACAGAGAAGTCCCGATGGGATGATGGGATCTTCTTTGAACGTCAGGGATACATGCTCGCCGCGTTGGATCTCGGCGTTAGCGAAAAGCTATACGGTCTTGGAGAGAGGTTCGGTCCATTCGTCAAGAACGGACAGAGTGTTGATATTTGGAATGAGGATGGAGGCACATCATCTGAACTAACATACAAAAACATCCCGTTCTACATTAGTTCAAAGGGCTATGGTGTCTTTGTGAACAATCCAGGCAAGGTCAGCTTGGAGTTGCAGTCAGAGCGAACTACCCGAGTCAACATTTCGATTCCCGGGGAGGAATTGGAGTACTTTGTTGTCTATGGGAATACGCCCAAGGATATCATTAGACGATATACAGCTTTGACTGGACGTCCTAGCTTGGTTCCATCCTGGAGTTACAACCTATGGCTCACTACCAGTGTGTATACCATTGACACCTGACGTTGGCATTCTGTCCCAAAGCTGACCGTTATTCGTTCTATCAGGCTTTACGACAAACTACGACGAGCAAACCGTCACCGGTTTCCTCGACGGCTTCCGGGATCGGGGTATCCCATTAGGTGTTTTCCACTTCGATTGCTTCTGGATGAAGTCATATCAATGGTGTGACTTCGAGTTTGATTCCGATATGTTCCCCGATGCCGGTGGTTATCTTAAAAGACTTAGGGATCGTGATCTCCGGATCAGTGTATGGATCAATCCATACGTTGGACAGGCATCGCCATTGTTCGAAGAGGGCAAAAAGAATAGTTACTTCATCAAGGTACGGCCCCCTAACATACATTCCTTGCGTTGAATTGAACAAGTTTGGCTGTTCTTTATTCAAACATACTGACCAGCAAGCAGCGCACCGATGGCTCTGTTTGGCAATGGGATTACTGGCAAGCAGGAATGGCCGTTGTTGACTTTACGAATCCTGCCGCCTGCACTTGGTTCTCAAACCATCTCAAACGTCTAATGGAAATGGGCGTCGATTCGTTCAAAACCGACTTCGCCGAACGCATCCCCTATAAAAACGTCCAGTATCACGACGGATCCGACCCAACCCGCATGCACAACTACTACACCCTTCTGTTCAACAAAGTTGTCTACGAGACCATGATCGACCGGTACGGGAAATCTAACAGCCTCCTCTTCGCCCGGAGCACCAGCCCTGGCGGCCAAGTCTTCCCAGTCCACTGGGGCGGCGACTGCGAAAGCACCTACGAGGCCATGGCCGAATCACTCCGCGGAGGCCTCAGTCTCATGCTCTCAGGCTACATCTTCTGGGCCTCAGATATCGGTGGTTTTGAAGGTACGCCGCCACCAGCACTCTATAAGCGCTGGGTCCAATTCGGTCTTCTTTCCTCACACTCCCGCCTCCACGGATCCTCTTCATTCCGAGTCCCCTGGATCTACGGTGAAGACTGCTCTGAAGTCCTCCGCGTCTGCGTGAAACGCAAGATTCTCCTCACACCTTACCTCCTCGCCGAAGCCCTAACGGGCTATGACCAGGGTACCCCGTTGATGAGACCGATGTTCCTCGAGTTCCCAGACGATCTTAACACCTACTCGCATGATACGCAGTACATGTTCGGCAGTAACTTACTGATTGCTCCTATTTTCACGGATGAGGGGACCGTCACTTTCTATGTGCCCCGGACCCCTGCGGATTCCCAAGGGAAGTGGATCTCGTGGTTCGATTACAACAAGACCTATGAACCGGGTCAGTGGTACACGGAAACACATGGATTCGATACTCTCCCGATTCTGGTTAGGCCGGGCTCAGTCACTCCGATTAATCCGAAACTGAAAGCGCCGCAAGATGATGCGCTAGATGGGCTTGAAGTCTTGGTTAATGGGTCCCTAGCGGATGAAGTGACTGTTCAAATTGTCGATCCGAGCAAGACCCATGAGGTGTTAAAGGTGGTAAAGGTTGCGGTGAAGGGAGATGAGGTGGTCGCTGATGATGCAGGTGTGAAAGTGGTTCAGATTAGACATTGATCTCTTCACTTAGGATTTGATCATGACAGCACTTACAGGGTTCTAGAATGATGTTGATATAAAATATTCATAGAAACTAGCTAAAAGGCTGCCACATGTTCACTCATGTCGATGGTGAATCATGAGCCGTAAATACAGGACTGGAAAGCCAAACACAACACATGGGTATCATGATGTGCAGAAAAGTAATGATAAAGATAGCCAGAGACGTACTCCTGCTCAGCCGTTCAATGAACTAGGGAGCTCCAACCCACGCTTGAAAGAAAGCAAGCAAAAGATCTGTTAATGTAGAAGTTGTCGAATGTACGAAAACAAAGTAGAGTCCATCAATAAAACAGACCTGGAGCCGTGAATAAAAAAAGGAATAGACAGCAAGGCTGAAGTAGAAGGAAAAGTAAAAAGGTGGAAATAATTACCACGCCTCCTCGACATCAAGAAGCCACTTGCGAACTCCTTCTCTCAATGTATTATCGGGCCCAGCTAATGAACGCTTGTGTTCTCTATCAGCCGTACCAAGCTCCCCGTCAACATCCTCCCGACAATGCTCGGCGGTCACACTGCGGACTACCTCTTCAAGTGCGCCCAGGACTAGTTTACGACATTCAGTGCGGGGAACCTCGAGAGAGGGAACCTGGACCTCACCCCGATGCGCCGTGTCTGATGTGACCTTATCATCGCCCTTGCGAGCCCGTGACGGGGATGGTGCCCGAGAGTGCGCCAAAGAGGATGGACCACTTTGAGCCAGAACACGTTCAAGTGCATCGACTAGCGTGCCGTCCAGATCCATGACTGGTTCTTCAACGAAACGCTCTTCGAATTCATGAGTTTCGTAATTGTCTATAGGGGAAACGGTAGAGGGTTTGCTCGAAGAAATGGAGCCCCCAGGAATGTGGCGAGGAGTGCCAGGCTGAGAAACAGAAGGTGAGAGAGGGCTCCGCCAAAAGACGTTGTTGATAGCCTTTCGTCTTAGACGCAGTCGCTTAACCGTAAAGGTTCTCACATCAGCAATTAGCGTAGTAGCGACATCTACCCATCTCTCTGATCCATCCGCTTCAGAAGAAAAGGCATGATTCGGGGTAGGTTCAGCCTGCATTGCGCGTTTTACATCAGCTTCCAGGCTTAAATAAGGCCGCACTGCTTGAAGCAGGAAGTCTTCATGGAAGCTCCTCAGCCAACCAGCAACATTTATATTGGGCCCGTCATTCTCCCTGGGTGCATAATGAAACCCAGAGCCACTACTGTGTGTAGATGCCACGGCATCCACACTAGTGACTGAAGTTCGCGTCTTCTTCGGTGATGTCATGGTAGAATCGCCTGATGAAGAAAGCGAAACAAAACCAGGCAATGGAAGATCAACGTCGACGATTCCATCATCGCCGCGTACGGATAACTTCAAGGAAGACTCTCTATTGTGGTCCGCCGTCAAGGAAAGGTCCTGCACATCTTCCTCAAGATGTTGAGTATTTGAGTGAGGAATTGAGATATTGCCACTCGTGGCTATTGTATGAGACTCTTCCGGTATCTCAGGCGATACCTCTTTTACCATTTGGCTCAAGGTTGGAGGGCCTCGTTTCGGCAGTGTTGTATATCCAGAAACCGAGCGCCTGCGAATCTCAGCTGGAGAAACGGCCTCGCTGCTTGCAGTTGATGACCCCTGGCGCGAGTTCCATAAGCCAGAAAACAGGCTACCCCATCGGCCAGTAGTCGAGGGCACACTACTGTTGGCAGTCATCGAACTCTCACTCCTTTGCAGGTTCTTTAGTAAGTTCTCAGATGCCGGACTATCAATCCCTTCAAGCACGGACTGGTCTGATCTATCCCGTTCTAACCGGCTTTGTGACGCAAAATGCGGAACGGGAACAGTGCTGCCAGGAGTCGCTGTGGATGTCGTCGCTATGCTAGTATTCTTGGTGCGTGCATCTTTCGTGTGTATAGGGACCCCTAACGTTCTGATGGAACGTGCATCCGACCCTCTCCTAGTTGTTGTAAATTCTGTTGGCGCCACGGACTCGACGTCATCTGCCGAGCGGTGCGCGGTTTCATTTGACGAGGCACTGACGGACCGCTGGTGTTGATCTCTGTCCGCGAGGTTCAAACGTTGCGCGCGAGACCGTCTTTCAATAGCTCTACGCAGAGACTCCTGCCGTAGGACAGGCACATTAGGTGGACTTTGCGAGACAGCACGTATTGAAGAAGATGTGCCAGGTCGAAGGGGTGACGGAAGCGGTTCAAAGCGCTGTTTAGGCGGAAGAAAGGCAGACAGCAAGAATATAAGCCGGCGTGCAGTCATCTTATCGGGTGAAACAATAACAGTACGATTCGCAAGGATCGGATCTGAATCCTGCTGCTGAGCCTTTTGTTGTATATAGTGTCGGCGTCGCCACCATTCCGGGCCTAAAGCATTGAGCCACTCCGTGTGGTTCCCCAAAAATGCGGTTATGAGAACCAAGAAGAAGAAACTATGGTCTTTGTCCCCAAGATTGCGAACAATCGAACGGCCTTCCTCGCGCCAGACACCCCACCGACTCTGTCCTGTAACGACGTATGGGGTTTGAAGAGCCGTACTAATGCGGCGAGTGCTGCGAACAGCCTCCTCTCGAAGCTTTGAATTTACAGCTAGAATATTCGCTGGTAAGTGAATGATAGTTTGGTTTGTTCGCTGCATGTTCGGGGGCTTCGCTGGCTTCGGGTGAAGTCCTGACGACGAATCCACCTTTTTTAGGAGGAACAAAATCTCCTTCCGCGAAAGTCTCTCCAAATGCGACAAAGTACGGTTGATGACATCCCAGTGGTCTACTAGCAAATCGATTCGTTCATCCAAGCTGGCCGGAGGGGAGGCTAGCGACAAACTATCGTCCAGGAAACCAGTACGCCAGCGGTAATCTGAGTCTAGCGAGCACGACATCGCTGGTCTGGGTGAGTCGGAGCCTTGCGTACTGAACCGAGAGACAGGACGGCCGATACTGCGACCCAGGAGAGGGATCTGGATCGTAATTGCCACAGCGTACATTGGGGTTTTCTTCTCTTTAATCTTTTTGCGCTTGGTGATATCGGGAAAGGGATATCCAGTCTCTGTAAGAGACTCTTGATACAAAGAAGCAGCAAGATCTTGTCTGTCTGGAGAGGTTTCACCCGCCTCCGGCAGATTGACACTGAACATCCTTGTCAGAAGAATGGTCACTTTCGACGGCGGTTTTCCATCGTTTACGCCGTTCGAATTCATAAAGGCCGTTGAACTTCCAGTAGTGTAGGTTCGAGAGAATGAATTGCGGGAGGCAGGCGATGCGCTCGCGGTCCTACCCGGCTCGTCATCGGCAGAGATTATGTGCATCTTTGTAGAGGATCCTCGATAACTGAATGCGCTGCTGCCAAAGATACAATTCAATAGACCTGTATCGTTCGAATCCGTTGAATGACGCGAGTAGACAGGATCTTGAGAGCCTCCGGCTGGTGATAACGTGGAGCTGCGACCACGGGCCCGCATGAAAGCACCAGATGACATCGGGGGTGATCTGCGGGCTTCTGCGGCAAATGAAAGCGGACTCGGTTCCACCGCCGACGACTGAGATGAGTAGCCTCGTCGAGATCCTCGGGTAAGAGTCGAAACCGTGCGAGCATGGCGTGCGCCCGAGTTTTCAAACGTCTGGGGTTCTAGCCCTAGTCCATAGGTGGGTGAGTCTGAAGTAGCACGAGTATCCAACAATACACAGGCATCCCGATCCCCAAGTGCATTCTGAGCGATTATCACACGGAAGTCCTTGATGGGGTCCAAGTCCACTCCTCCTCGGTCGTCATAGGCACCAGCGGTAGAAGCATTCGGGGAATTGAAGGCCGTATGGAGAGGATACGCATGGGTAGTGGAACGTCGGAGAAGGCTTGCATCGGGAAATAGCAGGCCAGAGGTGTGTTCTTCTTCGGTAACGGATTCGAGCTGGTGGGGATTCTTTGCAGAATAAGCCGCCGGGTTCAAGGTGGAGGCTGCAGTACTTAGTAACCGGCCGAGCATGGTGACAGGCAAGGATTCGTCTTCAGGGAAAGAAACAAGTAAGCCGGTCAAAGTGAAGGGCCGTCCACACAAAAAGAGCGGAGAAAATGATGACAGTAGAACCAACAGCCAGACAGTTAGACTATCTTGGGACTGCAGTTCCCCATGATTCAATCACAATAGGAGGCAATCATGATTGAATGAATAGATCGACTGAGAGCCGGGAAAAGGGAGTTATTCAACAATGGACTGGAGTTGAAGAAGAGAAGAAAACCGATATCACTGTTCAATGGAGGAGGGGAAGGGTTTGCTTTACTTTGCAGAAGTGACTAGTCAATGAGAAAAAGAAAACAAAAAAAAAAGAAAGGAAAAAAGGAAAAGGCGATTGAGGGGTATTCACACGAAGAGTGTGGGAATTGGAGGGGAAGAGGAAGCACAGTCTCCACCAGACAAGAAAAACAACCACGAGGAAGGGAAATAATGGGGAAGGGAGAGAATGGAAGAGTGGAAGAGAAGCTAAAGTGACGGAGAGAAAGGGCGGTGAAGGACCACACATGATCTCAGCCTCAATCGCCGATTACGGGCATGGGACATTCGTTGGCCCTCGCGTTACTATTTATTGAACATTTCATTCCCTGCCAATTAATTTCCTATCAAGATAAGGTGAGGTGAGATTATGACGGACACCTGCATGCACCAGGATATTTCTTCTATACGAGATAGATAATGTGACCGTATCCATGAGGATTAATTACCACCCCCCAAAATGAAATTGAAATGGCTTGTATACTATGATCATCTCCTAATCCACTTTTACCGTTGCCGAAGACTCTGACCTTCCGCCTTAATCACAATACAACCAATCAACTCTTCTGAGTCTTCCGCTTCACTTTGTCCACCAACTTTTTCAGATCCTCCGATCCACCTTCGCTCTTCTTCTGCTTCTTCTGATCGCTGCGACCAACCTCTTCCTCCTCTGCACGATCATCCCGGTTTCTACGCCGCTTACGTCCCTCTTCCAGTAATTGCTTCATACCAGACGTCGCCTTAAATCGAGGATTGGTAGGATCAATAGCAAATTCGTGGCTCTCAAACAGACGAGCAAAACGCGGGTCACTGACATCCATCTGGAAGTCATCCACAAGGGCTGGCGTCTGCTTGCCTTTTCCTTTACCCTTGCCCTTTTTGCGGGCTTGTTTCTCCGCCTTTTCAATTTCATTCATGTCGAAGTGCTTGATATTCTTGTTTTCGTCATCCATCATCAACAGCTCCAGCTCGGCTCGCTTAGCGGCGGCAGCAGCTTCCTCCGCGGCACGCTCCGCCCGCTTCTTACGTTTCTCCTCTTTGCGACGACCTGCAGCAGATTCCTTGCCAGAGGGGTCGTCAAAGAATGGATCGTTAAAGCCCAGATCTTCTTCCTGGGGCTTCTCTCCCTCTGCCTCTCCCTTGTCCACTGCATCATCCCGCTCATCGTCATCCTTCTTCGGCGCCTTCAGTCTCTCCTTTCTCCGCTTCCTTCTCTCACGCTCCTTGCGAATGTATTTCTCAATCGTAGTCTCGTCTTTCTCGGGTTCATTTTCAAAGATGCTGTCTCGGTTGGAGCCACCGGCCAGACCTGATGTAAAGGTGACCTCCATTTCGCCCACAGGTTTGTCGGACTTAGACGACGGTGTTGGCTCTGTACTTAGCCCTAGGAGGGCTCGCATACGTTGTCTTTCGTCTTCTTTCTTTGAGATCTTCCTAGAACTGCCACCATCTTCCCCCGTAGTATCCACAACTTCCACTCCTCCATCCTCGTCCTCGTCCTCCGAGGAACTATCGCTGGCCAAGTAAGCCTTCAAATCGTTCTCGTCAATTTCTTTCCGGCTGCCTCTGAAAGCTCGTGCTTGAGCCTCCTTCCGTGATTTATCCTCCATATCCCAGGTCAGCTTGACTTTGCTGTGCTGCAGTGCATCAGTCACGAATTCATTAGGCTGATAACCATCTGGGATCCGCTTGCATTCGTCACGGGGTTTGTCATCAGAGAAGTCTGTATCGTCAGGTACAAAACGGAGGTCAAAGAAGTTTGCACTCGACAGATACTCGGCACCGTCCACCAAGTCGTAAACGTGCTTTGCCACGCTTTTGCTCGAGAATGTCAAAATAGCATAGAAGTAGCGTAGCCTTTCCAACTGGTACTTGCGTAGTTCCGTAGAGTTGAACTCCTCACCCTTATCTTCCTTGAGCATCGACTCCTTAATTTTCTCCTCTTCCTCATCCGAGTCGACATCCTCGTCATCATCAAACCCTTCGAAGTCATCATCCTGTTTCGCGGCGAAGATCTCTCTCGGAGGGCCCTCCGTCTCCTCTCGCTCCATGCGCTCTTTCCCGAATTCACTGGGATAGACAGAAACCTTCAGCACCCGTCCACCAGCAGGAGCAAAGCTAGAGAACACGGCCATCAAATCCTCTGCCCGTATATTATCCCAGTCCAGATTCACCACCGCAATCCGATCGGTCACATCACCTGTGGGGACGCCAGTCTGCTGTTTATCCGGGAACTCAAGCTCTTCGCCCGCACCGAATTCATCATCCTCGTCCTCCTCATCCGAGCTCTCCTCCTCCGAAGATGAAGATGAAAAGCCTCCATCACGCGCAGGATCATAAGCACCGCTGTCCATATCCGCCTTCTTCAATTCTTTGAGGACTTCGTCATCGTCAGCCACGCTCATGTCATCCTCGTCTTCCTCATCCCCTTCCAGTTGGTAGAATCTCTCCAGCTGCTTCTTCGTATCATCGCGAGCGAGCTTCCGTCCGTATCGATCGACTAAAGCATTTCGAGAAAAGTCTTTGTCGTGCAGCATGTGCGCGAACCGCTTGTCGAGTTTCACATGAGTTTGCCGTTTACTTGGGAGACGGTAACGAGGATCTGATTGAATATTGGCGAAACGGGGATCGGCTATAATACGCAGTTGTAATTGTTAGTTGCACCTATTCTGACATGGGAGGTACGAGGAGCGCATACTGATGACGGAGTCGGCTTGCTTTTTGGAGCCGCCACTCTTTTTGGTTTTCTTTTGGTCCGGCATTGCGATGGATTTTCAGACAATTAACAGGATAAGAAAGACGGCGCTTGATAGATCAGAGTCTAGCGTTTATTGCAGCAGAACACAGTCAAAGGCAGTGCATTGATAGCCTTGACCTTTTTTTGTGGTTGATAAAAGTGATAAGGGTAATTTTCTTTTGCGGCGGAACTAAAGATTCTTCGGCGATATGTGGTCTGTGCGCTGAAAGGACTTGCTAGTATTTATGGTAGTAGCGGATCTTAACTCAAAGTAAGGCTATGTATGCCGAATAGCTTAGTTATAGCATTATTCATTCATTTGATGTTATATATATATATATATATATATATGCGTGTGTGTACGTATATAGTATGTTATGACCCTCAAAAGTGGTTCTCCACAGTTTGTTTATAGACAATTGCCAAATATGTGCTCAACCAACATCCCATTGTAACTTCAACAGCCAAAGTATCTCTTCTCCATCCATCTGGGCTCTCGCTCCTCTTCAATCCGTCCCACAATGACTCTGACCTTCGGGTAAACCGTTGATAGACGCTTTAGCCCAATCTTTCCCGCAGCACATGTCACGAAAATAATCTTGTGTTCCTCTACGCCGTGGTCAATCAACACACGGACCGCCATCAAAGCAGCTCCCCCAGTGGACATCTGGGGGTCAAGAAGCATGACTGTGGTATGCTCTTCAATTCTTCCGGGCAATTTCAGATAGTGCAGCTCTGGTTCTTCATTCTGTGCATTAGTCTGAATGAGCACACGGCCAGTAATACAGTCAGGAATAGTGCGCTTCAGCGCTGTCTCGAGGCAAGAACCTCCTCGCAAGATTGCAACAGCAGATATTATACCTTCCGGGTTCAAGCCCTCGTAGGTAGTTTTATGTGGGGTTTCTACCCTAGCTGGGACATACGAAGTACAGTCCAAGGCCCTGTTTCGGTTATGAGTCAGTGATTAGTATTGTGCACACTCTCAATGTGACGAGAGAAAACAAATCCTGAGGGTTAGGGGATGCTTCTGCATTTTGCAGTTAACTCACTTCTCTATCAGCAAGGAAGCGAGTCGATCAAAGTAGAAAACGAAGTCAACTTGTTCCGTTTTGGGGTTTTGAAGGATGGTGTTCATGCCAACAAACTGTGGCGTCGAAGGCATTACCATCACATTACGCGACAGCTGTAACTCCGAGGCAATTTGACGTAGCTGGTCTAGTTCTGCTCTATGCTTCGCAGACTTCTCGTCAAGTTTGCGTTGAATATGCTTTACAACCATGTCTAGAAGATTAGTGTCGAGCGAGGACAACCAATAGAAATCTACCTACCAATAGCTGTGGTGTTCTGAATGCCCCGGGGGATGATAAGGTCTTGAAGTCGAGATTAGTAAGAGTTTTCCAAGCTGGTGAACGTGGCTAACCCACCCGATATAGACCGTTGAGGTTCAACGTATCTCGTGTACGACGGCTTAACATAAGTAAACCACTGCTTGATGATTCCTTCAACATCTCTGCCGCGCTCTCGAACATCTCGTATAACTAGCTCCTCTTCCATTAGAGAAATGCGTCATCGTAAAAACAGGAAAAATTACCCACCTCTGCGACCCAGGCAGACATCCATATCTGCCTCGACAAATATCTGGCAAGTGAAGAGTGAGCATCCTGCAACATTGAAAAGCACAAACATCGAACCTTAACATCCAAAAGTTCCAGCACTCTCGGGTCATGTAAGGCAAGAATGCCCTCCAAGATGATCACATGGGGGGAATAAAGGGTGGTTGTCTGCGGCTGGCGCTGATGGTGTGCGAACGAGTATATGGGGATGTCTGCCTTTTTCCTTTATGGCATGGTCCGTCAGCCTTAAAGCCACACTCTTTTAATCTAGTTTGAAGGTTTACGACAGGTGGGCCACCATACCCTTGCTTTAGATCTTTCAAGGTCTGCACAAGAGCATCAAAATCCAAGGCATCGGGACAGTCAAAGTCGAATTGATTTTGATGCGCTTTGGAGTGTTGTTCCGGAGTCAAGCTCTTGTAGAATGAATCCTATACAAGTAGCGTTAGAAGCACAAGCTCACTCGATATTGTATTAAACTATTGTGTCGAAAGAAAGAAGCATATTGTTACCATTACGAGAATCACCACCCACGGCAGGTTCAGTTGCTTCACAATTTCCATTGCCACAGAAGTCTTGCCGGAGCCCGAGCTACCAGCGATACCGATGATACTCAAATCTTCCCATGGTGGAGAGTACCGCTGCTCCGTGCCCGACGAGAATACGGGTGAGATCGACTCCATGTCTATGATCTCGTCGGGGGATTAGATTGATGACACGGAGTAGAGTAATACAATCGGTTTATAGAACATGAAATACTGGAAGCACCAAGCAATAATCCCCAGCGTTGGCGCTTGGGACTGATAAGAAGAATAATTAAGCGGTCCCTCGCACCAGTACCCTAAATGGCTAAAGTTTCTGGTACGGGTATATTGGGTCTTAACCCCATTAAGCTAGGTTGGTCCGTGACCTTCGCTTGCGGCTAACACTAGGGGACTAGTCTACCTAGCAGGCCAACGTGACCTAAAGCCCGCCGCTTCCTTCTCTCACCATTTTTCTCCTCTTCTTTCTTCACTTCTTCCTTCTCTTCTCAACATGCTCATGGCTCCCGTCTGCGAAGCTTCCCATCTTCACAGACGGCCAATCCAGCAATACCACGGCACTTGAGAGAGTTGCTACGTCCAGTACGTTCGAAACCATGTCTTCGGCTAATTACGTATGCCTCCCGACATGTTGTGCGTGCGTGGTTGCTTGGTTTTAACGGGAAGCAGATGTCTCCCACTTCCTCAACAACAACGCCAACATGGCACCAGTTCGAGCGGAAGGTCGATGAGGTCAAGCCATCCAAGACGTGAGTTCCCCTATTTCCCCATCCATACCGCCCAACCGTCCAAATGATGTACTTTCAATCAAGTTGGGAATCTCTCTGAAAACACTTGAGGAGAACACATTTAACTTGTCTTTCTGAAATGGTCACCTTTGCTACATATTTTTGATCTATTCGCTCGGATCGCCTATAGTGGCTAACGTTCCGTGTACAGTGACATCAATTACTTGGTTATGGATTACCTCATCACCAATGGATACCCAGCTGCTGCGAAGAAGTTCGCTATAGAGGCAAACATCCAACCCAGAACAGATATCGAAGCTATTCAGGAAAGAGTAGAAATTCGCACTGCCATTCAGTCTGGGAATATCCAAAATGCTATTGAGAAGATCAACGAGCTCAACCCACAGGTAAGAATATTTTCACCGTCTCCATTTCCCGTACCTCCTTTGCTAGGATTAGACCAAGTTTCATGCACCACTCGTAAAACCTTTCTTTTGGGGTTTGACGAAAAACAAACATCTTTAATTTCAGTATGATCAGCAAACCATTATATTCGTTGTCACATGTCACTCATCTCTGGAATATATGCTGACTTGACTGTCTCAGATTTTGGATGAAAACCCATCCCTACATTTTGCATTGCTGCGCCTGCAACTTGTGGAGTTGATTCGCTCTTGCACATCTAAACCGGATGGCGATATCACTCCCGCCCTTGAGTTTGCGACATCGCAACTCGCACCCCGGGCACCTACAAACCCTCAGTTCCTAGAAGATCTTGAGAGGACACTGGCGCTTTTGATCTTCCCCACTGAGAACCTTGCACCTACCCTTGCTCCTCTTCTACATCCTGACTTGCGTAAAGAGATAGCCACTAGTGTGAACGAAGCCATTCTGCAGAACCAGGGCGCTCGTAAGGAAGCCCGATTGCGCAACCTTGTCAAGCTTCGTGCCTGGGCGGAGCAAAAGGCTCGCGAGGCTAAGAAGGATATTCCCGAGAAGCTAGACTTGGGCCTCTGCGATAACACCGCAAAAGACACTAATGCCAGTGGTAACGGCGCGTCTAACGACACTGTGATGGCCAATAACGGAGATATTGATCCAATGATCTCTTGACCGATCTGGTCAGTGGTCTCGGCTAATCCATACTGTAGTGTGATCTTACGACCCATTCTTATAACTCCCTTTCGTCGGCGTTGTCAACTATAGCGAGGAGTTTGGCGCAGTTACACATTGGCTACGACAATTGCTGTCACTTCATACTTGTAGCAACCTATTATAATACCAACTACTATTAGATCTTAAGCACATTCACAGTGCCAAGTACTCTAGTGCGCTGCATCCATTTCATGTAATGTGGTATTGTAGAGCAAGAACGCTTTCCTATCCCTGTCCCCTCTCCGTCTAAATATACCTGTGGCTCAAAGTAGTTATTGTTGCGTTGGAAGAGTATGTGTAATTCTCCTGTGATGACGGAGAGTAGGGTTAGATACTCCCATGATGGGTAGTATCATGAAGATAAAGCCGTCAACCTACGAGCATAATTGATCCACAATCCCATTATCGTAGAAATTGTTTCCGCAGCTATGTTCAAAAAGATAAATACAACTATAAACAAATCTCCGAAGTATGAAATTTGATGAGGATGCAATTGCAATACCAGTGACCATTGCAGATGGTATCTATTGAAGATGTAAAGAGACCATGAAGAGTAGGTATATCCCAAGCAGATTTTAATGCGAACAAGAAACCAACAAGAAATCAACAGAAAGCCAGCCACCAGATAGCTTATAGTAGGAGACACTACCAAGGCGGTTTACTCAAGCTAGAAGATTAGAAGCTCATAAGGTCTAGACAACGTTCATTAGCATCGGGACTATTTTGTCTCTCACGCGCGGATTAAGCAATCAAAAAAGGAAAGTGGAAACTAACCTCTCCCGAACAGGGCTCTCTTAGCCCAGTCCATAGCAAGCATACAGCGGGTTCGCAAGCTGACACTCTCAGCGAAGTACACGCTACGCCACAGGTACATGGCTAAAACACCTCCGCTGAAGTTCATTCCCCCGAAGTCAAAGACGGCAGCATTACTGATATAGGCCAAGCTGCCAAGATGCTTGTATTTGAAAGCCTTGTAGACGGCTTCATCGAGGTCGCCGTGATCGATTTCGTTGGCTCTCATTCCGGGAAGAGCGGCGGCAATCTTGGTAAGTTTGCGGCCCAGATATTCACCTTGCTGGTTGGCGCGTTGGGCAGTGGCAGGCAGGGATGTGAGTTTAGTATCAATTTGGTGCAGGAGCTCAGAAAGTTCCCCGAATTCGAGGGTACCGGAATGATCCTTGTCGTACTGTTCGAAGAGCCTGTCCAGTCGGCGAAGGTGGTTAGACGCCTGAGGGAACCGCTTCTTGACCCGGTTGGCGACGTCTCGCCATTCACGGAACGTAAGGTGCAGCTTCTCTGGATCCTTGCCTTTCTCCCAGGCAATTGTGCGCAGGAAAGATACAATATGATCGGCCACATTGTTCTGGACTGTGGAGCAGTCACCAATGGCATACACATCACCCAGAGGGGCCCCGATCAGGCGGAGGTGCGAGTCAGTCTCTAATGCATGCTTATTGTTCTGTGCATCAAGTTTTGCCGAGAGCTTCTTGCAAATTTCGGCCGGGGCTGCAGCGACGATGAGTTTCTAGTGTAGCATGCAGGACGGGTCCAATTTCACTCACCAACACCAGTGGACCACAAACAGAAACCCATAGGGATTTCTCTTAGTACAGTCTTTCCATCTTCTATTTGCGTGAATACAACCTTGTCATCGCAAACTTCCTTCACCCGGGAATTTGTCAAGACGTCAACATGGTCCCGAGCAAAACGAGCCTACGTAAATTAATACAAATCTGTACGGTGGGGTAATGGAGGAGAAACGACTTACTTCAGCATACTTAGAGAGGGCTTCATCATAAGTGTTCAGGATGTGGGTACGGCTTTGAATGATGTGGACAGAGATCTCATTCCTCAAAATCTTAGGGAAGGAGTAGAGTAGGTCCTCATTGAGGAGGTCAAACAGCTCAGCTGCGAATTCAACGCCAGTTGGGCCACCGCCACAAACAACAAAAGAAAGGAGACGTTTGCGCTCGCCGTCACTGGTCGTTGGCAAACAGGCTAATTCCATATTCTCCAGCACCTGATTCTTGATCTGGCGAGCATCATCAATAGTCTTCAGGAAGTGACAATTCTCAAGGCCTTTAACACCATGCGGGTTCGTGACACAGCCTGAATGAACAAGTATTTAGTAAAAACGTTGTCTGGTGAAGGACCGCCAGAGAATGTAACACGTACCAACGCCGATGATAAGTTTGTCATACGGAACATAGAAGCTTTGTAATTTCCCATTGGCATCAACCTGGGACACCTCAACTAGCTTCTCGGAGAATTCAACGTCTACTGCCTCACCCTTTAGAAAGTGACCATTGACCCGTTGAATAATCCGCCGAACTGGCTCAACAAGCGACCTTAGTCCAAGAGTGCCAACTGTCGCAGAAGGCAACATTGGAGTGAACAGAAAATAGTTGGTGGGGGAGATAACCGTGACATGATAGTCGCCAGGATTCAGTTGTTTGAGAAGGGCGATACTGCCCCAGCCTGTACCCAAGATCACCAGCCTCGGCTTGTCCTTCTGTTCCGCCATGGCGTCTGAATCATAATCCCCAACGAGGACATCTGCTACAGGCAGATTCTTAGGGCCTCCACGACGGGGATTTAGAGCCAATTCGGAGACCGGGATGTCTTCGGCACTTGAGTGTTCACGGTATGTGGTCGCATCGTAGACAAAGAATGCTACCACTGCAGCGCCACTCATGACAATAAAAAATCCACAATAGGCGAAAGTTTTGAGGAAGGCATTTTGGAGAGAGGATCTTCGTGGTATGCTAGTGATCTCTGGCCCGGTTGATTGGCGTCGGATCGAGGAGTGACTGTTGAAGAACGCACGCGACGCCAGGCATTGCGGTATAGAATTCCGACGAACGGGAAGAGCTCGAGATGCAGCAAGCCTAGCTGGCCCCGAGGGATTCGAAGAAAAGAATCGGGGTGATAAAAGTCCGATTCTCCTCAGCGCCGGGGCGTCCGGTCGACCCCGGAGTAACACCGCACTCATAGCGTGTAGGGTGACCGCAGATTGCTCAGCTGACGAAAAACAAAAAGAGAAAGGATTGGAATGGTGGTGATAGGAGATTGAAGCAATAGTACGAAGAGCGAGCGAATTGGCGGGGTCACCAAACGAGATGGTTGGGATGGTCTTTCCAAGGGGAAATAATGTAAGAACGGAAGACGGGATACTAAAGTCGTTGTCTTTCGACGCTACGTCATGCTCAGTGACCAAGCCTTTTTCTGGACCCGCTCGGATACTTTGCCGTGCTAATTAAAGACTTGGAATAGAATTGTGGTTTTTGGACATCATTCATGGAAATATCATTCGAAATAATCATAGTAATAAAATAGAATAAAGTAAAAGTAAAAATATACGAGAAAGATAGTACATGCAAGTCTGGACTGCCCAAGACCGCCATTTAGGTGGTTCTGCTAGATTACAGTGGGAACGCATATAGCCTTGACCGTAAATGACGTGCGCCGCCACCATATAGACGACCACCCAAATAATGTGGTAGAAGAGAACAGAATGTAGGGGGGGAAGGGTAAATGGAATGCAAAGACGCCCATTAGCGCCTTTCGAAAAACATGTCATGTCACTGGGAATTTGAAAACAAACCGTGTATCACCAACGCCAACCCGGTCCCATATGCGACGTCTATGCAATAAACAATAAAAAGGGTTGGCTACGCCTGGCAGCCAACAAAATTACGGGAGGTCCTCAATTCCAATCTGATTCAGCATCAGACTCTGTGCTGGCTCTTTTTTTCCCTGACCCAGGCTTTCTACCTCGAGGTCGCTTTGTGGGATTCTGTCCCGAGATGGAGCTCTTTCGTTTCATAGGACGCGGCCCACTGGAGAGTCCAAGAACCGCGGGATCGTCCATATCAGTAACACCGTCATCACCTTCCGCGTCCATGTCTTCGCCAACTTTGAATTCATCGTCAATGGCAAGCAACGTGGCAAACTCTCGACACTTGCTAATCATGTTCTCTTCACTGTCCAAGGATGCCATGTTCCGATCAATGGCGTCCCAACATTTATCGCCAGTCACACCGTGGACTTTAGTGGCCGACTTGTTCAGCTCTTTGGATGTAGCTTTAGCTTCCTTCTTTCGAACGTGGGCAGTAACTCCATAAAGTCGACGAAGGTACGTGCGAGCTTCCCAAAGCATCGAAAGTGCCGCGGCTGCGGTAGCTAACTGACGCAGAGCGCCAGAGTTGACCTGCTGCAAGGGCAGAAGATTAGCTGGAGCCTCTGGGGAAGGAATAGTTACTCCATCCGCTTGTCGTGGCTCTAGCCTAGCGAAAAAGAGTTCTGTTTCAATGGCATGGGCTACAACCGTCCCAGTAGAAGCCACAACTCGCTCCATGCAACCAATAGTTGGCACAAGCTCGGCAAGCTGAGCGTATTCAAAGAAAGCGAGGTTATGAGACACGAACCGGGCCAGTAAAAGGTGCTCGGGTGGATTGCCGACGGTATCAAGCTTTTTCAGCTCGAAGTTAACTTTCGCGCAAAGATTCGAAAGGAATTTCTTCTGATAACGACTGTTACTGATTTTGATTATCTCAAACAGTGGTGCTAATTTGGCAATATACGGACGGCTCAGCGCACCAGTGGAATCTCCGACAACGTCGCGTTGGTAATAGAAGGCCTCCTGTACGGCCCGCATGTATTCTCTTTCAAACATAGATTCATACTGCTGATGAAGCATTTTATGTGTCTCGAATGCAACCTTAGCGATAGAGGGAACGGTAGAGGTCTCTAGTGACACTAGCACACCTGCGCATTCTTTTGGATGGACAAGCCCCTGGCGATTAATACTAGCGATCAATTCAATAGCAGTCAGGGCATACGAATCCTGCCGAGACTGCGCAACCCGAAGCATATTCTGGAGAAAGTGTTGAGCGATTAATGCGGCTGCCCCATCATTATCACTGGCTTTCAATGAGCCGCCTAACCTCGTAGTGCTTTCTTGATCTAAAGCTTCGGAAGCAGGCAAAACGGACTTTTCGGTCTTGCCTTCGTGCATGGCAAAGAAGTCTGCAAATGCCCTTAAGACGATATTCTGAAGGCTCGGGTTATCTTCCTTGAACACCATGGATAATATCCGTCTCGATTCATCTCGGCTGAATTGAGCAGGCCAAGACTGACAGATGGAGCCCAGGCTCTCCAGGGCCATTACTCTTAATTCGAGTGGCTGTTGCGCAAGGGTGAACGGGATGATCGAGTCGACCATCAAACCAGCAACAGAGCCGCCGTCCCAAGAAGGGAAAGCATTTTTGAAGTGTGGTTCATACTTTTCGAGATCACAGTGCCGTCCGACACAGCCCGCGATTCGAATGTAACTTTTAGCCCTAGCCAATACAGCCATGTTGGCATTACCAGAAAGATCAATATTTTTGTAGTGCTGTATCGGTTTGAGCACGGAAATTGTGAGCTTCACAAGCCTGTCGGTATTCTGCAAGACCCCGTTGATAGTCCAAAGACAAGCCATCACTTCGTTCAGTTCTGAGCGAGCAAGCTTGGCCACGCTCTTGAAAAGATCATTCTGCACTTCCTTCAAGAGAGCATTGTGGGCAGAGGAGAGAAATGGTAGAACGCATCGATATATCACTACCACAGACCGGAAGAGGAAGAGGTCTTCTGCAGTGGCAAGGTGCCCAATGTAAGGGTGAAGGGTCTCCAACTGGTCGGGGCGAAATAGCTTGGCATTTGCTTTTGCGAACACAGTTATCGTTTGCAAGAGAGCTTGCTGGAAATCTTTGCCTGCATCGTTATCTTCCACCAACTTTTCGAACATCGTTGAAACCATTGCTTTGCACACTTTGAAATTCAGGGACGAGAATTTGGAACTGTCAGACAAAATCTTTTTGAGACAGCCGCCAAGTGTTTCGAGTGCGGTCTCGCTGCGCTGCACCAGGCTAACAAACAGCGTCACCCTTTCTCCCAAGCCAACTTTCAACTTGGGGCTATCTTGCGCTGAATCAATAATATCATAGAAAGGGGCCAGCCAGATCTCCTCAAAAGTCTGACGCGCTAAAGCTGACACACTCTCTTCAATATCCCCTGTTCGCTGAAGAAAGCTGTCCAGTATCGCTAACTTCAACTCAGTTCGCGAGGTCTTGAGATAAATGTCCTTGAGTAGACCGATACAACGTTTCCTCACCCCGGCGGTCGGATCAGCGGCGCAAGTTAATATGCTTCGACAACCATCCTCTTCAAGCTTCGGTTTGAGGGAAATACATTTTGCAATCAGAGAGAGTGCGGAGTCACGCACCATTGGTGATGCATCAGTAGCACACCGAAGAATAACGCGCATTACCGATGTGTCCCTGTCGAGAAGACTTGGATCCTTCTCAAGCATGTAGATGACACTTTTCAAGCTGCGACTGCGAACTTTGGCTTGGTCACTAGCAATCGAATTGAGCAGAACCTTCAAAATCGTGTCGAAAGCTTTGCAAAAGCTTGAGTTTAGGACAGTCAATATATATGAGAATTTTCCATGTGCGGCGGATATATTGTTAAAATGCCTAGTAAGGATATTAGTTTCAAAACAGCAACAAGCGCTTCATCTGATCACTTACTTGTGGGTTTCCAACCAGAGTGGGTCAGAGAACAGTTTCGCAAAAAGATCGACCAGGTTTTCAGTCATATCATCATAAGTGACATCGTCGTTCTCGTCTGCATTATAATAGACTGAGCAGAAAGACTTCGCCCACTGTGCCAGAAAGTAACCCCGAGCACTAGTGAGTTGCCAGTCGTCTAAGTGACGAACTTGAAGGAAATACTCCAAAGTCATTCGGTAGGGGCCTTCTGGGAGAACGAGGTCCTGGGGATGAAGAGCGCGGCCTGAGTAATCGTCAAGTAATTGTTTTAGGTAGTCGGTCTGGTCACTGTCAGATTCTTCCATGGTCGGAAGTAGATGGTGAGCAGTCACAATAAGATCTGATATCGCAGATCCCATCCAGCCGAGGAGCTCAAGTGCCATGCTCTTTGCAGTAGCAGGGCTCTTATCCAAGTCGGCTATACCAACCATGTGAGAGGCCATTATGCGAAGAAGCAACTCGGCGGCGGGCCAGTCTGTCGACCCCAGCACACCAATCAGATCCTCGGTAAACAAATCAAGGATGTTCCGATAGGGCTGGTCGCCGGTTTTGGTGGATGTCATTGCTCGTTGAACAATAAACTTGACTATGTACTGAGCACTACGGACAGCATTGTCGTAGAGGCGATTGACTTTTGTTGCCAGCTGCTCCATGCTTAATTCGGACCCATCATCATCATCATCATCTCTTCCCGGTGCATTATCCATCTGCTCTTCTTCTTCGTCGCCCGGAGGCGGAAGCTTGGGTTTCGTTCTGGATGAACGCGAGGTCGGTACATCTAAAGCAGTTGTTTGAACCAGTTGCATGACCAATGCCGTTAGAAGCTGAATGCTTTTTCCATCAGCAAGCTTGAATTGCCTCGCACTTTGCCGCGTTGACGGCAATTTTTCTAGCGAGACCAGAATCTCGTCCAAAATGAATGGACGCTGAGCGGGATATTTGGAGAATATTTTTGCAAGGACATCCATAGCCCCACGTCGAACGGACTCATATTTTTGAAAGCCCACTGCAGAGTCTTTCTCCGTATGAGAATTCTCTACAAATATCAATTTGCACGCCAAGAATTCAGCCGCTGTGACTGTTCCCTCGGAAACGTCTATTCTTGCAAGGAAATCAGCAAAGAGCGCAAGAGCCTTTTTGCTCTGTTGAATCAACCCTCCAAGAACACGTTTTTGGGTAGAAAAGAGTTCAAATTGTCGGGCGTCTTTCCCGCCGGGTCGAGCTTCTACGGCGGGGATGACACAATGGTCAAAGGCTTGGTTAAGAACGTTTGGAATAGCTTCGATCAGATCCTCAGGGCAAAGATCCCGTTCCGTTTGAGAGCCCGACATCGTCAGTAATAGCGTGCCTATTGCAAGAAGTGCGTTGTGGATATCCTCCACCTTCTTCAGCCATTCTTGTGCTTCGGAGTCGTTGGAAGGGTCCTCTAAACTCAAATCAGGCGCTTGTGCAGCAATGATGGGCTTTTCACAGAGCTTTTGGATCCTGCTTATATAGTCCGAAGGAATATCCTGAAGCCTATTAAAACCAACCACCTTCCTGATAGTCTTCTGGAGACGACTATGGATATCCGACGACATAAGCGATCCACTGATATCAATAGCCTGGGGAGCCGAGAAAATCGCGTTTGGATGTTCAGCTATGGTGGCAGATGATGTCCCGGGTTCCAGTTGGTCCTCGGCCTCGAATATCTCATGAAGTAAGTCCTGCAGTTTCACTAGAGCGGCGTCTGCCTCTTCTTTCTGGTCCTTGAGTCGAATTGCTGCAAGGCTATCGTCCCCATCGGTATTGAGCTTCCTCCGCTTTGAGACTCCGCGGTCATCGGCATCTGGTGATATTGGTTTTACCGGAATTACCACGGACAGGCGGCTCGACGTATGATTTTGTTGATTGTAGGACGCCGGTGTTGTCTTATTTATCGCATGTGCTTTCTGATTCCAGGAGCTAGCCTTCTGAGAGCGCCTTTCATCCTCCGCTTGCGATGGCGTGGGGTCTGTAATATGTCAGTTCAGCGCCCAAGTTGGTAAATCATGCCAACCTTACAGCGAAATGCTATATCTGTTGATTCCAACATCTTTCTAGCAAATGAGCCCAAATTGTGGCGGCTGGGAGTATGTTCGCTGGAAACAATCGGAAGGGAATGTTGAGTATTACGGGCGGCTATGGGAAGCTTGAACTTGCTAAGGGCATAATGAGTTCCATGTCATAATTATGAGGTATTCAACTGCTTACAATTCAGTTAACTGGTCACCATCCAACAACTGTTGCAGGTATTCCCGAGATGTCTCTAAACGACTCGACTCATCGCGCCCTGATGATAGTTCACCGTTGAGTTCGTTCAAGGTAGTACGGCCGGACTGTAGGATATGGTTGATAGAGGTAGTATGAGGGGGTCGACCAACATCAGGACGCAGTATGCAATCTACAAGAATCATGTATCAGCTAAAGGTTCACATATCCCATTAGAGTCCATTTCAAATCACCTAAGCCAAATATCGGAGAACTCGACATGGGCGAGTACTGCAAAGCCTCCTCCACGGATAATGGCCTATCCCGGTGCTGCGGTAGCCCACTGGAATTGTGAGCTTGCGCTTGAGGATGGCCATTGATGACGACCTGAACGGCCGGATGCCAGTTGCGGTCCATGATGAACTGCGGTTTTCGTTAAGGGAGGATCGTAGTTGAGGACCCAGGCGATTTGGCAAAGAAGAAATGGCATGCTCCCACCGGAGACATGGCTTTCAAACAAGAGACCCAAATTCCATCCCCGTCCGATATTCTTTTCTTTCGGGATACTTCACGATAAAAACAATGTAATAATTATTATCATGCCAGGCACGGGTCTCTTGCCGCTGCCGCTTCTGACCGCCCGGCACTAATCATGTACGTCCATTGGGGAGTGGCCCGTGCGTTGGGAAATCTTTCCGGCAACTAACCAGTCAAAGAAAAAAAAAGTAATACTAACTTCTAGCCATTCAATATACCATACCTCTTCCCACTACATAATTACCTTGAGCCATCACTTGTGAAAATGTCTGCCATTGGGTCATTGATCTTCTGCAATGACTGTGGAAATTTGTTAGATGAGTCCTCTGGTGACCCTACAAAAGTCATCGTCTGCAGTATCTGCGGAGCTCGAAATCAAGGTGAGTTTGACTTCATTCTGAGACGTTTACTGGGCTCACATTGATCTGATTTTTCTTTCAGATATTGTCCCTAAAACCATCGTCTCTGAATCCAAGCCCAGTGCTTTCCCATCCACCCTAAGAGCGAAAAGATCTGCCGTCCAAAATTTGACGGCTGCGGATAAAAGGACAGAAGCCCTCACACAACATACTTGCGCGAGATGTGGCAGGAAAGAGATGTACTTCACAACTGTGCAACTGCGTAGTGCAGACGAAGGCAGCACAGTCTTCTATACTTGCGTTTGCGGTTACAAGTATGTGACTTGACTATTATTGGCCAATACATTGGTCATTTGCACACGGCTAACATCCGATCACAGGGAGACACAAAACAACTAAACGTCAGAAAAGTCTTCTATTTTGGGTTCACTGCTGTACATCTATGAAGCGAAAATCATTTAAGCCACTGTAATCTTTTAGTTCGCAAGAATTCATCAAGCAGCAGATACAGCAGCTGACGCTGCTGAATCCGGCACCAACGCATACTCCATCTCTCCGTTCTTCTCAAAATCCGCCATGTCTAGGGCCACAATAATGCTGTCTCTCACCACCTGCTCTGGGTCGTTCAAGAACTTTCTCAGGGTATCTTCCACGCCTTCAACATCACCCAAGCTACCAAGAGCCTCGGCAGCTTCGTGTCGCACCATACCCATTTCTTCCTGGTCGCTGAGGGTTTCTGTGAGACTGGGGACAGATGCCGGGTGGCAGAGCTGACCGAACACAAAAGCAACTTCATGGCGGAAGAGAGCGGAGGGATCCTTGAGTCCTTTAGCCAATGCTTCGACAGCCTCGACTGCTGTAGGAAGATCAGGGGGTGAGGCAAGGTCACGCAGGGCAAACATAGCGCGGTATCTTTGGAACAAGGGAAGCTTTGTGTCGAGCAACGTTGTTTCCAAGTCGGAAATAGAAGGCTGGCTAGATGCCATTGGGAGTGGTGGAGCTGGATCAATCGAGGTAAAATCACTACATTGAGGAAGAGAGTATTATTAGCCAAGTATCTAAAAGATTTGCGGAATATGGGAGGTCTTCGATTTGGTTGTAATACCTAGGCTTCAGCTTCTCGTTCTTCCTCTCTTCCGAATTCTCCCACAGGATTCTGTCGACGGCGATGTCGCATGTCTCTCGAATGACATCCTCTTCGTTCTTATCGTCCCGAAGAGCCTTCAGGACGTCTAGACTACTATCGAACCCCAGAGCACCGAGGCCCTCTGCGGCTTCATGGCGACACATTGCATCTTGTTCCTTGTTCTTCACCACTTCCAGTAGGTAAGACACAGCGTCTAGATTCCGGGTTTGGCCCAAGCAATATGCGAGTTCATGCTTCAGCAAAGCTGAGGACGACGTGAACCCTGCTGCGATGGCCTGGATTGCAGGGAGCGTCTTCTCAGTGGGCGGTTGCAAGCAGGCAACGTACTTAAGGGAGAAAAGGGCGCGGAATCGGCGAGCAAGCGGCTCAGACTCGTTGACGAGAACTTTGCGAAGAGTCAGGATGGTCTCGTCCACTCCCTCTGGATGGTCAGCTGCAGTCGAAGTCATTATGTCCTTGTTCTGTATATTTATAGGAATGGCCCAGAAGGAAAAGAAAGTATGAAACCACCGGGTATATGGAAATTTTTCGATCTTATCTTCACCAGATAATAAATTTTAGGTGGGGTGGCGGGGTTGCTCTGCCGCGACTAAGCCTGAAAAGAAAAGGAGAGAAAAAACTTAGTACCTTGAGATCTTTTCTATCATAAACCTTCGTAGACATATTTTCTATCTTATCTCAGGATATTGGACGATCGTTCAACCACTGACTGGAGAGATCATGCAAGTAGGCCCTACCTCCATAAGACATATCGTTGGAAATTAGATGTATGAATTTCTATCATTCTCTATTGAAATTTAAATCCAGAATCATTTACAGTGAAAAAGAGATTTAGAGCAAAAAATGTTTGAAGATATGACGATCTTCGTTTCCTCTCGATATCTTTATTATCACTCATTGAAAAGCATACTCGGCGAGCGCCCTCCATAGATACCGTATTTGCATTAAATAAGTCATCCATGTAGGGGACTACGTCATCCACAGTCCATTTAAAAACAACTTCCTTTGCTATATTTATAGAGAAACCGCGTGGAGCTCTCCAATCAAGCAGGTACAAAACTCACTAGTGCTGCTAATCTTGAGTAGAGCTGACTACCTAGCTTTCTTGATCATGGGGAGCTCCAACAGGTATTAACCCAGGAACAACCATGAAGCCTATACTCCCTTATCTAGTAAACGATACTCTGGAACCTAGTCTTCAGTAAATGGGGTTTAGGAGGCATGTTAAAGGGACAGAAAACACCAGGAAACAATTCTGAAAGAGTAAAATCTGAGGTTATATACAAGATACACTTGATGAAATCGATTACTTGGTTCTGATATGCTTGATCTTCTTTGGCTCATGGAGGAAGTTGTTCGCGTACGCCTTAGGAACGAATCTGCGCTCGTTCGGCTCTTGGACAAAATACTCATAGCCCTGTTTCTGCGCGAACATGATGGCATCTTCCTTTGACTTGAAGTTCAAATTGGTACCCTGCATGCCATCAGCAGACGATTGCCAGCCCATCAGAGGGTTCTCCCAGCGGTGACCCTTCTGCAGCACATCCCAATCCATCCTCCACTGGTGCTGATGCCAGGTACCGGACTGCGTAGCGGGCTTCGAAGGGCGGTAAATCCTAGATGGTGTATTTAGTAGTTGAAGTGGAGGGTCGGAGTTGGCACCATACCTGACAGTGCGAGCCTGAAGGTCAGTAGGAGCACCAGAAAGAACAGCAGCAGGAACGGTATCGCCGGGCTCGCTTCCGTCCATGACACGCTTAGGCACAGGAGAGAATTTTCTACATCGTTGTCAGCTAAATCGCTACTGGCGTTATGTTGGTTCCCTTACGAGGTGCCATGATCAATAGTAGCCTCGTAATCCGGCTGGTGGCGGGCCATTGCCTCAGCAGGGCCTTCCTGGCGGATCAATGAACTGTCCTTGGGGGGTACCGCCGGGGCATCAGTAGGGCTGGTTTTCACAGAAGGGTCGCCTCGAACGGTGTTGGAAACGAAGCGAGCATTGATAGGCGCAATAAGCCTGCCAGCTCGGAAGCAGGCAGAATTTCCTGCTCTGAAAAGTGACATGATGGCAATTGTGTCCGTCGTTGGCTAAACAGAACAAAATGTCGAGAGTGTAATTGCTAGGTGAGGTATGCGGCAAGTTGCCGGGTCGTCAAAGCAAACCCAAATCCGGTTAGCGCAGTGTGAGGCTCCCTGCGTTAGGAACCGCTCATCCGACAACCCGCTTTCTGTTGGCACTTCTCTCCTCTCTGCCATTAGCCATCATCTCAGTTCACTTGCTCGTAAAAAGGTGAGAGAGACACCTATGAGATAGATCTTGTCTGTCTTGTTTGTGATTGGTGTTAACTTCAGTCTTTCTAACCCGACTTAGACACACAAGATGAGCTACATCACTCGCCGAGGTCTTTCGACCCTGATCCCTCCCAAGGTAAGAACCCGCAAAGGGAAAGAAAACGACGGAACCTTCTTGATCAATAGGTACTGATTTGTGTTCAGATCGCTTCTCCTAATGTGAGTCATCCTTCCCCTACTTTCATGGTTCTCGACGGTTATTGAAGTCGCTTCGCTCGGATCAATCTCTTCTTCTCTTGGAGACTCTGTAGCATACAGTTTCTACCGCTCGTGACTGGATATGACTAACACTTGGAAAGGCGATTGGCGCTGCTAAGGATGCTGCTCGTATGGATCGCGTTGTGAACTTCTATGCCCGCCTTCCTCGTGGCTCCGCCCCTGAAGTTAAGCCTACTGGTCTCATTGGCCGCTACCAGGCTCGCTACTTCGGCAAGAACCCCTCTGCCGCACGTAAGTAGTCAAGCTCGCTCTGAAAGTTGTGGATAGTATTCTCTAACGTTTTGAATAGCCTTCGCTCATGCCATCGGCGGCATCCTCCTTCTGGGTTACAGCATGGAGTACTACTTCCACCTTCGTACGTTTTCCTTTCTACACCATACTATGAACCTGTGATTTCTAATATACTTGCAGGCCACCACAAGAACCACCCCCACTAAATCATTACGCCATTACTTGAGGGGCGCGGAGGATTTGTGTATATACCGCTGACCTAGAATGAAGGCAATGTAGAACACATGAAAGCTTACAATCATCCAATCACCTACACCTCCGTGCTCTAGGCTAGTCTCCAGATAGACCGTGCGTAGTATGACTAGTTAAGAGACAAAACAAAAACAAAAACATGTGCATTTGAATTGTATCCGAGCATTGTTTTACGGAATGTGATCATTCCTTGACTGTTATTATGTAGGCAGCAGTGGTAGTAATGTGCCAGTGACAAAGTGTTAGGGTAATGTGAATTCAAGAAGAAAGAAAATGAAATGAACAAAAAGAAAAGAGTACAATAGTTTTAGATAGAATTCTATATAATGGGGAAATTGTGAATGCGAGCATCGGCCGTAACAAGTCCAGCCCAGCCACAAAGGTTTGCTTTACTTCACTGTTCCTCCCACGCTAACCGAAAACAGCCACCCTTAGTCTCAACCTGAACCGCCTATCCGTCCATGACCTGCTGCCATCACCCGATCACATCAACCTGAGAAGCACCACTTTACTGTTAAATCTCCCTGTGGGGACTTACTGGGCAGTTGGCTCTCACTTTTCCTCAAGAATTTCCTGCCCGCCCGACCTTCTTCTTCCGAGCTTTATCTCCGCTTCTTCACCTAGGGCGTTCTCCGCTGTCTACCTGGTCGTTTGGAGCTTTTCACGGCTCAGACAGTTGAGCTAGTAGTTCGACCGTGGCGATTCTCGATACCTGACACTAGGTACTTCTCAGACTGTTCCTTCAAATCTAGCCATGAGTTCAACCTTATAGTCGCCACTTGTTGCAGTGTTTACAATTTCAGAACGCTTGTCTAACAGATGTCGCAACCTGTTGGCCTCACAGACTCGAGAATTGTTATGGCAGAGCAGAGCAGCCACGATGTGGTAAATCAAACCCTGTCGGGCGGCGAGCCTTCGCCTTCCGACGTTCCTGCGAGCACCAACGACAAGAAATCTGCCGGAGGGGACGTGGGGGAGATCAAACATACCGCAACGACGCAACCCGAAACGGACACGAACGCTGAACAAGGCACACAGGAGACGGGTACCTCAGAAACACTTAACAAAAATCACGCTACTGGGAAGGATGTGGAACAATCAACGACTGTGAGTCCTGGTGACCTGGATATTGTATGGCTCTCTGCTGAATCAGACACAGGATACTTCAAGACAAGGTCCTAGGCCCGTGGCGACACGGGCGCTTGAATTGAATGGAGTGACATCTGGTTCCGATGCTGGAGAAGACACGGCCTCACAAGGTGGTTCAGAGTCCGATGCTAGTCGAACGGAGAGCAGACTTCACTCGCGTGCAAGTTCGACAAAAAGACCAACGTCATTCAAGCCAGTTTCCTTCGCGAAATTTTCGGTACCTAAAGCTCCAGGAACACCTCCGACTGCCAAAGTTTCCGAAAAAGGTATTTATCCTTACATGATACCACACATGATAAATATCTAATCGGTCATAGCTCCGCTGTCTTCAACTACGCCGTTGGGGGCACCGCTGCAAAGCTCACGACCACGCTTGGTCGCTAAGACTACCAGCAGCTTGCGCGACTCATTATCGAAAACTGGGACGAGCGCAGCAAGGCTGGGTGGAAGTGGACCTGATCCAAATCAAGTTTGGAATAGGAATCGACGTAAGGCGTCATCGTTGGCAAATTCTAGAAGCCCCGCTAACTATGGATTGTATATAGCGGTCCAACAGACTCCACCGAAGCACCTGACCGACGAAGAACTTAAGCAACAGTATGGAATTCATATGACGTCGCGTATTCAAGAAGATGGTGGTGGCACTGAGGGGAAATGGGCCGATATAGACGATGATGAAGATGACTGGGCTCCGGAAACAATTGAATGGACCGATGGAACGAAGACAAATCTTTCCCAAGTGGAACATTCTGCGGCGACAAAGCAAGAGAACAAGGCCACCACAGAGCTAAGGGACGACTTTCCTCCTCCACGCTCTGAGCAACCCCTCACTGCCAAGGAGACTGCGAAATTAGTTCCAAAGCCTATGACTTCGGTTGGACCGAACCCTACTGTCCTCAGGCTAGGAGCAAACGCAGAAAGGCAAGCAAAGAGTGCTAGCATCTCTTCTAAAGGCACAAATGATAAGTCACCGTCGCTATCTACAAGTCCGGCACCGCCCCCGGCCAAATCACCATGGGCTCCTTTACCACCAGTTGAGAGAGTATCTCCTGTCATACCTCCTATGCAAGTCCAACCCCAACTACATACTTCGCCCAGGGAACCGCATATGATGGAACGCTATAGTGGAGCTACACATCCGAAGGAGATTGCGGCAGACGATTTCAACCGATCATGGAGGGATACACAGTCCGGTACCCGTGAGCTTTACAACTCCCGGTCAGGTCGCTATGAGCCAGTATCTGAGACTAGGAAGGGAACTTGGCGTACTGAGCAGAGCTTCCGTACCCCAGCTGTGTTGCAAAGGCCAGTGCAGGGCGAACAAACAGGGCCTGCGGAGCCTTCCCCCGCATTTCAGACACATAGGTCGAGCGGACAAGATGGTGTCCACTGGACGCGTCGGCGAACTTCGTCTAATGTCAGCGGCGGGAGTGGCAGCTTTGCACGTCGGATGTCAATTGGTCGACCTGATGGAGCTCAGCGGTCATTTGAGACTAGAAGAGGGTCACAGGCGAACGGTATGGTTGAACCGCCGTTGCCAGGCCTGGTTCCTTCAAAAGAGGCGCCTTTGCGCGAACCTTCGCCCGCTCGACGTGGCCCCGGTCATTCATGGCCTCCGCGCGGTGCAGCGGACGTACATGAAAGGGCTCCTGGTGCACCTGATGGCACGAGCCAGCCATACGTTCCTTACGGTCCTAACCAAGCGGGGGCGCCGCAAGCACCCCAGGAAGATCCAGTAATCATGCAAGAACGTATCATGAAAGAAAAAAGGATGGAAGCTCGGCAGCGAAGGCTGGAGCAAGAAGAAAAGGAGGAAGCTGCTAAACGAGAACGGATCCGGCAGAAGCTCGAGGCGCTTGGTCCGCCTCCTGAAAAGCCCAAGCCGCAGCGCAAGGAGACTCTGGACAGCAGTAGGCCCGACACTATTCCCTCCCCTGTTGTTGCCCAGACATCCCTGTCACCTCCCAAACCCCCAGTGCCGGAACCAACAGGGGAACCGAAGCAATACGGCATGATGAAGGTCCATCATCCAGACACAGTAAGAAAGCTAGTGGAGAGGGAAAAAGCTACTGAAAAGTCGGCGGCCCATGCTCGGCGCGTCCCTTCGTCTCCCCAAGAGCCTAAGCCTGACACTACCGAACTCCAACAACCTGCCGATTCTCAAACACAAACACCTGAAAAGTTGACAGACAGCAGGCTTGATGAGCAATCATCCCAGTGGAGGGGTGGTCTCAATACTTCTAGCTCATACTCACCGTGGTCTCCCAACGCCAAATTAGTCGGGACGCCTCCTTCTATAGCCAATCCATGGAAGCCCCTTAGCAGTGACAAGACCTTGGGTAACGGCATATTCGACCAGACTCTTGGCGGCTTCCCGCCAAGGGATCTTTCCCTGCGCAGCCATCTTGGTTTAGATCAACCACCTGTCGCTCCAGGCTCACAACCGTTTTCTGCACCTTCTCGATCTCCTCAAGAAGCTACATCGATATCACCCTTACCGTCTTCTGAGGTAAGACACACTTCATACGAGTCTATAAACCCCATCACCCGCCCTGGACCCATCGGACCTCCTAGTTCGCACCATCCTCCGTGGCAACATGACAACCGCGTTGCTGGGACTGCTGCCTGGAATAACTTCCATGCAGTTGCCGCTAAGCGCGAAGCAGACGAAAACGAAAAGCTTCGCAATGAGATGAATGCGATGCGCGAGGGGCCATCTTCTCTACAGGCAACTTTCAACGAAACCTGGCGCCAGGTACGCACTGGAGACCAGGCTGGGCAGAGACATGTTGTTGGGATATCTAGAACAGCAGACAGCAGCGCGCCAGTCCCACCAAATCCTCTTCCGGGGCTGGACCATCCTGTTGGGCCTCTTCCGTTCACAGATACCAATCCACGCCCTCTTGGCAACGTTCCTGTTCGTAGTTCACGGTTCTTCCCACAGGCTACGGAACAGTACAAGAAGCCATCCCTCGAAGAAGACGATTTTATTCGCAGTCCCTCACCACCTCCACCGGAGGAAATGTCGACTCATCCGGTGTTCACAGGCAATACCAACAAACCCTTGGTACATCTTCCTGCGCCAAAGCCCATTGTCAAACTCCCCCCGAAGGTTATCGCGCCACCACAACCTCCTCCCACATTCGCTTCCATGGCTGCCGCACCACCACGCCCTCATTTCTCCACTGCTACGTCGTGGCAGGAGAAGATCAACACCCTATTTGGCAAAAAGACGGTGCCTGAGAGGAAGACAGCTTTGGCGGTCACGTCAGCCTCCAAAGAACCCCTAGATGTATTACATATAGCTGCAGCTTCAGTCTCGCTTCCCCAACATGGCGAGCTGCCCGTAGGAGACGGTGAGATAACTGCCAAACAGGTTGAAGAAGCCGAAGAGATCTTTGAGGACCGTGAAGTGGGATCTTTACCCGTTGTTCGAGTACCTACGAATGCTCCTCCGGCAGCGTGGCATGCGGCACCAGCGCCTTCGCAGTCGCGACTACGAGCTAAACATTCGAAGCTGATGCAGGTTCATAGCGTTGAACCATTTTCATTCGATTTTCATGATAAAGATAGTTCGGGAAATCTTCGCGCTTCCATCCGCTTTCCAGGTGCAGGTATTGCGAAAACCGTTATCCTTCCGAGAAAAGCAGGGAGTCATAATCCCCGACCACGTGGAACTTTGAGCTATAAGCCTCGAAAGAATACGAAGCTCCGTGAGGGACCTGGAAGTTCGAATTCCAAGAAATCATCTTCCTCGCAAAAGAGCAATGAAACAAGCTCTCCACGGCACCAGTCACGCAATGCTTCATGGGGCCCACGTACATATAGCGGGTCTCGCTAAGCGGAGTGCGGAGATATCCATGCGGAATAATGTCCCGTTCTTTGAGTTACGTTTCAGGGTTGAAATGGCATTTGCCAGGTTTCCAATATTCGTTGAGCGTCTTTTTTCAGTATTGATGAGCTACGCCAGTAGGGGGATCAACGGGTCTGGTTTTGCCTTGAATTTCTAGTGCTCCTATTAATGTCCTTATTTTTTCTAACCGTACATTATTTCCTCCTTTCTACCTCGTCGGAAATGGCCTTGGAGTAACATCGCCATATTTGAGAGGGATGGAGATTTCTTCCCACTTTCGCATACAAAGCACCAGTCCTGTGACTTATTCTACTGTCTTGGAAGAATTCAAATGTTCGGGTCTGTCCTACTTTTCTCTCCTTTATCTTTCTCTCGTCCTTTTTCTTTCCTCCCTCGTGTTCCACAATCAGACTCTGTGCTGTTCGATATGTACCGATTCCTCGTTTTGCTCGTTCACTTGTCCCCAAAAATCCTGTTTCGGGCTCTACTACATCTATACGTCTCCAGGAAATTTGGCACGCTAAGCGAAGCCTATGTATTCCTTTCTTTCGATATCCGAAGCTAAGATCAGTATTGGGACAGAAGTGCGAAGCTATGTCTTGAGCCTCAATATGCATTATCTAGCATGGTGCCAGGCAAGGTCTGCATTAAACTTCTCTTTTACATCTCCAGGTAATTCTTGCATTGTAGGAGGGGTAAGATAGACTCTTATTCCTCTTATCTTTTCTCGAGTGCTAGATCTAGATATCTACGAATAGAGACATTGGACAGTGGATTTAGCATGTTTGACTGTAAGTATATTATAATCGTATTCAGCCCCAACATCGTCAAGAAGCATTCAATCCAAACCACCCTCGGAGGAAAAAATATCACAGAAATACCCAAACCCACGCTAATGATATCATACACATACTCAACACCAAATGCAGTAATTTATGTACAAGTTAGGGTTGAAAAAAAGGTAAAAAAAACCAACTTTGCCTTGCGAGAATATATTTTCAGCCGGGATTTCATGTGCATCACCAATTCCATGTCCGACTTGACGCTGTGAAAACGGGAGGCTTCCATTGTAAGCGTGCAGGGTCGATCTTGCGCGACCCTTTGATCTTTTCTTTTTCAAGGCGTTTATTGTGTTGTTCGACGACTTGATCTGTGAGGACGATGACCCAATTTCCTTTCTGTACTGTTTGTTAGTCACTTCTTCCGAGCATACCAACGGGTATACGATAACGTACGTGGTATCTAAGCATGTTAAACACAACTAGTGTCTCATGCACATCCTTCTCGGTCATCGATGTTAACACAGCAAGCTCGTTCTCGCTTATGGACTCCCGTCCCGGTTCTATCAGTAATTCCACGAGTGTTTCTCGCCAGTATTGCCGATAACTTAGCAGACCCAGGTCACTTAAGGGTTTTTCTGGAGAGCCAAGCTTCCCTTCTCGCTTGCTAAGCTCATAACTGAATGAAATAAGGAGACGTCCGTAGCCGAGACGCTGGTATTGCGGTAATGTCAAGATACAGGCCAAGTTGTAGCCTTCGGCGGAATCTTTCTCTTTGGAAAAGTAACCCACCAGATGGCAACCGGTCTCATCTCGAGTAGCCATGCAGTAGAAAAGGAAAGGGTCGACGTCGTAGTAGAGTGTCTTGTGGTCAAGAAAGAGTTTGCTGAGAAGGCAAAGGTTGCGGCACCAGGTACGTTGGCGTCGACCGTCCACCTCAAAGAATGATATATGGTCATCACGATAGATCTCGTTTCCGGGGGGGTGCACAAGGGTACATTTCGCACGGTGGCGCTCAAAAGCTCGCTTGTTATCGAAATAGCTCAAACAGAACTCATCGATGTAAACCATATCGACATCTGAGTATGAGGCAGGATACGGAGAGAAGTACCAGGGCTCGATGTCAAACTTGCCCATTTGCAGGCGATTCAAGTTACGCACACGATGGATTTCCGTTGGATTCTGGGTCATACTTCCGCTTGTACGCAACCGCTCGATTTCCTCTTCGCGTGACATTTTACCCTGTTCATGCTCCTCTTTGGTGTCTGTAAAGCTGACGCCAATCATGTCGACATCTTCGGATTCGGGCCTAGGGGTGACGTCCGTGGAAACAGCTTCTGAGTCCATGATGGACAGATTTGCAGGCGTCTCATCGCGGTTTTCTTTCCCGCCTGCTTTGGACGGACGCTGGGCTTTGCCAACATTGGCATTTTTACCCGTTAGTAGATCTGGGGTTGCCGAAATTTCACGGCTCCCAGCTCTGGCACGCTTCTGTACATTCTTACTTGGTGCCTTGTTACCAGGACCGGTCTTTTTCTTCTCTGGTTTCTCCGGCTGCGGCCATTCAACCTCGTGAGATAGATCAATCCTTACGGAATCAATCCATTCTGCAACCGTGTGAGCAGAATACTAGAAGAACTTTGACGTCAGGCTTACCATCAAGACGTTTATTGAAGTCAACGTAATGGACGCTGCAGGTTGTTAGCATGTTTGAGGCAGATAAGGAATATATTTATCTGACACATACTAGAAACTCGGACCATCTTTGCGCTGTCTAATAGATAGAATCTCTGCTTTTCTCAGTTCCCCATCCTATGAAGAAAATATGTTAGAATACACTGTATATACTTTGAACCCAACATATGTCACGTGATTAAATGAAATTTCGAGGGGATCAAAGAGCATCCAACCTTTTGAACCATAGCCTTAACACCGATCCTATCGCTCCGATTAGTTGATGCGACCGGTAAAATCGATACCAAAGACACCGTAGCCAAAATTCCTACAGATATTAGGGGACTTACCGGATAGTATTGAGGGTGGCGAATCCCTTCTCGACGGGATCTGGTGTCGCTGTGGCCTCCCCATGGGAATCTCTGACGCCCATCGTATCGGGGGGGCGGTTCTTGATTAGTCTAGTGGTGTTCTATAGATGGATATACAAACGTGGAGGGGATTCGCGATGCAAATGGAGAGGGGCGATACTGGAGGGGATGGAGGATTGTCCGTCGCGATGATCAGAAGAGACCGCCTTTGAAGCTGTTGGCCTGAGCTTCCCGATCCGTTCATCGTCCGTTTTTGGTAACCTTACATTTGCGACAGTAACATTGATTGATATTCTACCATAAATGTACGTTCCATTTGAGGATGCAATTGCTCCCTATAATTTCCATTTTACCTGTGCCAGTATCTCCTTGACGGCATAGCCTTGAGCCAACGACAAGTAATCAAAGAACTTCCAGTAGAATCTGATGTACACGCCATGAATGAAGACCTGCAGTAAATATTGAGGAACAAGAAGAAAAATTCATAATTGGACTACATTTCGGAGTACAGAATCCAGGTACTAACCTCAAGCTGCAGGTAACATCAATGCCATCCATTAACCATCCCGCCCGTCCCTGCGACAAGGTCATCAAGCTCCTCCTTTCTGGTTCGGTATACTTCTTGAGCTTCACGCTCTCGTCTCATGACGAAGGCCACGTCATCTCGCAGCTTCTCAAGTCTCGTAGAGATAGCAGCCTCCTCAGAAATCTGAAGATTATGGAACGCATCCAACTCATTCTTTGACTTCTCCAAAGCGGCGCTGGCTTCAAGTATCTTGGTCCGTAACATCTTCGCGCGGTTCTGATATCCACCGTAATGTAGCGCAAGCTTCTTCTCAAGCTTGTTTCCTCCCTCTGCCGTGGCAAGTAGGGAGGCTTGCACATTGTCAAAAGCACCAATCAGACGTTGTTCTTGCTGATACTCGTCCTCTTCGTCGTCAGCATAATCGGAGAGGCCAGGAAGGGTTTTTGAATGTGTTGCTGTCCACTGAGAGTCAAAGCTCTCTATCCACTCCGGTTTCTTTTCATCAGATGTGGCTTCGGCGATAACAGCGGCGCGAGCTGCTTCCATCAATGCGTCATCAAACCGTTCTACCTTCCGTGCTTTGCCCTCTACCTTAGCACCAGCAACAGGATGTTTACGGGCATCATGGGCAATAAGCAAGGCAGCCTCTAGAGATATCATGCCGGTGATTGGATCCGTCACGTGCGAAGCACGTTCGATCAGCGCGTCTATATCCAAAACGCTTGGACGAGGCAGTGATCGTTGATAAACTTGCGACTGGCGCTTTAGTTCGGCCTGAGCAGCCTGTTTTCGCGCCTCTCTTTCTCTCCTGTCACGCTCCGCCATATCCTCTTCCACGTATTCTTCATTGGCGGTTGGCTCCGCTGACTCTGAAGGAAGTTCTTCCAATTCCCATTCAGTTTCTTTCGGTTTTGGCAACGCAGAAAGCTTGCTACGAATGGTTTGGCGAATGAAGTTCTCATGCATCTTGATCTCCTTCGGCGTGCTGCCAACAATTTGGCCCCCTTCCATCTGGTTCAGGGAGAAGTGATCACGGGGGGTTCGCAAAGGAGTCGCTCCCGGACCAACACCTCCCCGCATGGGTGTCGCGCCAACACCGTTGGTCTGTCGAAAGGGCGTTGCCATAGGGTTCGGGGTAACGATCGCCTGGCGCCGGGGTGCGATACCGTCAAAACCGGTAGAAGATCCTCCCTCATGCAAAGGAGTGTTCTCGCCTCCAAGCAATGACGATTGTGTTTCAGTCAGGGCTCTGATGTTCTTGATCTCATTGGCAATATGGTCCTCCTCCGGGGGAGCGCGAGGAGTCCGGATTGGTGTCCCGCCAACAATCGCGGAATAATTACCAAGCAAACCTCGTGTCGTTTCTTCATCACCAGCCAGTTTGCTAGCCTTGTCGCCTGCCATACCCATCTTGATGATATCCTCCATTTCGCTTTCACTAACCTGGGGGCTTGGAAGAACAAGGGCTCTTCTTTTGCTGCTCTGCTCCGCCTCGCGGATCTTCTGCATTTGACCAGCTCTTGCTGCTGCTGCAGAAGCTGCAGAATTGCTATTCTTGTCATTTTTCCTCTTCTTTCGCTCCGCCTCGTCATCCTGGTCTCCTTTGCGCTTGTTCGCAAGCTGCTGTTTACGGGGGTCGAACATTTCGCGCTGCCGCTCATTCCGAGCCTCCTCCTCTATAGTGTCATAGAAACCAGGTGCTGCCGGTTTTTCGAACGGAATATCAGCATTGTAGTCCATTTCCCCTTTCTTTCGAGTGACAACCTTAATGTTGATGCCAGCATTTTTGAGCTCACGGCGCTTCTGAAGCACAGCAAGTCTTCGGGATTCTTCCAGTTGTCGTTCTCTAGCCTTGCGCTTTGCTTTCTTTCCTTGTGTGTTCGCCAAACGAGCTCGAGCTTCACTCAACATTTCTTTCTCATCTTCATCGAGATCAATTGTATCCGGGCGAGCGGGCTTCGATTCAGGATCGGGATCTAGTTCGCCGGGCCTATTCAAAGTTAGAGCCCTAGGAATCAACGCAGAGCTCATGTACGCATTAACATACCGTAACCGCCTCACATCGTCCGCACTTGGTGCAACAGTTTCTCCACCCTCTGGGCCTCCTAGGCCAAACTCATCATTTTCACGAGCTTCCGCCTCATCCAACAATTTCTGATAACGCTCGAGACATTGCGTAGCTGTGCGTCCTACAATCGGTGCAATCGTACGCCACTGAGTGGGCATCAACTTGGCCAAATGTAACAGCTTTTCGTCCTCTTCCCTCGACCACTCCACCTTCCTGATACCGGGATCCAACCATTCCACCCATCGTGCCTTGCATTGTTTAGGAGTTTTTCTTGCTAGCAGTGAGGATACTCGCGCCCACTGGTTGAGACCATATTTGGATACCTAGAAAAGAGCATCCATCAGTTACCGTCAGATCGCATCACAGCATTCTGGCTTAAAATTTGTTAGACGCTCATGGTTACTTACTGCCGCCCGAAGTACCTCATCTTCGATATTTGTCCTAGTCCAAAAGTAAGTAATTGGTCAAAGTAAACATCGCAAGTCGCAAGAGCTCTAACCAGACACCTCCTTTGACCACCGGCATGGCTGTTAAATTTCCGCAGCCGTTTTCAAAGAAATCCACGCCAAATATCGTATCAGTATGGGGGATCGAGCTAAGAGAAGATGTTAGAATTAGCCTCTGAGGCTAATAGCTGGAGTAGTCAATGTCGACTGTGAACCGGCGCGGGCGAAAAGAACGACGCTAAGTCAGTCTTGACCAGCGTCCAACTGGCCCGCGGTAGCCGCGAAGAGCTTTAGCGCGACAGGCGCAGTAGAGTTCAATTTAATCGCCCCACAGTGCGGCATTAGGTAAGCTGGCCCAGATTTTTGGTCGCAAATAATTCAGATTATCTATTAGCGCAGAAGGTGAAAAAGAAAAGATTTCTAACGTTCCAGTTCGATATTGCAATCTTGTTGGCAAGGTCATCAAGATGTCTCCTTCCACTGATGCTCCCAAACAATTCAGCCAACCTTCGCGTAAGGGCAAAAAGGCGTGGCGTAAAAATGTGGATGTCACGGAGGTTCAAGAGGGTCTCCGAATGTTGAAAGATGAAGAAATTAAAGGGTAAATACGACCTTGCGCACTTCTTGCCACTCGCATTAATATGTTTCTCAAAGCTAACCTCATATCATAGTGGTGTAGTGGCAGAGAAGCCGTCTGAAGAACTGTTCACCATCGATACCACCGGCTCAGCAGAAGTCCGCAAAGCAATCGAGAAACAGCACAAGCCGCTGAAATCAAACGAAATCCTTGCCCAACGGTCGGTAATTCCGGCAGTAGATACCCGCAAACGCAACAGTTCCAAAGTGACAGATGGTGTTCTTGAGCCGAAAACTAAGAAACATAAGAGCGATTGGATTACCCGCAAGGATTGGCTGCGCTTAAAACAGGTAGCTAAAGAGGGCAACCCTGGCAAAAAGGCTGAAAATGGTGAATTCTACGATCCTTGGGCGGATGCGGAAGACCCAAGGCCTTTGGATGATCCGCAATTTGATTTCTTGGAGAAGCCGAAGCAGAAGGTCGCGCCTGACACGATAAGACGAGCCCCAATCTCACTTGCTGCAAATGGAAAAGCAGTTCCTGCTATCCGCACGCCGAATGCCGGCACGAGTTACAACCCAACTTTTGAGGACTGGGATCGTCTCTTACAGGAACAAGGTGCTAAGGCGGTAGAGGCAGAGAAGAAGCGCCTGGAAGAGGAACTTAGGGAACAAGAGAGGCAGCGTTTGGTTGCCAAGGCCAGAGACGACGACGGGACAGTAAAGTCTGATGATGAAAGTGCTTGGGAAGGGTTTGAAAGCGAGTACGAGACCCCGGATTGGCTGAAGAAGAAACGCCCCGAGAGAAAAACAAAGGCACAGAGGAACAAGATCAAGCGACGTAAGGAGGCGGAGAGGCAAGCAAAATGGGAGGCACAGATGAAAAAGAAGGAAGAGCAAGTTGAACAGGCTAAAGCTATCGCTGAGAACGTCCAGCAGCGAGAGCTCGAGCGTACCGAATTGTCGGATGACTCCGAGGGAGAAGGCGATGATACTGTTTTACGGCGAAAGCCCTTGGGAGGAAAGACCTAGTATGTTTCCCTATTCATGCTCAATTCTCGTTCAGCTACTAACTTCCATTTAGTGCACCTGAGCCGAAATTGGAGGTTGTTTTACCAGATGAGCTGCAGGACTCACTGCGCCTGCTCAAGCCAGAAGGTAATCTACTCGACGACCGGTTCCGGACGTTGATCGTTCAAGGAAAGCTCGAGTCTCGAAAGCCGGTGTCACAGCCTAAGAAGGCGAAGAGAAAGGTAACAGAGAAGTGGGGATACAAAGATTTCAAGGTCCCTGGCTTGTAAATAGATTCCCATTTCGTTTTGATGTCGATTTCTTTTCCATATAGACCTCTATTGTATGTTAATGAGCCGGTGTTGAATACAACAAAAAAGTTCTCGTGCTTCCCAATACCCCTCAACGAATTAACTACTTCATAGATTATGGACTGTGAACTTCACTTAAACCGTAAGCATCCAGTATTAAATTACCTCAATGGTGTGTTTGGAAGGGAACCGCAGCGTTCGAGAACCCAAAGTGGGACCGCTCCGAAAATTTAACTTTAGCGCCTTTGATCGGATTTATCGTTGATTTATTATTCTGGAAAAGCCGCTCCTCCGCATCAAGTATATTTTCCTTTCTCCTTACGTCGCCAAACAGACACTGAACATAATGCAATAATACCCGTTCAGCTATTGGAATGGACGTGAAAACACTTTCCAGCAATTGGAAGAAACTCCAGGAGACGCTGAAAAAGGATACCGTCTCTAGCTCTACGAAACGCAAGACATCGGACCGAGAGGGCCAAAATGGTCTGGTGAAGAAACGGAAGACGGAGACAGTAGAAGGGAAAACCAAATTTGAGCAATCCCGTGCGCCAAAAAAAGGGAAGAGAATGACCGACAGCGCTGCACATGGAGGCAAAGATGGCGCCCAGGAAGGCGTTGTGAAAACTGTCTCCCGGAAGAGTTCTATTGCTTCGATTGCGCCACGGCCTGAAGGGAAGATTGCAAAGGTTAACGAGGGCCGGTCAATGATGTTAGTCCTTCTGTCGTCTTTCTATTGTGTTATTTGTTTTGAGACTTTACTAACCCCCATGCTAGTGCGGAATTAGGTAAATATGTTGCAATGGACTGCGAGATGGTGGGAGTCGGCCCTAACCCCGATCACGACTCCGCTCTTGCGCGCGTCAGTATTGTCAATTTCAACGGCGAACAAGTGTATGATTCCTATGTACGGCCGAAAGAAATGGTCACCGATTGGCGAACACATGTGAGCGGCATAGCACCGAGGCATATGGCGGAAGCCCGGTCCCTCGAACAAGTTCAGAAGGACGTTGCAGAGATTATGGATGGGCGGATCCTGGTTGGGCATGCCTTGCGGAACGACTTGGATGCTCTCCTCTTGAGTCATCCCAAGCGTGACATTCGAGATACTAGCAAACACCCTCCATATCGAAAGATTGCCGCCGGCGGCTCTCCTCGCCTGAAGATGTTGGCTGCGGAATTCTTAGGCTTGGATATTCAAGGCGGGGCTCATTCTAGTGTGGAGGATGCTAGGGCTACGATGCTTCTATATCGACGTGATAAAGATGAATTTGAGAAGGAACACATGAAGAAATGGCCTGTGCGAGTAGTGGTTGAGAGGGAGAAAGGAGATGACCAGAAGAAGAAGAAGAAGAAGAAGAAGAAGACTCGTAAGAGGTGATTATCTTTGTCACATAGTCATACTTATCTTATTATACCCAAGATATATTGCGTTTGAAAATCATCTGGTCCGAGGACTTTGGATATTGAAATTCCGGATTACGTACTATAACTCCAGCGAGCATATATAATCAACTGCATTTTATTGCATATTTTTTGCCTTCGGCCTTCATCCACGCATTCTTGAAATTAAGATATGTGGGAGTTGAGCACGCTCATACTAAATCCCCGATCCACTGACGGTCTGAGATCGGAAATTTCCGCTCTAGTGTCACTTTACACGATGAACGCGACGCGTTCTTCTCCCGCCATCAAAGTGTCATCCAACAATCAAAATCGATAAGATACCTTATGTCCGATTCAATTACTTCTATTTCTACACGAGCCAATTACAGCTAGCATTCAACATATCATGTTCGCCATCCAACCCCAGCAACAGCCAGAAACCCCAATCTCCACAGACAGTGTTACCCCAAATATTCTCCCTTGCCGGATCCACCGCGATGGTCCAACGGGGTCGCTGAACCGTTACTGGAGGCCTAGACCTGATGAAAAAGGTCAGCACTTATCAGCTTTTCAAGACTCAAATGCTAACTGATGCAGATAAAGATCTGCAAACTGCCTACTTCCGCGGCCGGAAACTTCAGGGCCGGCGTGTTGCGGTTCCAGAGGGATATGAAGGTAAGAGAATATTTAGTGGCAACGGTCACTAGTTCTGTGGGCTTTCTAACGATATAGTGTAGGTGTTGTTGCACTTCCAACAGAACGCGTACTGCCATCGACCCGAAGAAACACAGGCTCTGCGATCAATGGGGAAGCCGAGCAAGAAGAGCCAGTTAAGATTCTAGAGAAACAGGCAACCTTTGATGAATATGTTGTGTGGGGGCATGAACTGGCACCTGCAGCCGACGACTCCTTTGTCAAGGGAGTTGAAGAGTGGCTGAAATTGGCTGAAGCGGTGGGTTATCGCCTTACTCTATTCTTTCTATGTGATCAGAGGCTGATTGGAAATAGATGCATTGCCAACCTAGGGATAAAAAGAAGTCCTCATGAACCTGGCTTCCGGGTAGGCTGGGGATATCCGATGCAACGAAACCATTCAAATACGTATACGGTTCCTGGTGAGCACTACTCAAATACCAGGATAAACGTCCCTGGAGAAGCTGCGATGCCGCCTGACGAGAAGCGGCCGACCTTCTCTACTCAGGTAGCCGCACATGGATATCTTCGCTTTGTTACACTTGGGTAGATAGTGTTGCTCGACACAGTCGTTCACCATGCGCACAATCTTGCTTATGGAACCCTGGAGCAATCCGATCTGCTTAGAGATACGCAGCTAATTTTCGTGGAAATTCACTTCCTATCGGCATCGTACACTTTACCCTTCGCCTGCGTCCATTTTTTACACATACGAGCACTTATCTACAGCTCAAGGCCCTTTGGGGTTGCATATACTATCGTGTTCGGTGTCAAGGACATTGCTTTGTTAATGCACGATATCTAGAAGCTACATGCAGCGCCCCAAGAAGTTCTTGTTATCTTATTATACAACCAAATTTTTACCTATGTTTTTGGAAGTCAAGAATTGCATTGTTCTATTCAGTTGAGACTAGTGTAGATGAAGAGGATCAAGGGGTACACTATTTATCGATAAGGCTGATAAGCCCTGACCGCCCAACTATGAAATCAAATATGGGTGAATTTAATCGAGGCCATTCTTTAACTTTCTTATACCCCACACCATCATGCAAGCCAACAATAATGCGAAAGTGGCACCCGAAGTACTGATCTCGAGATTTGAGATTAGCAGGCTGCTCAGACAAGGTTTGGACCCTCTACTCTATGACAATAGACACCGCACCGAAACGGCCATCTTTGAACGCCACTAACCAGAAGGAAAAAACAACCCGTATAGATCAAAGTGGCCGTCGGATCGCTCTTCTAGGAACGATCGAAGGGGAACAAGGTATTCTCATAGCCGAACGAGCGGCCTTTGCAACCGAATCCCTCGAGGTCCTAAAAGCGTTTCACTCTGCAATCACCCGCGTAAACAACCTTGGGGACAATGACATCTACCGCTGGTACCTGGCCTCGTCGGGCATAGAGGGGGAAGGCCAGCAATGCGCGGATCTCAAACTGAACCTCATCTGGCCATGTACCGGGCAGCATATCAAGAAGTACTCCGATCAGATCCTGCGCATGGTGACTGAGACTCCGGAGATCTACCGCGAATATATCCGGCCATATATGAGTGCCAAGCGGGAGGAGGGCCGGTTGAACTGGGTGTTTAACATCCTCGAGGGTAGGACGGAACAGGAAGATGTTATTCTTCGGGATCAGGGTCACGGCCCTGAAGATGGGTTTTTGATGCTCCCGGATCTTAACTGGGATCGGAAAACGATGGGCTCGTTGCATCTGCTAGCTCTTGTACAGCGGAGGGATATTTGGAGCTTACGTGACTTGAAGAAAAAGCATATCCCTTGGTTGCGGTATCTGCGCCGGCGATTGCTGGAGGGTACGGTGAATATGTATCCGAATCTGGATCAGGATCAGCTCAAACTTTACGTGCACTGTAAGTGATATCATTTATTCATACTAAGAGGACATTCATTGACGGCCGGTAGATCAACCGACATATTATCATTTCCATGTCCATGTTGTTAATGTCATGCTTGAGGCGGGCGCTACGCAGGCTACTGGCAAAGCTTTTGGGTTGGAAAACCTTATATCTCAGTTAGAAACTATCTCTGGCGGCAACGAAGCGGGTATGGCGGATGTCAGCTTGACATATTTCCTTGGGGAGGCCAGCGAGCTGTGGACTGATATCTACGAACCATTGAAACGGGGAGTAAAGCCATTACAGAACTAGGACCGTGTTCAGCTAGCTTTCAACGACTAGAGCATAGATACGGTTATGAACGAGACGAACTCATGACAGGATGCTGGATTTCATGACAACGGTCTGCATAATTTCTCCGCTATATAAACCCGATCTTGGGTGTAATCAAATTATTTCTTCGGCACAAAGTATAAATAAGTAAAAACGTCACATGTCATTCGACGTAAGGCGGAAACATATAAGTTTAATTTAGTGACCCCGCAGACCAACTCCACTTGAACCTCAAAACCTTCCATTTCACCTCCAAGATTCCATAGTAACACATCCAAACAAAGCAGTTAACACAAAATGACCGACCGCGTCGACGTCCCAGAGACCAACAAGGCCTTCGTGCCCCTCGGTATATCCAACCTCAACAAGGCCAAAGGCAAAATGGCACCAACTGACGCATAACAAATCCAGAAAACAACCCAGAAGTGATGTCGCACCTAGTCCATCAACTCGGCCTCCCACCAACCCTGGGTTTCACGGATGTATACTCAATTGATGAGCCAGACCTCCTAGCCTTCGTCCCGCGGCCCTCGCACGCCCTCCTTCTCGTCTTCCCCGTCTCCAAAACCTATGAATCCTCCCGCGTATCTGAAGACAGTAAACTCACCGAATACACCGGCTCCGGGCCCTCGGAACCAGTCATGTGGTTCAAACAGACGATCCGGAATGCCTGCGGTTTGATCGGATTGCTGCATGCTGTGTCCAACGGGGAGGCCCGGAAACAAGTTCTTCCTGAGTCGGATTTGGACACTCTTCTGCGGGATGCGGAGCCTCTTGGTCCCGTTGCTAGGGCGGACTTATTGTATGAGAGTAAGGCATTGGAGAGCGCTCATGCTGATGCGGCGAAGTTGGGTGATACTACGGCGCCGCAGGCGGAAGATTCTGTTGATTTGCACTTTGTGGCGTTTGTGAAGGGGGCTGATGGCAGGTTGTGGGAGTTAGATGGGAGGAGGAAAGGCCCGTTGGACCGGGGAAGGTTGGATGAAGGGGAGGATGCATTGAGCGAGAAGGCTCTTGATTTAGGGGTCAGACGGTTCTTGAAGACTGAGGCTCAGGGTGGAAATCCAGATCTGAGGTTTAGTCTTGTTAGCTTGGGGCCTGTTTTTGATTGAGGTTTTCTCGTGTATTCCCGTCTGTGTATACGTATTGAAATAGGTGTTCTGGGAGTTTCTATGTGCTGGGCTGGCTCCGGTCAGAGTGGTTAGTGTGAAGATGGTTATGGTAGTCACTTACGTGTTATGTAGCATAAAGGTATGTTTATTCTAAAGGTAAATGGTATATATATAGCTGAAGATCTAAGAGACTATTTAGGTATCTATATATGCATCAAGAAACAATCCAGGTCAGATCAAGCTCGCATCATCCCCGTCAACCCACCATTCCTCCGAGTTAAATTTCAGAGCTTCATCTCCACAGGCCCACCACCCAGAGGTCAGGTTGCGCGCGAACACCTCCAAAGCGGAATAGGCTATGGAATCTCCTAAGGTAGAAGCGTCGGCGAAGAAAAGTTTCTCAAAGATCTCCCGCAGATTCGGCTTCCGAGAGTGCACATCCGGAACAGCGGCAATAAACCTCCTAATGACGCCACTATTACCCTCTGTCTCCAGGGGATCGATCGGCTGCTGATGTTGTTGCTTCATCCCTATAATTAGTACCTCATAGGGCTTCCGCCAAAGGCCATTCAGCGGCGTGATGGGATCTCCATTTGTGGTGGTTTTGATCCAAACCCATTCCTCACAGACCGAAAGGCCCGCGCCCTGAATAGCGTCATAAGCGGCTTTACGTGCTCTTGCAGAGTTGGTTATCCACATAGCGGCTATGGGCTTTTGGCCCTTTTTCTCGTTTAGCTTTCGGGGTGGTAGAAAGTCACCCGGACTGTCACTTTGGAGGTTTTGGCGAATATCTTGTAAGTGCACTCTGAGAATATCTCGAATACGCTGCGTAAGTAGCCCACCCTCCATGTAGTTTTGTGTATGATAATGTCCGCTGCGTCGAACGGACCTATTTAGCCAGGGCGGATCGAGAAGAATTAGATCGAATTTCTGGTGTCGAGGAAGACCAGGTATCGGACTTGTAGACCTGTTTGGTCTCATGGACGACTGTGATATATGCAATCTGCAGAGTAAGAAACTCGACAGCGGGGGTACATCGTACGTATGGTGGTGGTGGCCAGCACATTCGGACTGCGTTGAGTCGTCAGGTCTTTGCAGTGCGCAATGTACTCTCACAATTGCATGTTCGGGGGACGTATTCCTAACTACGAGATTGCATAAACTCGACATAGAGTCGAACAGATTGGATCCGGCGGAAAGTATCAAAGGTGGATTATCTAGCTCTGGCTTAGTGGGCTTTCCAAGCATGGTTGAGGCCGTATAACCACCAGCTTCGAATCGACAGTCGTCATTACCATTGGAGTCTTTCTCATTGCGCCTTCTCTTTCCCAAAGATCCCTCCCCTTGCGTACGGAGATCTCGCCCTCTGCCATGCATCAAGGCTATTCTATCCAAACACCATTCATCGTGGCCATGGAGACCCTCCCGGATCTCGTGCAGCGCATCTATCACCAAAGGCGAAATGACATCATGAAAACCTCGCTCCGATACAGGGATCCTCTGTAGAACCTTGGCCCTTGCAGCATCCGTTTTGGGTTCTGTAGAACCAGGGAAAGGATTTCTTAGGGGAGCCGAAGACAGAAGGCGTCTTACGCTTGCATTCTTGTTTCTTGGAGAAGGGCTTTTGTTGAGATGTATCTTTGCAGAATCTGAGAGGAATCCTTGCTGAATGGATGAGAGGTCTTGTGCAAGAGCAATGGATGTTGGAATGTCGAGGAGGAATACTGTGTTCTGGGAATTTTGGTAGAGGATTGAGGACCTAGTCATTGTATGTTGTTCACTGTTGTCTGATCTCACAATGGTGGAGTCTTTTATTCGCTGGTCATTTTCGGGGGAAAGTTGGAGATGCGGGGATAAATTTTATGGAGATTGTCCAGTAAATCAACAATGAGCCAAAGACCTGGCTATGTATATATATAGTATTCCAGCTAAAACGTTAAAGCCAGGGTTAATTTCAAATAGAAAGGAATCATGACTGGTAGAGTAAGCCAGCATATCCTTTACGATCTTAAATAGAGATTATGACTAGTTCTATCATTATATAGGACGCATGATGCTATTGAAATGTAGATATCTGTCTTATAGACGGTCACGTGATTTTATATTAATAAGCACCCGCATCTTGTCCAGCGTAGCCAACCAATGATATCGCTTATACCTAATCACGAAAGGGTATATAAATCAGTGTAAGGATACTCTATTGCCTTCGGGCATTTGGTCAATTTGAAACGATACAGAGAAGATTAGCATGGCCCCTGCACTAAGGATGACACGCTATACAAGGAGAAGCTACCAATTTTTTTTGCACGACTTACTGTGTCGATTTGGAGGTTTTTTGAATATCGCCGAGAATCGACAAGCTTGTCGATTCGAACCCCGGAAGGGGCTATTCTCTTTTTCCTTTCTCTTTTTCTTGATATTGTCAGCTACGTGACTCTTGGATATACATCTCCGTTTATGAGACAGACAATCCCTAAAAAGAATGAATACCAAAGTTAGCTAGGATAAAGGCCTTTCTGTAAAGTAGTTGCTCTCGTCCTTGGTGGTTTAAATACAAGTGATCCTGTAGTTGGTTGTAACTCTAGAATATAACCTTCGAACGAGGGCATCTGGGTCATAGTCGCAAAATCCATCTATATGCTTCGCTGATGTGCTTGTCTAGGAGGCTTTTGTTTGTAAAGGATATACAGCATTCATCGAGTGAGCAGAGGAGATATTTAGGCTGTTCGAATGGGCCAGTACAAGCCATCAGATGTGCTAACACCTGAAGTCTTTCCCTAGCTGAGTACTTCTTGGAATGAAACTGAAATACAGTTAGTTCATTGCGATTCTTTGGTTAATTTTCATCAGAGAAGGTTTAGAAGGCGTGACTAGCTCGTATGATATTGAACGCAAGGGTCTCACAAAACCTATCCAGGGGTTTAGTACTAGTTAGCTCCGCAAGGGTACTAACGTCGGCGTCGCTTTCATTCCCTATTTCAGAGTCTCAGCTTCAATATCCTCGCTGATATAAACGTCGTCATCAATGTTTTCAAGGTCGGGCATATGCTCAATATATTTTGCTGCACTTAATTGATCATCCGGTATCAACACATTAGGAAAAACAACTTCCTCAGGTCTTGGACTGTATGCTTATTGTTTATTTTTATACCACTGTCTCTTTAGAGCTTCAAGTTCCATTGCCATCGCTTGACGCCTGAAGATATCTAAGTCAGGCGGCAAGGTATTAGTGACTATGTGGCGGTATATATTGGACAAGTCTAACTTTGCTGGTTTATAAGGAGCTTGGTAGTAGTCCGTGGCAAGCCTGCCATGGAATAGCTCGACCACTCTGGTGGTCTAAATGAATGTGGCAGCAGTGCTTGTATCCGCCCGAAACATGACTACCGTGCTAGAATAGACTGCGAGGCCTAATCCCGCCATTAATTTCGAGGATGGAAGCTAACAGCACACTTCATTGGGAATCCCATTATCATGTTCATGCGACCTTGACATCATAGAGTTGAGGTGTACGCTGCGAGTTGCGCGACGAATCGTACCGGGCTCATCCTCTTCCCAAGGTTGTACATTGGTAAACCTACTAGAAAGGGCATGAATAAAACACAGGCTTTCCTTTCCATGGACGGCATGGTATCCTTAGTGTAAATTCTGTTAAAAGGTACTCTCTGGGATTGGCTAGGGCGAAAGATCCATTATATTGCCTGGTCGAATACTATATCAAGAAGAAAGTCTATCGAGTGTAAAGCTTTGCTTCGCAATGACGTTAAAAAGGATGATTGTGAAAATGGTACATCAAAACATTCTGGATATAGAATAGTACCAAATCCGGCAAGATGGCGGAGTGGTTAACGCGTTGCACTGCTAGTCCTCGACAGGATAGTTATGCAATCCCTTCGGGGGCCTGAGTTCGAATCTCAGTCTTGTCGCTTCGTTTTTGCCCCACCATCTTAACAGCTTTCCCTTACTTTTTGTCCAACAGACTTTCTCGGTTTTCTAGTGTCTTCTTGCCTCTAGGATTGTATTGGAGTGAGACATGGTGTTCCCCGTTTCAGTTGTCGCTGGTGCCCATTAACATGGGCGTGCCCTATTTGGGCTGCCATTCATGGAGGCCCTTCCACTGTTTGTGGTTTTATTGCATGCTAATAGCGCCTACCTATTGCTGGGCTTCGTATGGCGATAATGTATATATACCTAGTTATGGTTTGGTAATACGGGGTGTGGATCACAAAGTACTATATAGGTGCGTACGTGTATCAAACATGTGCAAGGTCAGCCATTAAATGTTTAGCAAGCCCACCAACCAGTAGAACCTGGCACATCCCCCTACACTGTCTTGTCTCGTGCCACAGACAGCCAATAGAGGGAACCCAGCACCCATAATCATCTACCTTTGTCATGTCAGCAAGCAGCAAGATCCCATACTGATCGGGACATGGAACAGTGGAACGCGGGGTTTAGCCTGTTTCAGAGCTGTCAATCAGATTGGGGACCTAGTAATATAATTTTTAACTCATACTTTACTCGGCCCCCAAGGTTAGGATTGACATGGCCGTTAAACATGTTGATTACAATTCTTGAAGGGTTCAGCCATAGATTAATTGAATTTTGCCACTATTATACATATGTCCACTATGACATCACGAGAAAACCAGTCATCAGGGGAGTGAATGGATGTCCTCAGCGAGGCCAATGGGATTTAACTGTTCAAATAATAATAGTAGAACATAACATATTATAGCTCAGATGCCACATGACCTGAGGGTGCGTGACTTGAAACATTTTCGAAGAGTGGATGGATGGAAGACATCATGTTCAGACTTCGGTACTCACATTCTCGAAAGGCACAGTTGGCTAGGCCAAAGTGGATATCTCAAAAGGAATGAAGGCGGAGATAATTGGGGAAAAGAAAAGAAGAAAAGAGCGGGAGAGGGAGAGAGGGACTCCAGTACGGAGTATGATCTACCACAATGAAATGCGTTATTTCGAAGCCGCTTCCAAAATTGGGTCGGCAAGATCTATGGATGGGACCGAAGGAGCCGTTGGGGGCGCTCGTTCGTTCGTTTACGAAATGGATTACCAGGTAGATACATAACGAAAAGAGATTGAATACAGCTCTGTATGAGGCAAAACTCTCAGAATATGCGATACGATGCTACAAGGAGAAAGCATCAGTACCATGAATGATTAGTACTCAGTGGTCAGACTATGGGAGTCCATAACAATTCCTAGTGGTAAGCTGGTGACCAACCATAACAGTAATATGACATTTCTTTGCCCGGGGATCCGGCAAAAGAGCAAACCGCCTTCCCTTTCGCACTGTCAAGGTCAGTCCCTTCCCAAGCCGTACCTTACGCTTACCACGACTGTCTTCGTCGTCTTTATTTTCATCCTCGCTATTTTCCCTACCATTTCTTTTTCCTTTCTCCACCCCTCCCCCCCAAAATAATTATTCTTCATTTTATCCTCATATTCCAATTAGAATATTGTTTCTCTTCTTCACTTCTATTCGTATTGCGCTCTTCGGTCTTCTTCACTGTCACTATATCTTTTAACGCATCTGGCCGGAGACCGCGCAGTTTATTTTCCAGCCACCCGTTCAACTCGACTTGACCCTTTCGGATCCGCACTTCTGTGAACCGTTGCTTTCTGTCACCTTTTCACTCACTCGACCATCTATTGTAGCCGTCCTCTTTGCATCCCTTGCGATCTTTTCGGGTGGGCCTTGGTCGCTAAGTGATAATTATTATTACGGAGATCATCTACCTCAGTGGATCGTGACAGTCGGATTTGAACACTAGCCAAGATTACCATCATCTCTCCGTGGCCACGTCGATGCATAACGGATAGATTTTTGCGCAGCATTGACATTGTCTCACTCCGCTTTCTGTCTATTAATTGCCTCTGTTCTAGCTTACGTATTCCTTTGACCAAGTCCTCCGGTCGACCCCGCCGCGAACACCGTTCACACATCGGTCAAACACACAGAACGTTGGTTGATTGGAGTGCCACAGCTATCCGTCGGATCAAGCAGTGAGTGCACGAACACCTAGGCGGTATCAATTGGTACTTAATGTTCATTAAGACTGCTATAGTTGTCGAGGCATTGCACCATCAACACATGGTTCTTTTTGGGAACATCTCCGACTGAGCCGGATTTCATCGTCCTTCGACCCATCATCCACTGCTCTACAAGCAATTTATATTTTGGGAAGTTTGGTGCCTGCCTTTTTAAGGCGGAGGGAAATAATCTATAATGTTACCTGTTTCACGACCCGAGGGTCATATGAGCCTCAATTATATTCCCACCACCCAACCGATGTCTGGGACATCCACGGGGCGCAGCTCCCCGAGTGATTTGTCCGCCGCCGCCGTTAAGTCGCCCTTTGGACCAAGCGGCTTAAATGGCGCTGCAGGGTCAATCGGAAATGCGAGGCTAGGGGCTGGATCCCCTTCTCATGACCTTGGAGCTCGCCTATACTCGAAAAGGTAGGGTAGCATAACTATTCTGATACTGCTTGCCTGGATTTATGCCCTGGACTTACACTCTTCGATTTACTAGGGCACGAGAGATTCAGGCAGAGGAGGGTGTCTCGCCAAGTATCTGGGGTCCTCCTACCAGTGGCCATTCCACGCCGCTGCGCGAAAATATCCCCGAGTCTCCCAGCCAAGAGGGTTTCCCTGACTTGGTGCCCACCTCGAGTGGCTCAATCAATAGCCCTGCCCGGAGAGCTAGAGCTGGCACTGTACCCTCCAGATTCTCTCCCGTTGGTGCGCTCAATGAGGCAAGCCTCCAACAATCTTTTATGTCTCAAACTTCCCGGCCCACGCCATCAACTAGCCCTTTTCGCCCCTCTGGTGTTCCTGGAATCGATACGGGCGTGACTGCTGCTCCTGTTGCTACTGCAAGGGGTGCAGGTTCCTTGTCGCGTCTTCGAGCTGGCTCAATGCCGCAGAGAGCGAATTTCCTTGGGTCGTCCAGCCCTTTCGGACCATCCCTATTCTCTACTAGCTGGACTACGGGCCGCGATCGGGCGACTACCCTTACGAGTATCCGGTCTTCTGAGGGGCCTACTTCCCCCAGCCATTCGTCCTTTTCGAGAGATGGACTCACGGATACCGATGTTAAGACCCTGGACTACCTGGGTCTTGCTGAGACTCCGCAACAAGCACGGGCCACTCTTGCGCGACCCTCTGTGGATATGCTTCTCCAACAGCAGCAGCAGCAACAGCAACAGCAAGCTTCTACCTTGCCGCCGTTACTGGCAGAACTGGCTATGATGAAAAATAACAATAGATTTCGATCATACTCCGTGAACGCCAAAGAAAAGTATGCCGACGATGAGGACCTCGAGTATGAAAGTCGCTACTCACAAATTCCTTCGGGTACTGTTACACCTTCTGCCGCTGCAACTGCCGCCCATCTGGCTGCTACCCAGGCCCAGATCCATCAACACAACTTGGCCGTCCAAGCATTTGCTAACCATGCTTCCGCTAACCGGCCGCGGGCTAGGACTGCGGGAATATTGGAGGCCCCTCCCCAGCGGTCCTCAATTCGCAACTATCTAGCCACCCCTTCGCGCCTTGAGAATAGCTTTAGCGCTGCTGATCTGAATATTGCAGAGAGTGGAGAATATGACGAGTTGTCCGAGGCTGTGCAGCTGATGCATTTGGGTGGAGGTGGCGCTCCTAATCTGGGCATGCGGCAAGGCGACGTAGTTGATGAAAATAATCAGGACGGTCCGACGCGTGCCTTATGGATTGGCAGCATCCCAGTCTCCACTACTATCACTTCTTTGGCGGCCATCTTTAGCAGATATGGTAAAATCGAATCCACCCGGGTCCTGACGCACAAGAACTGTGGATTCGTCAATTTCGAGCGTGTTGAGAGCGCTATCCAGGCTAAATCGATCCTCAACGGCACAGAGATTTTCCCTGGCGCAGGGCCGGTCCGAATTGGATACGCTAAAGTTCCTGGCACTTCTGCCTCTACTCCTGGGATTAACGGCATTCAATCTTCTCCGACTCCTGACCCTAGCGCTAAGTCGAGCGCTGCTGATGGCATGGAAAGCTCTGATTCTGGGACCGTTGTTCCGCAGATACCTCCCCTGCCCGAGCTTCAATCGGAGATGGTGCAGATCGTTAAGGAATTTGGCGCTACTGACGAAGACGCACTAAGTATAACTGCTAGTATTCAACAGGCGATTGCTTTCCAGGCATTCGAAGACGAGATTCCTCCAATTCCTGAGCCCAGTCAAACCAGAATGTTCGATGCTCCACGTCTCCGTGATATCCGCAAGAGAATTGATAACGGTGCATGCTCGGTTCAGGAGATTGAAGAGACTGCAATCTCGATGCTACCAGAGATTGCAGAGCTATCCTCTGATTATCTGGGTAACACCGTTGTGCAAAAGCTTTTCGAATTTTGTTCGGAACCGATCAAGGAGCAAATGCTTGTTCAGATTGCGCCCCACCTCGCTGAGATTGGTGTTCATAAGAACGGTACCTGGGCTGCACAGAAAATTATTGACGTTGCCCAGACTCCAAATCAAAAGAATATGATTGTGGATGCACTCCGCCCATACATCGTTCCACTTTTCCTTGATCAATACGGAAACTACGTCCTTCAATGTTGCCTTCGTTTTGGCTCCTCATTTAATGACTTCATCTTTGAGGCCATGCTGAGCCGCATGTGGGAGGTCGCCCAAGGACGGTTCGGGGCTCGGGCTATGAGAGCTTGCCTCGAAAGTCACCATGCCACCAAAGATCAGCAGCGCATGCTTGCGGCCGCAATCTCCCTCCACAGTGTGCAGCTTGCGACAAATGCTAACGGTGCGCTATTGCTCACGTGGTTCCTCGACACTTGTACTTTCCCTCGCCGCCGAACTGTGCTTGCTCCGAGACTCGTGCCGCACTTGGTGCATCTCTGCACTCACAAAGTTGCGTATTTGACGGTTCTCAAGGTCATTAACCAACGCAACGAGCCCGATGCCCGTGAGATTGTTTTGAAGGCACTGTTCTTCAGCCCCGGTGACGAGGTCTTGGAGAAGATTTTGAGCGATCAAACATCTGGAGCGACCTTGATTTTCAAGGTTCTGACAACGCCATTTTTTGATGAATCCATTCGTGCAGAAGTAGTGAAGAATGTGACGAAAGTTCTCACAAAGTTGAAGGCAACACCAAGCCAGGGGTATAAGCGACTGATGGACGAGGTTGGCCTCTCGTCTCGTGGCGCTGCCCGGGATAGCCATCATGGACGGGATCATGGGTCTAACTCAGAGAAGCAACAACAGCGCCCCGCCTCTCGGCCTGCAGTTTCGAATTACCCTTCTCAGTCATCCATAGACAGGCAGTATAATAGTCAATTTGTTCCCACCATGCTTGCTCAAAACTTGGATAATACCCGGTCCGATCAGCAGCCAAATGTTGCGTCGTTTGATCCTTATGCCATCAATGGAGTGAATGGCCTTGGCTCTGCGGGTACTATCAATCCTTTGAACGGCGCTTCAGGCATTAATAGTTCGGGCTTCGGCCAAGACCCCTTGTTGCCACTTCAACAGGCGCAGTACCAGGCTTATCTGGCTGCACAATCCCGAGGTATCTCGCCTGGTGGAATTTACCCGAACCTAGGTACCACCAATTTTGGATATCCAGGTGGATCTCCTTCGGTGGACAACCTTCGGAGCATACAGGCTCAGGGTAACCCCTTGTCTGGCGCTACGCAAATGAGCCCCCCTGGCTCTATGCTCAATCAGCCAGGCTTTGGTCCCCAGCAGTTTAGCCCTGTCATGGGCACGTCTCAGATGTACCAGTATCCTCAATATAATTTCCAGCAGCCTGCCCAAGGACAGTCCGCTGGGGGACGACGTGGACGTGTAAGTGATTCCGAGTTTATATGCAGCCGGCGATTGACGTGTGGAAACTAACATGGTTGAATAGCGCTGAGGCTCGCATATGACCTTTTAATCCAATTTTGTTTCAACTTTGTGTATAAAGTTAACATCTTTTTTTTTCAATTTCTTGCTACTTTTATGGATACAGAGTAGTATGGTTATATGCACGAAATGACCCTTATCTCACCTAGACTGACGCTGGATCGTCTTGGAAGAGGGGGAAAGGAGAGACGACAGTGGAAAAAGTGTTGTGATGTTTTTAAATTTTTTTTTCCTTTTGTCTTCTTTCTCCTTTATTTATTTTCTTTCCTTTTTAAAGAGCATGGTGGTGTCACATTTGTCAATAAATCATCAAGTGGTGCGAACCACCGATTCTCAAGTTCTGTTTCTTCACCCATAGTTGTGTTGGATACAAGAAGAGTTGTTCCTGTTTTTCTATCACTCTTAAAGTCCTGTATTCATGTGGTCTCAATCTTGTGGACTACTGGTGATGTGACGAATTTCCTTGTTAGTCTTGACACGAAACTTTTGTGAAATGTTTGCCCAGCGGCGCCTGTATCTTGTTAGGAATCTACCTTCTCTGGAATAGATGACTTGTTATCATGCTTGATTTTCTGTGGCTGTATTTCTATATGCCTAGTGAAGTATTTATCTTGAGTATAGCTTCCATCCATTAGATGTAAAAGCAAAAGTTTGGAAAAGCCCGCTCTTGAGACAATACTAGTAGCAATTGTAGGGTCTGTTAATATCATCAAACCTGCGCGTGAACCGCTATATTCCCGAATTTACAGTTAGAAAGAGAACTACTGGCACAGTCTCGCGAGATGAAGTTAGCTATAAAAAGAACAGGACACTTGAGTCAGGTGTAGAAGACGCTGTTTTTACTGTCAGGCAAAATGCCCGGGGGTCACCAAGTACACTATGCGTATTATACGGATCTACCTACGGGCGCAGAGGAAGAGCCACACGAGTATATATGATAATTGTGGTTATTTTGCGTTTTGCTTTTCAATGTGATGGGACGCTGAATCAATATCTCTACAGCACCGAGGATTTATTATTCTATGGCGCCTAGGTTCTATCTTACTGACGGTGCGCCTATATAGCTAGACAATCCAGGAGTAGGCTCTAACACGTTAATAGAAAACGGTTTGGCCAGTTAAGTCGGTTGACCTAATGCAAACGTGTGCTGGTCCTCGCAGCCCGACGGAGGCAAAATTGGGGATAACTAAGACGATGTGATTTGTAGAGCAAGGAGTCTACAGGAGTAATCTCGACCCTGTGGCCTTTTAATATAAGATTGTCTTTATGTCACTATTTATAACCTTATTATCCTTATCATCCCTGGTCATTCTGTGTATTTCTGTTGGTGTGCTTTACTGGCTCAATTGTCTATCTATGTGCCATTGGCTCCTGTCTCTGTTCAATATGAAACCAAAGAATTCAGATGCATATACATACGAGAGCGTCTTGGAGACTTCTCAGTTAACTCGGACATCATTACGAGAATACTCAGGATCAGGACAAAGGTGAACGCAGAGCGGCGGAGGCCTGCCAGACTCTCACACCTGCCAAAGATCCACAGACATACCGAGATACTTAAGATACGAAGATACGTTCGAGAAAACATGGGACTTTTGCTATATATAGGTAAAAGGGCAGCAATAGTCTCAAATTTCCGTCATACCAAATCTAAGAAATCTTATACGGAGCACGATTGCCTTTGATTAACACACCTTGATGCAGCTGAACTGATCAAAGGCCTGTGCAAGTCTCGGCAGTGGCTGGGCTTTCGAGTCTTTCGACGTCTCGCAGCAGATCGGCCCCGGCACCATCTTCGAAACGGATGTACTTCCAGGGGTGACATATCACCTGACTGGTGCATGCTCTTGCTGCCAGACTGGAGGCATTATCGTGGCAACGGGATATCAAAGCAGTAACTGTCTTCGCTGAAACGATATCCAGCTTAGCTTCCCCCGAATAGCCCTGCAGATGTCCAGAGTCTCGAAGTGGAAATCACAATTTGATTGGAAAAGGGGAAAAGGTCGGTTTACCTTGAATTAATCTGTTGAACGCAGCAAGTATGCCAAATGAAAGCCGGATTGTGTTTCTAAACTGCCTCCCACATGAGCAGCTCAACTGCTTTTGCGTGATCGAGTCTCTCTTGATTATTGGTCTCGGACACGTCTATTTGTTTGAAAAGTCTATCCAAGAAGCTCTAACCCACGACACCTTCAAACCACTGGATCGAACGGTTCAATTTCGATAACAAGAGTATCTAGCCATCGGTTGCATGGACAAGCAAAAGCGCACCGCCCCTTCCGGATTCAACTGAGACTGCACACTCTTTCGCTTATACACTGAATAAAATGGGACGAGTGTCAGACGTGGCCACATGATCCACCGCGGCGCAATGAGGGTTATTTCTCATGCCAGAAGCTAGTATAGACTACCGCAGCCACTAGCGCGACATAGAATACGGCGGAGATGGCTGGGCATACCTCCGCACAACAGGACGGAGTTACGAAAGACTACATGGGCCCCTGGCAGGTGGATGACCAGGTTATTCGAGGGTGGTAGGCAAGGAACTCCAATGCTATAACATGGCAAATATTTAGTCTGAGACATAAAGAGAATGCTTGCATACTAACCGGGTATACGCCGTTAGCAAAGACCAAGTCAACTCTCGTAGGAGACTAAAACTTACACTATGGGGGAGAGATATGAAGGTAAATTAACGATAATATCGTTAAAAAAAGGAAGCAGCGACAAGACTGAGATTCGAACTCAGGCCCCCGAAGGGATTGCATAACTATCCTGTAAAGGACTAGCAGTGCAACGCGTTAACCACTCCGCCATCTTGCCCCCTTATTGGTCAGCTTTATTGACAAATCGGCTACTAAGGAAAATGGTCAGATAAGTACAAATGCTCGTTCGAATCCTCCGAACTGGGCTTATCAGGTTCTGGGTTATATTCTTTCATCATTGCTCTAACCAACCTACGGCCTACTAGGTAACTAGCAAAGGCTAGGTTCCATTCTCTAAAGCAGGCCTTCGGTTATACTGCTTCTCGATCACTTCCGTCTCCTCATGGAACAACAACCATCCGAGTTTACACTTAAGCACCGTTAATGGACGCACCTGTTTTTCGTTTTTTTGTCGTGCCATTCGCAGTACTGCCCTCCCATATTTCCGCACTTGAACGAGCGTCTATAATAACCAGCCTTACAAACTCCTCAACTTGTGCGAATACTCGCTTCCGCGTTTAATTTCAGTACCCCCCTTTCCTCCGACGTGTATCTAAGACCGGCTTTCGATATAGGCGATCGTTTTGCCTCCCTCACCTATTTCACAACAATATCTGTCGCCCCCAAGTCACGGAGAAATGGCAGATAATAATGTAGGCCAGTCTTCTGCGCAAGAGGAGGTGCCAATGGTATCACTCATTCATGGACGATCAAAGCGAAGCACTGCAGGACGCCACATGTCTGCACTCCTCAATGCTGAAGCCGATGACGATCTTGCTCTTTTGTTTGAAGAGGTTGATGATGACAATGAATTCTCTGTTGGAGCAGAAGAGGAAGGGGGCGAGGACGATGATATGGGGCTAGACTCATCTTCCGACGACGAGGACCAAGGGCCCAATGCTCGGTCGGATGATTACGACGGAGAGATACAGTTGCAAAAGGAAGAGAAAGCTGACAAAAAGAAGAGAAGGGAGCAGCAAGACCTTCGATTCAAAATAGCAAGAAAGAAGGTCAAGATCGATCCCACCGCCGTGTCCGCGGTACCCGCCCCTCGACCAAAGAAGAAGTCGGAACGTATCTCGTGGATACCTACACCTGAGGAGGGGCCTACTCGGTCATCATCCCGTCGTCAAACGATGCAGAACAAAGAGCTTACGCATGCACGTCTCAAGGATAGCGAAGAGAAGCGCATTCGACTTATAGCGACGATGGAGGAAGCAGCTAAGAGGAAAGCACATTTGAAGCCCAAGGAGATAACACAGGCCGAGCGTCTTGCAGAAGCCGAAAGGGTTGAAAGACACAATAGCAAAAGTCTTAATCGATGGGAAGAGATGGAGAAGAGAAAGGCAGAGGAAAGAAAGGCCAAAATCGAGGCCCTTCAAAATCGTCGTCTTGAAGGCCCCGTTATGTCTTACTGGAGTGGCATAGCTACCTGGGCTGATGGTCGCTTAACGCGCCTTGGTAAAGTCGACATCACACCGAAGCCAGAAAAGGAGGAAAATGCGCGTAAAAAAAGCAAGAGGCCGGACAAGGAGGCAAAGGCTGTGACAGAGCAAAAGCCTGTTGATAACTCCACCCCCGGACCTGCCACAACACGGTCTACACCCCCAACTACTTTTAAAAGCCCAGCAGAGCCAGTTGTACCCGGCAGTGAGGATAGCCTGAAGCAAAACCAGGAGACTGTCCAAATGGAGAAAACGGACACTGTTCTTATGCAAGAAAACGATGCAAATCTCGAAAATACAACCAATACTGCCAAGGGTACCTCTCCGACCTCGGCATCTCCACTTGTCCAACCCCCCAAACCCATGTCTGATGACACACAGGGCGTTGAGAAAACTCTGGCTGCTGAGTCACAAAAGGAAGGAACGGAGCAGCCAGAAAAGCCTGTTGACGACAAGCCTATAGAAAGTGCTTCAAAGGACGAACAAGATTCAGAAAAATGCGTCAACGATGCGAAGCCCAAAGAGACTCCGAAAGAGCCAGCGTTGGGTCCACAAGACGTGCAGATGTCGGATGATGCCTACATCCCGAAACCAGAGGAACAAGGACAAGCAAACGGAACCCCGACGCCGCCTGAAGAGAACACAGTCGCTATATCAAAGGAACTAATCACGGAATCTACAACCGCTCAGCCTTCCTCTGCCTCAGCTACAGCCCCTCAGGTAGATTCTCCCAGTCTTCCTGCTACTACTGCCACTGCAGCAGATGCGCCTCACGTGCCTGCACCGCCTAGTCAACAAGGAGAGACGTCCGCAGCGGTTCAGCAGGAACAAGCAGTTGCTGAGGTACAACAAGACCAGGCAGCCACTACGAGTGAGGAGCCGCTACAGCCAGAAGCTCGGCAACATCCTCCAGTCATTGAACATACGGGGAGAACCCTCACAGTGCTAGAAAATTTCGATGATAAGACCGCCCAGAGCCGCGAATTCAGCATTTATTTCAATGGGAAAAAGCCGCCAAGGCTCACTAGTATGTAGAATTCCACATTCCAACTCTACATGTTATTCCACGGCCTGCTAATGTCCTGAATAGAGATCTCTTCGTCACTCTGTGTCATTACATCACTTCCATCGCGTTACCGAGACCCCGAAACATCTCTTCCCTTTGCGAACTCATACGCATATAATGAGATACGGAACACTGTCGCTCAGAAGTACGCCTGGAGTTCTATGCTTGGATGCTATGTTGGTCTTAACGGTGTTGCCGCACAAGGAGTTCCTGCTCGCTTTTTAGATCCTCAGGCACCCCCACCAGAAACAGTGAGTGAGAAGAAAGACAGAAAGTGTGGTAATGAGCCTGCCGATGGAGGTAAGGATAAAGTTGGTGAAACAGATGCTTCCGAAGGTACTCCCAAGGCGTCTAATCCAGCAGCTGCGACACCTACACCTGCGCCTATGACAGCTGCGGAGGCTGGATCGGGCGATCCAATGGAAATTGATAAGCCATAAGCTATGGCTGTGTTCATCATTCAGATATCTGTATTATGTAGTGATACCCAGGATAGAAATAACTGATTTAAAAAGGTACGCTCTTCTGTCTGACCTACGTTGTTAATCAAAAAGTACTAGTGACTAAATTTTGTTGCTAATAGTAGTATGTCTACATAACAATGTATGAAGGTTGCCCAGGGGTGGGGAACTGCATTTATGGGCCAAAAACGACAAGACTGAGATTCGAACTCAGGCCCCCGAAGGGATTGCATAACTATCCTGTGAAGGACTAGCAGTGCAACGCGTTAACCACTCCGCCATCTTGCCAGTGGTGCACATTTATGCGCTACACATGACGCTGTACAGGACTGAAAAGGATCATTACACATTTATAACAAACCCGCCTCGACGGCTATTCCAGAATAATGGCTCACACGCCAAGGGCCTGTGCTTATTTCAACAAGCTTGTGGAGGGTATGCTACGGTAGGGTGCGGAGCATCGCATAAATTTTGCCCATGAAGGTGCTATACTATCTTTGCTATCCGCTGGGCTACCCTTGGCCAAACAGAGCAAATAGCGTCCATAGGAGCACTTTTTGCCTATGTTTGGGGACAGAGTGGTTGATATTGAAACCCAGTCCCGATGCACATGGTTGAAACCCATCATTGAGTGTGTTTCTAGCGCTTTTAGCCGAACTGATCCCACCTGTATACTCAAAGGATTTGCTTCGAGATATCACTCGTTGCCGGCTATGGAGGAACATAGAGAACAGATCTAAGGCCCCCGTCAGTGGATGGTTTGTAGGCCTTATTGACGAGACATCTGGCCGCATCTACCATGGGTGCTATATATGCACTGTCGTGAGCTCTCTTCTCTATTATGTAGGAAGGAAGAAGTCCCTTCTCGCTACCCAAGGTTGCGTTAATATATAGTTTATTCCAGATACTGTGCACGCCTAATTTCCCTGTAAGTCGAGATCGTGGCTGCCACAACAGGATGCAACATGCTATTGTTTCACAGGACAGTTGTTTTTGCAAAGGACAAGATACCTTTTTTTTGGTAACAGACCCCAACAAGGTCCATGCTCACATTCAATGTATTAGTAGCATTTCAAAGAACCCCTAAAGGTTGTTATATATTAACATTATCAACATACCAGATCATCTGGCTTACCTGGATGTTAGGTATATCGTCTCGCTATAATGAGTTGTAGATGGATGCCTTCGTGGGGTTTCTAAGCTACCGAGTCAACGCGCTGGTTTGATGAAGATTCCCGCCCCTACTGGACATCCAGGATGGAATAGCAAGTGGCCTTCCAAAAAAAAATTGTTGCCACTGTATCTTTAAGGGTACGGTTAGGTTCAATATAAGTTGGTGAAGCAAAAAGATGCGACAAGACTGAGATTCGAACTCAGGCCCCCGAAGGGATTGCATAACCATCCTATTCAGGACTAGCAGTGCAACGCGTTAACCACTCCGCCATCTTGCCGGAGGTTGTAACGATTTCGAATACAGAAAGACATATGAGGCTAGAAATCCAAACAGCATATTCATACTAGAGTAGTCTTCCGTGATTGTTGACATGGGCTACTAACAACCCTATAAGTGACACCTGCTAAGATAGCGCTCGACCAGTAGCTGTATGACCTTCAAATTTTCGGATTCTGGCTAACGCACGTTGCTTGAGAGCCACCTTGATGTCCCTTGTTTCACATCTTTGATTAGGTAAATTGATGCATGCCGGGTTTCTGTAGCGCGTATATTACCATTGTGAAGATGGATAGTTCCAATAGTTAAAACCACTACAGTCGGCTCGGAAAGTCGAGTGTGACAATGCTCTGCCTTGCTGTGGGATGTTACTGTTGGACAGTCCCAAAGGATGTAGCGATATTGCTTGCAGAAGGCGCACGGTAGTTCAAGGCTTTCGATTGGTGTGGTTCATGTTGCCGCAGTAAAAGCACGCTCTCCTTAGGGCTCTCGCCTGCGAAGTTGAAAGGCATGATTGAAAGGCGTGAGGTTGTTATTTCAAGGTGGAGGACGATTTGGAAGTCAATGCGGGCACCTACTATGGGATTAGAAGATGGTAGAACGTGTACAAGAGGTATTCTTCTAAGGATCAAGAGTCGAAAAAAGGAACAATAAAAGACAGGCGGTGCTTTAAAGGTAATTGATGTGCTATATTTGAAACATCCATATTCAGTCAAACAAAGGGACTGGCAGAGTGCCCTATAGTGTTGTTAATTTTCTCATATTCACTCCAGTTTGGCCACTATGAACCGTTGCCACAACAATAGCTGATATCCTTCACTTAATTTTAATTTCAGGAGATAGTAGTCATCAATAGTGCAATATGAAATTGAAATGAGGACAAGGGGATGAAAAGAAAGAGCCTATATCCGCAGTCTATAGTGATAGTCACTTGGCCAAATCCTAAAACTATCTCAAATGGTCTAATGTAGGTTTGCTGCTGGTTGAGAGTTCTGAGGTCAAATCAGAAAAGTACTTGCGAAAACTTACGGGCTGTATTCATTAATTATAGCGTTGTGGAGGGCTGCGAATTTTTATCTTGTCCGAATAATGTATGCCTTGAAGGTGCAGCACTATGTAAAAACGCTCGCGGTTCACGGACTACATTCGAAATACCCTACCTGTTGGTCTCCCTTCACCTATGTGCATCGTCATGCAAGAACTGACTATACGAATGAATTATTAGAAACAAGGTGTCAGATTATGGCTAATATTATCCGTATCTATCCCCAGGGTCCTTGCTTGCCCAGACATGGAATGCGACCAAAAGAAAAGGAAAAATACTCACTCTCGTAGTTCCTCGTCCAGACCAAGATGAATTATAGTAGAATTAAGGCTGTGTTACATTTACGTATGTGACCCTGAAGTTTAAGTAGAAAAGGGATTGATTTCGTGCTATTGCGATATCAAACTGCGGTATGAGAACAGTGCTGGATTGGCCGCATGCAGGTGCACAACGTGCTACTCTGCCTACCCTATTGTCGGGTTCGAGTGGGATTGATTCGTCAAGTGCAGGCTCAACTTAACTCTTACTCTTACTACCAGTAGACCTTCAGGTGAGGATCCCATGATTGTCCGTATTGAGTAATATGGCATGTGAACCATCACTTGTGACCTTCATCTAGGGTCAGGGGACAATGATAGAGGAATATAGAGAAGATTTGCGTTTTTGACCTGTCCTTCTTCCTCTCCTTCGGACACACGCCTTGGACTCTTCTTTTTCTTTCTTTATTTTATTTTATTTTATTTTGGTTGAATAACTCAATGCGCAAGGCCAAATCAGGTACCTGCGACATTTTCTGCAATAATCCTCCAGCTGCATAAAACACCGCATCTGTGGTTATTATTCCATTGCAGCGGTCTCCTGCCTCATGCGGCTACCTACAGGATTACCCAGTCCAGATTGGATTGAATAAAATGCGCAGCGAAGAATGAGGCTACCAGAGACCCAGCGTATATGGAGTTGTCGAAAACAATATCTCACCACACTCCAAACAATAGAATGGCATCCAGAAGTGCGCGGAAACCGACGGTCCACGTTGAACTAGAAACACCGATTTGGAACTAAGTCTAGAAATCAATCTTGTTTTGGAAGCCACTTCGCAGGGCAAGAAGAAAAAGTCGATCCCTGGGGCGGGGAGCGGGAATTTGTCTCCGCTATTGATCGAATCAATATGATTGAATACCAACGATGGATCGTCCGCAACCGTGGAACAAAAATTATTCGTCGATGCGATGGTCCACAGCCAGATCCAGGACATGTCATATTATTATGCTGAGTCCTAGCACCTACCCAATGGGGTTTCCATCCAAGTATTTAGAGGTATTCGTATGAGTTTTTTTTTTTTTTTTTTTTGCTTGTTCATCATCGACTTCCAATCCCCGCCATTGCGGCCCCGCCTTCTCTTATTCTGTTACTTTTCGGCTCTTCGTTAAATTGTCCGCAGTGGTTTGTAATGACCATTGGAGAAAGTATTAATTTAACCTATGGGAGCGGTGGGAACATGATGTTAATCTAGTATTAGAGAAAAATACATCGAGTGTTGCCTATTCGTTTGAAATATTTGTATGTGATATGGACAAGTTGCCACAAACAAGTCAAGACACGCGAACTTCTCTTTTTCTTTTTTCTCCCCTATGTCTCATATGTTTCCCCCTTCCATAACATGCTGTCCATGGCGTCATTTCAAATTAGTTAAAGAAAAGGTACAATGAAGAGTTACTATCGTCCACGCTCCCTTGGCTAACAGGGATGGCAAGTGATATCCGAGTACCTGAGCGAAACCATGTGCCATATGGTGCAATCATTGGATCTAAAAGGCTGTTGATCCTAGCGCACGGGTTCTCAGAATCTGTTCTGGATGCAGTCCACATGTACGTAAAGCCAATGTTTTTTTGCCTCAACCTGTCTGACTTGGCTAGAACAGGTGGCGTGGAGCCGACAGAGCGTTGTCGTAGCTGAACATGATTATTGAATCATTCATGGATGCCCGAAAGGAGGGCCAACATGGACCAAGCGGTAGCCCCGCGTCGAACATTCATCACAGCCAAGCGACAGGCCACTCAACGTGTATGATATGATTGGAGTCTTGTTATCCTCCTAAATCCGATAAGCGTGATTCGGTCGGTTAAAGGGAAATTATCTTATCGCGGTTGAACTTGGTGGACAAAGTAACGGTGATGTTGGAATTGTGATCTAGCAATACTGGACTAAACCGAGAGGGTGCCTACATACTAGCAGTTGATAGGGTCTGTTAGCTGAACAGACCGTTAATTTCTATGTTGTTCGGGTCAAGTTAACCCCTCCCTTTAGGATATATATTAAACTGAGTAGAAAGCGCCTCTGAGTATAATAAGTATATTCCCAAAGAATTCACTTTCTAAGTTCAACTTCCCAAGCTTCTTCTCCACCAGAAACAGAGACACTCTACCTATTTATAGGATGGACAAGTTCCAATGAGAGGTGGAACATCAGTGGTGAGGTAATTTTGTCCTTCCATTTTTCATAAGAGATTGCGTGTTGGCCATTCTCAGCCTCAGGCACCTAGGCAGTCTAGACCCCTTCCCTAATGGCGTGACTCAATTGCCGTGACGTGCTCCGGTCACGTCAACCTGTTTCATAGACATCGTTCTTTTCCACTGGATCCGCTTAACTCATTACTTCTTTCTCCAGAGGACCGAGGTGGAAATCGTTCTAGAATTCCCGTCTATTTTCCAATTATATCCATGTCTCTCTTTTTGCCCTTCTCTTTTCTCATACTCTGGCTACTATTGAAACGGAGTACATAACCGCCAGCGCCTCAGCCGCCCACAATCTGGGGTTTATTTTTATCTCGGATACATACTTATATAGCATTACTCGGTCCATTCATACTCCCCACTGCTTATTTTCGTCATTTCTTCGGCATCCCTTTCCCATACCAGTGCTCTCGGCTACCGCTTGACATCAATTAATGCCGCATAGTCGTACTACAGATCAGTAGTACTACTCCTGTACACACAGAAAAACCACCTTGCACGTGTCCTTCGACCAACGACCAAAGACATTGCAAAAGAGACCGAAAACCAGAGAGAGAGAGAGAGAGGCACGCACAGAAAGAGGGAGAGAAAATCCTTAAGGCCAGTATGTATAGTTAATTACCTATCGCTGTTCTTATCTGCTTGGCTTCACTCTTCCTTATCTCTCCCCACTCAGCGCCCCATGATAACTGGTATGATTATGACCTATCCTGACTCTCCATGCGCCACAGCAGATAAACATCCCAGAAAAGCTTATCGCTGACCCCGAGGAATTCGGGTGAATATTTGCCTCATTGCTGAATGGGCTGGTCGCAATATTAATCGCTCAGATCTGGTTACATTCTCGTTTTCCTGATTGATTGACCCGCCATTGCACATCATTTTTCCGGGACAGAAAAAAGGAAAATAAATTGGGAGCAACTGGGGTAATATTACCTTTTGCAATACAACGGCGGTCTGAGACAATTGTTCCAACGAGTTACTCCATCTCGCCCCCTTCTAGCCGCAAATCCCTCATACTTTGTTACCCTCAGGGGAGACCAAGTTCTCCACCGCTGGACCCGGCGTCCTTTGGCGCAAGGTACCCATCATCAGGCTATTCCAGATCAATTTTTCGACCATATTATATTTATCTGTAAAATCCTCACCGCCACCCATGACTCAAGGCAACTTTTCTTCTCACCATCGACGCATTCCTTCCGGTTCGTATGCCCCGAAGCTGAGAACAGCCCGGCCGGCACTACATCGGAAAGGTACATCCTTTGTGAATCACTCCATCTCGAAACTGGGTGCAGGACACCCCAAGCATACTGAACCAGACGACGATTGTCAGCCCGACATGGCGGCCAGCTTTCTCAATTTCTGGTATGTCATTGTTTATCTTTGATCTATCGTCCTAGGACCCATGATTACTTTTTCCTGCCGGCCTTGCCATCAGCTCTTCCCTTGCATGCTGGGAGCTTTTGCTTATCTGGAATCGAAGCTAACCAATTTCTGCAGTGCCATGTGTGAAAGGCAGATTACCGTACCGGACAATTCTCGCCTTTATTGCAGTGAAAGGTACGTTGCTTGCCTTATCATCCCATTTTCTTCTTATACCCTGGCACAGCCCCCTTGTCTTTTGTTTATATCCTAAAGTCCACCTTCCCCGACTTGTCTCTTTCCGATTTACTTGAATATATCTCTTTGCTCATATTTCTTATTAGCTGCCGTCGCAAGGACTCCCATAAACCACTCTCAGCTTCCTTCACATCGAATAATACCATGCCATCTTCTACTACTCCACCCGCTTCTCCTCCTTTGTCTCCTCGAACCATTGTACCACCAATGACTCCTACCAGAGTTCCTATCACATCGACTGTGGCTACCCGGATACAGAGTGAGTTCCACGACTCCAAGACGGATCTGGATCCCTCCGAATGGAAACCGGTAATACGCATGGGTCCCGGCGGTTCAACCTCGATGGTTTCCTCAGAAGCCTGGCAGTATCTATCTCAATTCCATAGCGGCTCCGCTCCCGTTCCCATGCGCCGTTCCAGGGCCGGCCACCGCAGCTCGGCCAGTTTGTCTACGTTTACGGACAGTGCGGGTGCTCCTCCGTCGCTGACTCATACCCCTTCAACTGCGGCATCTTCGTTCAGCAGCAATGCGTCCGAGGGTTACCTGAACGAGGCGGCTCATCGCCCATTGCCTCCCCGCCACAAACCCTACTTCTCAGGTAGTGCTAGTGGCACGAAGGGCGTTGAGCTTGTCGTACCTCACATGCAGGCTTGTGCAGGGCACTCTGCTGTCGATATGAATGGAGCATCGATCTTTCCGGCAAGCAGTGGCTTTTGGGGGGACTACAATGGAAAGTCCCCCGCGACTGTCAGAATCTCGGGCGCCCTACCCCTACACAACCCGGCGCGTCCGCAGTGAGAAATCTGCCTGGTTATTTCCAAGGTCAGAGTCTATTGCTGGTCTGTTTTTGGCTTCGATGGACCCTACGTGGAGTCGCTGTCTTTGTGAGGCGCGTCGACTTGGTGTTAGGGGGCTAGATGGACTATGGTTCTTCTTTTTGGCTGAAACTGGAATGTAGATTTTAAGGGAACCAATGGTTCTCCAAACAAACGAGGGAAAATGACGTTACGTGGGCACGGTAGTTCTATCATTTGTTTACACCAAGTATTCAGCGAATCGCACCAAATAGATGTTAATAGCGCAGGCTCAGGCCGGCATTTGGCGAATGGGCCGCATAGATAGAGTATAGCAAAAATAGTTTCTTACTTCATACGCGATAATCCATCGGTAGCTATAAGACTGATAAGCGTGCGCTACAATATTTTGTATTGAGTTAACTAGTGCATAAGTCTCTGCTTCTCCAAATAAAAAAAGAAGACTATAATTAGCCTCGTCTAGGGCGACGCCGTGCAAATCATGCTCTCACTCTTATGTACTAAAAATAGAGGCCGAGCCTCGTTCCATTGATCTATCGATACCTCCTATCATCGGCTGCAAATCCGAAATAGAGTAGTTTGATAGTAATTCGATAGGAATTTATAGATTTGTAGACCAAGAATCTTTTGTCAGTAGTGCTTTGGGGATAAATATATCCGATTTTCAGCGTTTATTTACCTTGCTATCGATCGTGCGTTGAACTACCGGCGGTACTGTCATGCTTGCCCTCCAAGTAGGATTATATCAGGGTGACCTTACTGATAAGATAAAAGTGGTGCAAGATACTAGGTAAATGCACTCTATTACGTGTGTACTACTACCTATTTTATATCCAAAGGGTGTTATATCTGCATAATTTGTTCATAACTAGTTTGGAACCCCCTAGGAAGGTATTTACATAGTAGATAGCCTAATTAGCATACCCTATAGAGAGGCGAAGTCAAAAAAAAAGGAAATAATAAATAAATATTTGGATTTTCTTGCCGTATGCAAAGCTCAGCATATATATCTTGACCTAACACAATACAGCAGTATTCATAATATGCATGCCGTAAACGTATAGAATCCAGTCTCGATATTATCAAATTTTCACAATCAGATAAAGATATATCAAAAGAAACTTCCCCACCCCCCCCTCCTCGGTAGCCCACAGCTCCTTCAAATCTCTACTAAAACATACATTAGATCAAGACTCCTCCTCAGGTGCATCGGCCCAATCACCCGAATCGTCATCCCCATAACAGCAAGTATAGCAGTTCTTTGTCACCCGGAACTATAGATAGTGAAGCTTAGTTAGTATCCAAATGTATTCCCGGGAGATAAAAACCCATGGGGTCAAATTAGAAAAAAAGAAAACATACAATTGGCAACGCAGGAGCCTGGCAATTCAATTGGTCTATGCTCGACACACAAGTCCCTAGACATAATGTATTCCCTGTGTCGATTCCACCGGGCTGTCCTATCATCTGGCCGTAGATACCCGTGACGAAGAGGCAGAGGGTGGAGATGTAGCGTGCGGAGAGACGACCGCGGGTGGAAGAGGAGCGGAGTTTCATATTGAGATTGAGGTTGACTGATCGGGGCATTTATTTCTTCCTTTCTTTCTTTGCTTTCTCTAACCCCTTTGTGAAGCTATGGGTACGATGTACTGTGTATGAAACCGCGTCTTGACCGGGAGCAATAATGTGGTGTTTGGTAATGGAAGAAGATAGTCTATGTGCGTGAGAACGTGAGGGATACCTTACACATATGTTAAGTAGGCGCGATGGCACGCTTTTAAGAAGCAGGAATACAAGGATCCCTGTCTAGTGGTATGCAAGGGGGGTGGGGAGGGAAGACCTTGGGAGGGAGGGGTTTTGATTTGAAGAAGAGAAGGACGAGGGCTAGGTGGTGGATGGAGGCTTCATTGGTGTATCATATAGGGTTGGCGTGAGGAATGTGTGAGAATGCGCGTTGAGAGGATGTCCCTGGAATTTGGACGTGTTTCGAGGTATGCAGTAACAAACAAACATGATGGTTTTTTTGTCAAAATACTCAAGTGATTTGATATATGGGCTTGTTCCACTTCTGGGCGTGTATAAAGATAGTGAAAGTGATAGATACTTGACAGGTTGCAGTGGTGGTAAAGTATCTATAGAACTTTGTCTGCAGATTCATGTGGGATGTACGCTCGACTAGTTGTGTATGACTGTGTTCATCAAGTTAAGTAGGGATAAATCGAGGGCAAGGGAGCAAGGGGTTCATTCAAGGTAATCGGAAATGCCAGAATGAAATTGATTAAGTTATTGTCAAGGGTGTCTTCGTATGGAGATATGTCTTGCTGTTGCATATGTAAGCTTATACCTTGGGAGACTGATATAGTAGACACGGTTTAAGGCTCAATCTTGGAGGGCTGTGGTATATTTAATCCTGCCTTGAATTGGCTCCTTGCTGCCTCCCCGTATACAAAAGCGATCGAATCTCGTCAAGGCTTGTATTTGGCACATAATTAAGTTCCTGTCTTACGAGGTGGCTGTTTAAGTATTTGTTCGTACTCCTAATTCCTCCTCTGAAAAACGTACTTGATAAAGATTTGCACTAGAGCTCCCCAGCTGCTCCCATGCTTGCCTTTTAGGGCAAGTTAATATAGAGTAAACTAGCTTTACGACAGCAAAACCAGATATGCCCTAAAGACACCACACCACGTCTCTTAAGACAGAACGTTGTATTTGAATCGATAGTCGGGTGTCTTCACTCCCAATCTCCGAAAGAGCAAGCTTAAAGCATGCTATATATCTACTCCTTCACACCCCAATGAACTGTATGGTCCATGTAGTCCTCCCAAGCGGACTATGCATTGTTTATACTGACCGTAGAACCTATCATGGTTGCAATCTCCATGAACTTGGGAGGTAAATGCAATGGATCAGAAAAGGGCTACCGGCAAACATTCATCAGTAAGAATGCCTTTAGGTTCGAGGTAAGACACAGCTTTCGTTTGCAGGAGAAGGTATCTACACCTTCACTCGGCTTTCTAATATGATTTCATCGCAACCAAGATAGGTATGATGACGACGACAAGAGTCGTCAAACTCCACCGCGCGGCCGGAAATATTTTCCAAGCGAGCGAATCAAAGATAAGCTGCTCAAATGTAATTTTTTTGATGGGTTGACCGGATCTCTCCATGTTCCCTTCAATACCAGGGTCGCCGATCAGTGAAGGTCTAGTTATTAATGTAGATGGAGAAAACGAACGTTACCCGCTCTCTCTCTGACCACAGGCGCAGACCTTCAAAAATTTTCCAAACCACTATTCCCTTAGATGTTCAGCCAACAGAAGAGTAAACTTGCATTGCTTTTGTCCACGACGGCGGATGCATTTGGTTACTAGGACGCGTGTTTCGTGGATTGTACCAGTATGTTAAACATGGTATGGCTTCGTCAGAGGCGGTCTATAAATGAGTTGAGAAATCCCCCGGACGCGGTCTAGTCATTAGATCTAGCCATTAGATTAACCCTGAGCATTTTGCCACATTATCTGTACGATTCCCGTGGAGCATGTCGAATTGAACATAGACATTTTTATAGGTCGCATATCACTGCTGGATCGTCCATTAACAGCATATGGTCTTCTAGTAGCCACCATAAGAAGTCCGTACTGTCCGGCCAATGACTTTTGCAGCAGCCAAACCGATGACTGTCAGACGACTTGATCGTCGAGGATCTTGACTTGCGATCAGCCACCCAATGTAGGCTAAGTTTTGAGTTACATAACCTAGGGCACATAAAGGTGTATCGAGTGGAGCTCCAATAAAGATGTCGGGATGATTTTTCCTCCCCTGATAAAGGCTCCGATTGGCGTCACTCAGCCCAGGCGACGGTTGCTCCTGTCCTGAATTTTTTATCCATCCATACACACCCCTCTCCTCATCCCCGGGAAGGTAAATAGTCACGCACTTCTTTACTCACAAACCTCACGGCCCGCTTCTTGGGAGACGCGATTACACAATATTCTTGCACGGTGAACGGAGCCTGAGGACGCTTGAATGGAGAGATAATTATGCCTTGACTGCCACCTTTATCACGGCTACCCCTATTCTAATTCCGACCACTTGGGGTCATGCCGGATATGCCCGAATCTCAGACCTTCGACGCAGCTGGGAAGCAAAATGAGGCACCAATGCTAGCTGTGCAGCCTCTTGCACTCTCAAAGATCTGGTCGGTGGGTGCAGGAATGGTTAATACTGCATTGGCTGAAAGCAAACCCGTTTTCACACTCAATACCCAGCAGTAATGGAAATGGGGTCGGTGTTCGTCGCTGCGCAGGTAAGTCGTTGGGAATTGCCAAACTGCTTTTAACTTGGAGTATATCCCTGATTGGAACTAAAGCGACCAGAAGTTGTGATTGATTAGTTTGCGAAATAGAGCATCCCGGAAACAACGATAGTAATATCGATTTGCAGTACTCCAACGCATGCCCACCCATCAATGCAATCAAAACTTCAATACTGAAAGCGGTTCGTGAAGTCGGAAGCTTCGCCTGGTTCAGCATTTCACAGCTAGCTCGTGGGAATTTGTCGCCCAATACCTCGTATGAATAATATATTCCGCAACTAAACACTGCAACTCCCGAAGCCGATCGAAAACGAGTGGGTAAAGATTGCGTATGGATTTATGAACCTTCTATCATCGCCATGTACCCTGCAAGGTTGCTCCTTGAGAAAAGCTTGGTTGTTCCTGAACCTGTGCCAGGCAGGTACTGCAGAGAGAACTTCACGCCGGTATACTACTACCAGACGGCGTAACCTGGCCTCTCCACATCAAAGCTTTCTTCAGGTGGTATCGTCTATCGATCCATTTGCCCAGGGTGGTTGAGACGTGTTTGTGTCCTTTGAGCTTGGCAAGTATTATGTGAGGGTGGAGTCACGGGCTGCTATAACCATGCGGTTGTAGCCTCCGTGATCTGAAGTTTTTGAGCTTCCTCGAGACGAGAAGGGGGAAATCATGCAAAATTCAGAAGTGACATTTATGTTCGGCCAGTGGGGGTTGAAAGTAGCTTTGGCTTCTTTGGCGAACTATGGCTATACGGATACGTTAGACCGAAGGGGGGGGAGGCGGTTTGGGTGTCGGCCAGCATGACAAGACGTCAACTCGAAGTTCATGGCAGACGGGGATTGTTCGTAGGGAAAGCTTCCCAATTCACGTTTAACACGATATCATGTTAAAGTAGGGAGTGGAAGCTAAGAACTCGCGGTTAGTTCGAATCATTTCCAACCGTTTTCTACCCAAGGTTACGACAAGTGGGTGACGGGATGTCATGAGCGAGTCACTGCACTCGTAAGTGTTTTCCAGACCACCCCTAGTCCACTTGATCTTGATTCGATGGATATGGAGGGAAATACTACACCTTTCACAACTTCACGGACTGACCAGAAAGTTAAAAAAAAAAAAAGAAAGAAAAAAAAAGAGACCAAGCTTCAAAGCCATAGATCGTCATGATGTGCTGGGTTAGCGAGAGAGGTCCTCCCGAGAGATGGTGGCGGAGACAAAACGAGTTCTGAGATTGGCTGGCAGTTTTCTCCGAGCCCCTATAGCCCCAACTAATCATAAGGTTGGAGACACTGTTCTTTTCCTCATTGTCCCCAGCGCTTCCGAAGGCATTCCAGACTAATGGGCCAATCCTAGCTTTGTTCTGCCTATTCTGGTAGGGGTCTGTGGGAGTTCACTGTGGCATGCAGGGTGATTTGGCGCCGTCAAATCGAAACAAGTCGTCTAGCACGCACGTCTGGTCAGCTGGATCGACCACTGGCAATGGCGGTTCTTTTGGCCACCCAGACAGAGGGCATACCTAACTGGTCTTATCGCGGTGCAGAGGTCTTGGAGGCTTGAACGGGCCTCAAGAAGTGCTGAGCAAACGAGTCCTCTGTGGCGTGATTCAGACGGAAACATCTTCTCCCCTTTTTGAATTTTTGATTGCGTTCCCTCTGGATAATCATTGCCTACCTTTATACTCCCATAGAACCTTAAGAGTAGGGAACAAGCTATTCCGGTCGACCGTCCTATGAATTCTTGGAACGTATAAGATTCGCTTATACCCGTCAGCGACGTCTATACGCCAGGTGCACTAATATCGCTGCAGCCACGATTCTCGCTTAAGCACCTCCTCGACCGACCACCCCCTCGTTCCGTGTGATTCTGTTTCGAACTCAACCCGAGCCCATTTTCTTATCGTCTTTTCTTTCTGTCTGAGCCTGTGTTCGACCCTAAGGCATTTGCCACGCCCACACCAACTGTGTACCTGACGAGCCCTCATCCAGTCATATCCTAAAACAAACCCGGGAGCGAAGCTCGCACGGGAACAATGGACTCCCAGGACAACCACAACTCAGAGCAAAGGTAATTGGTCGCATTTTGGAGACTGTGTTTGCACATTTTTATGTGGCTGACAAAACTTCGCAGTGCCAATAATCGAAGTTCTGATACCGAAAGCTCGAATAACCAAAGCAATGAGAACAGTGCCGGAGACTCTAATTACGAGACTCCGAACACAGACCCCCAACTCCTTAGCAGACATGCTGAGGAATCGGAATACTACCGAAGCTTCCTCGAACAACTTCTGGACTTGGTTTTCAATGAGGACCAAGAAACTGTAGCCCGATTGGTCTCTATTATCCGTTCTGGTGCTTCTCAACAAGAGATCCTTGCGGTGATGTCTCAAGTACAGAACGGAAACACTGGCCACGTTGGAGAAAACGGCCTGATGACTCTTGATGATCAAGCTAAGCACGGTGAAAACTGACATGCTGCAATGGTATGTGCACCTGGGTTGTTTCTGCTGTCATCCGCTGTCTTGCCGTTGGGAAGAGAATGGGTACCATCGATAAATAAATGGTGAATAAGGTGCTTAAGGTCAAGTCCCAGATAGCCGCCACACATGTCCTGGTGCTGCATATGCTGCATAGATGATTGATTCTCTTCTTCAACCCCAAGAATCCCTGGTACCTATTAGGTTCCTTGTTTGGGGTTGAGGTTGGCCCAAATATTTCTCTTTCTGATTTCACCGGCCATTTACATTGTTTGGTTGGTGGGTATCATATTACTATGCAGAACTTTCACCATGAATAGTAATTAGCTCAACGTTGTACCGTTCTATTGCGTCTGTATGCCTGGTTCAATCGCCGCCGTTCACTGCCATGATTGACTGGCTTCTGGTGGCATGAAGCAGGAATTGGTAAGTATGCCACGTGGTTATACCCTCAGATATCGGTGTATAAGTGGCAGCGAATATTCAGGTCGGCAAATGAACCAGAATTCAGCCAAGGCAGGAAGAATTCCCCCATCGGCTATACCGAGCTAGCCAAGCAGACTGCATCTTGCTTTTGGAAGTTCCTTGGAACCTAGTCTCGGCACCAAGTTCCGAATCTCATTTGACCCATCAATCAAGGTTGGGTGTCAATTTGAATGGTTGTGCCTGTGCTAAAGTTACCGTTGTTCTCTGAGAGATATCAAGTTGCTATATTGAACGTAGGTAAGTTCGATACAGTTGCGGCAGGGATATTAGGATATTAAAGTAGAGGATATCCGCCACACTCATCATTGCTATGTCGTGATGCCTAGTTATGGGAGGAGGAAGAGGCTTGTTGCTGGAAGAGGAAGTGACGCCACATCCATGAGGCTGATTGGATGGTCTTTACAATGACAATACAATATATGGTATAAGAAGCAGGAAGGGAAAGGAGGTGATTCGCCATCACTCGACTGGTCGCATTAGCATAGCACACTATCATATACATCTATAATCACAGTCCTTGGTTACGGAATAATCTTCTAACGGCCTTTAAATTCCGAACGATACTTTATCTTGCATTTGTGTCTGATAAAGAAAATGGGGGGTACTCTACTCGTTCTATCATAGTACAACGAACACAAATGCATGTTGTCGCAGTTGGTGTTCCCATATCAAAATTATAAGAATCACCGGTTAGAATATCGACTGTATTTGAACACTTGGAGAGAGCGTGAATTCGAAATATTCCAAGTCACAGGCTGAAACGGAATCGAGGATCGTCATCCCCTAGATTATTCAGAATACCCTCATCCAGCAGCAGCCTATGATCGCGTTTACCTTGATCCCTCTTTTTGTTCTCAATCAACAGACCAGCGGCGAAGATGGTACACATGACTCCACACAGCACCATCATGGCCAAGGAGACCCCATAACCAACAGTGTACAGCGGTGCATCATCCCTGTTAAAAATGTTGCTCGCTATGATACCGCCGATGTTCCCGAATCCGATCTGGATAGCCAGACCAATGGCGCGCTTGTAATGCCCACTCAGGTTGTTCGCCATCCACACAATCGTAACGGGTTGAACAATGTAGCAGCCAGTGGTCACGAAGAATACCGCCATGTAGCGGACATGCACATTTAGGCCCCCGGAAAGAGGACCTTGACACAGCAATATGATGTATCCAATGCTTGCAAAGACAACGCCGAACATAATAAAGCCGTAGCGATGCCGCATGCGATCTGTAAGGAATGATACCGTCATTGTGACAACCGCAGCGACGGCCCAGACAGGAATACTGTGGATTTGGCTATCGATGCCGCTATACCCGAGTGAATTCACAATAGAGGGTATGAATAAAGCTGTTGCGTACCCAGAAACCGTGACACCGAGATAGAAAAAACTACCCACATAGATCTTCCAATCAGACATGATTCGTCTCCACGCAGCGCCATCGAGTCGGTCCATTCTCGCTCCTTCGCCCACGTCACGGGAGTTGCGTTCTTTTAGCAGTTCCTTTTCTTCACTATTTAGAAAATTCGCCTGTTCGGGCCAGTCTGCAATGAGAAATTTGGCTGGCAAAGCCCATACAATCGATAGAAGTCCCTCAATAATAAAGATCCAACGCCATCCTGAGTATCCACCCAAGCCATGCATATGATAAAGGGCGTAAGCCAAAAGACCGCCAAAAGCTCCAGCCACAAGGCCGGCCACCCATAAGAGGGAGAATCGCTTCTGGAAATCATGGCGTTTGTAATACATGGACATGAGATATGCACAGCCTGGAACGAACCCTCCTTCGCATAGTCCCATGAAGAAACGGCATGCAATCAGACCCGAGGTATTTTTGACCACTCCTTGACACATGCATGTAATGCCTGACCAAAATTGACCGTTAGTCGCTAGTATGGTCGCTTAGATACGGCAAAAGCACAGCAGCACCTACCCCAGAAGAAAGTCAACGAGCTAATCCACGTTGACGGGGAGAATCGCTTGAGAATAATATTGCTTGGGATGTCGGATATAATGTAGGGCACGAAGAATATTTGCATCGCAATAGCCATGTCTGTTCCCGACATTTTCAGCTCCGGTAGAATTCCCAGGACGCTGACATTGCCCAGATTGATCCGGTCCAAGAAACCGAAAACAAAGACAATCCAAAGAGGCACCATCAGATGAAGATCAATCTTCCGCAAAAGTGCCCGTTCCCTCTTCGCATCGACATGGGAGTGTGCATCGTCGGGGTTAAACTCCGCCTTGCTGATCTCCTGCTCTGGCTGTTTTTCCGTTCTGCTTGAAAGCATCATCTCTACTATCGAGCCTGAGAGGTCCAACGACTAGAACTGATTGTAACCCAGCTCTAGTATAAGAATCACACAAGATAACGAACAAACACACAGCGCAATTTGAAAATCCTTTGAGAGGAATCAAAGAGGCAGCAAAAGTCAGCTAGAAGTCAAGGGGGGAGGGGCGAAAGTAATCCTTCCAATGCAACACCAATAAACGAGACGAATGGTACCTATATCTCTCCGAAAAGTCTTCCCAGTCCTGGTTGAATTAGTGACACCCTAAGGCATATCCATGCAAATAGTACGCCAATCAAAAATCCCTTGAAAAATAGCTTGTGTAAGTCGTGTAGTATTTCGGGAAAAGTTAGATACCTATCTGTTGACTCGGATGTTAGTCTAAGAGATGGAGATTAATTGTGTATTGAAGGGAAGGGTATGCCTTTCCCCCTCTCTTCTTCCCCTCAATATTAGCCCTGGTTGTTGAAATTACATCTATATTAGCTGCGCACGAGCACTACTGCTAGACTAGACTACGTGCTACTGTACGCACGGCGCCTCCTAGCATAGACGAGCGTTCTATTACAACCTTGGCGTCATGTGTTTATTAATTCCGAATGCACTACTACTGCGCCTACAAGGATCATTGGGGGAAAAAAATTGAATTAAAAGACAATAAAACATAATCACATTCACATTCATATGATAGTATGCCCTTCGAATGATATCAGACTAAAAGAAAGAGAGACAGCTTGGAGTTGGTCTCATAGCACGGAGTGGGTTACAAATCAGTTCAGATACATATCAGCCCTGATATGGTTGTCTCAAGACACCATTCCATGCGTGGATGCAAATGAACCCCTGTCAATGGTAGAATTGGTCCGTCGGAGATTTTCGTTCCATCATTAACCCTCACGGATCTATTAATTCAATGTCCACCAATGAGTTGGAAGCCAACAGAGATCCTCCAAGAAGAAAGGGCTGACTGGCAAACAACGTTGTCAAGCACGAATGTGAACAAAGGGGAAAAAAAAAAGGGTGATAAGGCAACACTCGCAATCCCTGGAACATCCTGGCTCAGACTAGTTTGCAATACCATCGGATCTTTCCCACATGTCACTTCTACCTTCCGGGTCCTTTGGCATGGCAGTGCATCGATTGATCTTTAATTATCGGTCCAGCCCACTGAGCACCGCCTGTAGGTACGGCTCAGAGCAATGAGTTATGTGTCACTACGAGTGGCACTCATTATAAGATGCCGCTGTTTAGTCACTATGGGGATATCCCCGACAACTCTGCTGCACTCTCGCTCCCGTCTCTTGTCTTTGCTGTCCTGACTCCTATTGTCGTGGCATCAAGGTTGCTAGGCAGATATGTTCTTTCTGGCCGGATTGGAGTAGACGATTGGACTATTTTGGCGTCCTGCGTATGTTGATCCGCAATTACGCTTTGTGTCAACTCATTCTATTAGCCGAACCACTTGGTTAACAGTGAATGCACGCTCGGAACAGGTAGTTGCAGAGATCGTGTCTATCCAAATGATTATCGGTATGGCCTGAACCTGCATCAGCTCTTGTGGGACACGCTACTAAGAACACATCTTCCTTATAGTATGCAAATGGGCATTTGGAAAGCACAAGGACGACATTGTCTCCGAAGAGCTATTGGCTCGGACACTGAAGGTTGGTTTCTGTTACGCCCCTATATCCCGTCTAAGAGTCCCTGCGACATGGCATATATATTAATGAGGCCATAGCTGTATTTCATCGCGCAATTATTGTACAAGATCAACCTCGGATTGACCAAAATAAGTATTCTCCTGCTGTATGTGAGACTCTTTATTCAACGTTGGTTTCGCTTCACATGCTGGACTTGGATTTCCGTCATCCTCGCATTTACAATCGGCACCGTGTTCTCTAGCATATTCCAATGCTCGCCGGTTCAATATGCCTTCAACAAGTCCGTCCCGGGAGGCACGTGTATCAATATGACAGCCTTCTGGTACGCCAATGCGGCGTTTAACATCCTAAGTGATCTGGTCATCATCGTTCTCCCGGTCCCCGTCATCAGCAATCTACAGCTCCCCTTGAAGTCCAAGGTTGCTCTGTGTGGGATATTTGCTGTAGGAATATTGTAAGTTCCCCCTACCATAGCTAAAATAGCATGTGCATTTCCTCCTAGAAATCAGCACAGTTAAATTTCTAACCCAAACCTAGCGTCTGTATTACCTCCATTCTCCGCATCACAACCCTAGACATCGCAACCTCCCACCTCGACATAACCTGGAACAGCATCGGCTCCTCGATGTGGACAATCATTGAATCAAACATCGGTATCATCTGCGCCTGTCTCCCTGCCCTGCACCGCCCCCTGGTCTTCACCTTTCCTCGCCTGTTCGGTAAACTCCAGCGGAGTTGGGCGTACGGGGGTTCGAATCGGTCGCGAGAGGGCAGAGGGAAACCCGTTGTCGCCGACTCAGTACCCAAGAAGATGGCTGGATGGAGTGTGCTTGATGAGTCGGCGACTACCTCCGAGGAAGGGGGGACAACTCTGAGTCAATCTCAGGAACAGGAAAAGGGGCAAATAGAATTATCTCAGATGAAGAGCGAGATCCGGAAGACAACGCAAGTTGTCGTTCAGGTTGAGGGAAGGGGAGAAGGAGATATTGAGATGGGTGGGGCTGAGCGTCATAGGCGTAATGTGGGGGATATGAGTTAATGATTGGTGTGATAGTCGTTGGAGTAACGAAGTAACAAGTCAAATCTTAAGGAAGCGTTACGTGTTGATAAGCTCAAATGCGCGCATAATTTCATCCTGTTGAAATACGATTAGGGCTGTATGTATATCGTGTCGACATGTTGCCTCTTACTAAAGAAAAAACGAACTACAGGAAACCAGATGTACCGAATCTGCACTAAGTCATTCACATATGTATGGAACTCATCTAATGTAATAGATATCTTAAGGTGTGCAACGGCCTGTGAATCGAGGATACAAGCTGCAATCTCTGACAGTGTAACGGGCGCACAGCCAAGCCAGGAATCGCTCAAGGCCGAGACCATATCCACCGTGAGGGGAGGTACCGTACCTTTGGGTGACGAGTTAGTATCCTTTAAGCGAAATAGTAATATATGGAAGGAAGCTTACTTGCGCTGGTCCGTGTACCAGTAGTAGGGGGAGGGGTCCATGCCCTCATGCTTATAGGCGTTCATGAGCTCGTCCCAGTCGTCCATTCTCATACTGCCGCCGACAATCTCGCCGACACCGGGCATGAGCACATCGACACTCTCGGTGACACGGCGGTCCTCGGGATCTTTCTTCATGTAGAAAGCCTTGATATCAGAGGGGAAGTGAGTGAGGAAGATGGGCTGGTTGATGATGTCGGTCATCTTGCGCTCGGCAGCCTCGGCGATGTCATCACCGAATTTGTGGGGCTCGCCTTCTTCGTTGGGGATTTCGTGCTCGATCAGCCATTGAATGGCGTCGGAGTACTTCATGCGACGGAAGGGACGGCTGGGGGGCCTGAAGTCGGGGTTGAGTTGTTTGATGTAGGCTGCAGCCTCAGGATCAGCCAGGATAAAGTCAATGACACGGCAGATTACAGCTTCTAAGTGATCCAGGAGATCGGTAAAAGTGATGAAGTCAAGCTCAGCTTCGATGTGAGTATACTCTGACAAGTGGCGACGAGTGAGGGACTTCTCAGCACGGAAAGATGGACAGACACAGAAAACATCTCCTAAAGATGGGAGACAGGTTTCCAGATACAGTTGGGAGGACTGAGTGAGGTAGGCATTCTCGCCGTAGTAGTCAAACTTGAACAGGGTGCTGCCACCCTCGACCTGAGTCTGTACCATGGCCGGGGGGGTCACTTCTAGCATGCGGTTCTCCTCGAAAGTTTTGCGGAAGGCCCGAAGAGCTGCAGCGCGCACCTTCATGACAGCGGAAGCAGTCTCGCCACGGAGGACAAGGTGACGGTTGTCGTAGAGGGTCTGAGGGTCCGCATCCGGGGCAACTCGCGTGGTAATGGCCTCCTTGTCACCGGCGGCACGACCAATGATAGTGAAGAAATCTGCGTGAAGTTCACGGTTGTTGGGGGCATGCTGCTTGGGTGGGACAGAACGCATTTCACCATGGATTGCCATGGAGGTTTCGAGGGTAAGAGTCATAATATCATAGGACTTGACCATGTCTCCCGTCAAAATGCATTGGAGATAGCCGTAACCGTCTGCAAGAGTGAGGAAAACGACACCCTTCTGGGCACGAAGGCGATGAACTCTGCCCAGAACGCGAACACGAGTACCTGGGGTCTCCGACTCAGGGCTTCCTAGTTTGACAATGGCCGGGTCGGTCACGTCAAGGCGAATTCTGACTGGCTTAGGTAGAGACGAGTCTTCCTTGATAATGACCTTCTTTGCCTCCTCTAGGACGAGGCGACGCTTATCCGCCTCGTCCTTCTCACGGATTGCCAACTCCTGTTCCTTCGCGGCCTTCTTTTTCCGTGCCTCGTAAAGGTTGGTGGCTTTCTTCACCGCCGACTTAGTGGCCGGCTTCCACTCCAGCTTGTTAGTATCCTTCTCAGCGGGCTCGGTCTGGGATTTGCGCGTCAGATATTGGAAGCCCTCGCTCGGGGCGTGCTGCAGGAAAGCGTGGACAAGCGTCTTGTAGGGGGCGGATTCAGATCCGGTCGCAGTAGAGTCGTCCCTTCCGACATCCTCGTCAATGTAGATGGAAGTCATTATCTCTGGCGATCTATTCGACTCGCTGTGCAGTGGACCAGAACGAAAGAAGAAATGAAGGTAAGAGCTGCGCTGTGGAGAGAATGTCAAATTAGCATTAAATCTTAGTTGAGACATGTGAGTCACAATGTCAAGGAATCAGGTGCAATAGATAAGAACCAATGAGCGAGCTGTAATAATAAATACTCACATACAACCAATCAGTCCAGCCAACGAAGGCTATGCAGCAGTTCCCCTAGAGTGAGAAGTGAAGACGCCGAGTCGCACAGTGCCTGGAATAAATCGTCTGGAGGGGTAAATTTTTGGGTCCAATCTGACATCGACCGCCCGCGGGAAAGTTCCCCCACGTCTGCCTGAGGCATTTTATACAGTAATGCCTGATATATAAGGCTAATATATGTATGTGTGTATCTATGATGTACGTATGGAGTACATCCCCAAAAGTCATAGAGCAATTAAGACTTGCTGAGCTTGGGGTGATATTCATCTCGACGATTCATGTTTTCTCAGGACTGATCTGAAATACCCATACCGGTACATACATACACACATACCTACAGTACTTTCCCCGACTATCTCTCCCTGATCGGTCTGGAATTACAACAGAGGTGAAAGTTCCACGGATGCTCTCCATATACTTGATAGAAACAGCGACAGAAAATACGGTTTATAGTATCTATATCTTGAAGAACATGAAGAAACATAGGGTTTCCGAACAAATTGCCATCTGGGGAAAGGCGAACTCGTCCGTAAACACCGGACAAATGATGAAACCGACTAGATCGATCGAAACTAATTTAGACGTAGTATTGCAGATCAATAGCCCATATTCCCCTTAATATTGATGGAAAGATACAGTACCCACAGGGTCACCACTATCTACGCAAGGAAACAACAAAATGACACGTCCATATAAATGAATGCCAAGACGGAATGGGTTCTGCAAGCAAGACGGATCATTAGTTCTTCCTAAAGAGCCTCCCTTTCTTCCTACAGGAAACTACCCCCTACAGTCCAACTGGACCTGATCTAGATATGCGTGATGGTTTGAGATATGGGACTCGAGCGCTTCTGCAACAGATTTCTCAATCTCATCTCCCTGACACTGAAGGTCAGCAATGAATGAAACGCCTCGGCCTTTGAAATTAGCTAAAAGCCGCTGCTACCACCATCGCACAACAATATGATATGATCTCTTCAGTTTGGCCGTGTCAGTCACAGATGGGATGGTCAGGCATTTAACAAAGAGATTTCGCTTGGGCATAATTGATCCGAGTTACCCATAATGGAATCTCCTGGCTATGAGCTACTCACTACGTACGGATATATCTAATTATATGGTCATCTTCAGGATGACATCTCTCAGGATGGAGATTATGGTGTCTCCCCCATCTACACTAAGGGAGGGGACGCTTTACTCAACCGGTAAGGTACCAATGTCAATCTTCACTCCACTCCATAGGGACATTAATTTCTATTATTATTCCAGCCCTCTTGTGTCTGATGTTTGGTTCAATTGTTCGCTTTTTCCCCCTTTTACCTCTAGCCCCCTCTAGCATTTTTTGATTTTTATTTTATTTTATTTTTTGATTAAATGCTGGTCTTACTTGAGATATTATTATTATTATTATTATTATTGTTTTGATTAAATCTTACCTTTCTTTTTCTTCTTCTCCACGTTCCTTACTCGAATACTAGTAATTGGCAGTGATTTTGTTTCTCAACTGACTTGTTTGTCTTTGACGTGTATTATTATTATTTCCGCCCCTTCTTTCTTTCCTTTCTTGTCATTGGTAACATTTACCTTCCCTTATACACAGTGCATTCTGTATAAACCTTGGGGAAGAAGAAGAAGAAAAAGAAGAAGAAGGAAGAGACAGAAAGAGAGTCAGAGAGCGAGAAAGTGTGCGCTGTCACTTCATATATTTTCTTATCAATCCCTTTCTCACTCCAAATTAGCCCCTTTTTTCCCGCGGTCTTCTCTCTCTCTCTCTCCTTCTCCTCCTCCACTGTCCTTTCTCTTCCGCCTCTTCGAGTCTATTAACAATTGTTTTCTCACATTCATTTCTCTTTGTCATTTTCACCTTACCCTTTTCGGTCCTCTGAGTGGATGACCCCATTCGACCCTTCTTAGGCCTTTCCCTTCCCATCCTTTGTCAACAACACCAGTCGAAACCTCTTGCCATTGGGGGCCTATCCTTTATTTTTTTTCAATTGCTAGACCATATTCTTAATTCCCCTGTTCGCAGTGTTTTCTTCTTCTGATTTACTTGACCATTTTCTTTAATCTTGGTTAAGCTATTTATCATTCAGAATTATTAGTACCATTCTTATTCTTATTTCTTTTTTATCTTATTTTTACTTTTTATTTTTGACGGTTGGTCTTGTTTACGGGATTGTCACTCGCAGCCCCTAAAACACCCAACTAAGAGGTTTGTCACCGTTCCACCAAACATTGTCTAATGCACATTCCAATTGACCATTGGGCCTCTTTCTAGACACGTCTCCATTGGCCTATCCTGATCTAGGCTTTTTTCATTGTTATTTCTCCTCCTTTTGTTCGACTTCATTTTGCCCTCTTTTCGGCCATACCTTTTCCTTCCCTTATTTCCTCACTCCTTTCTCCTTTCGGGGGTGATCTTCGCGGCGGTTGGCTTTTCGCTCTCCTGGCCATTCCTACCACGTCGTTTGACTCGCGCTTCCTTTTTGCCCCTGGTCGGTGATATCGATTATTTTCATTCGTCCTAATTTGCTTTGTCCCCTCTTCCTTAGCTAGGGGGCTATCACGTCCGGACCGTTCGTGTTCCTCGCCATGCAAACCTCCGATGCCTCCAGCATTCCGAGTCGTTTGATCCCTTCCAAGTTTTCTCACCTCACCGCGGACGATACTGGTTTCTCTCACGGGGCTTACAACTCCAATAGCTTTCCTCTGCAGGGTTTGACGGACCGGAACGCTCGTCGAGCTAATATCCCTGCCATCAACACCGCCGCCAGTCAGAACAACTCCGACCACATGGCAGCCTCCGGCACCGCGTTCGACATGAACTTCACCCCTCTGTTACCGTCCCAATTATTGCTCGGAAGTCCTTTCCAACCCGGAACTCCATCTGCTTTTGCCTCCCCCCACTTCGCCAGCTTTGGTAGCTTTCCCCAAGGCAATACGTCTGCACACGTGCAGAGCCACCAGAATCAGTTGGGAAGCCCAACGCAGGCCTCGCAGAATGCCAACCTTTACTCAGGGATGATGTCTGCGGATGGCATGGGAAGCTCCCAGTTATTAGGGGGCCCTCAATCGCCGGTTGGTGGCATGGGCGGCTTGGGTAATGCGGCGTTCGGAAGTCCTGCCGCGTCGGTAACTCCGGGTCTCCTCTCAGGTACGAGTCGAACCGTGTACCTGGGCAATATTCCGGCGGAAACTTCTGCTGAAGAAATCTTGAACCATGTCCGCAGTGGTCAGATCGAATCCGTACGGTTGCTCCCTGACAAGAATTGTGCTTTCATCTCCTTCCTGGACAGTAACTCGGCGACGCACTTCCACTCAGATGCCATCTTGAAGAAGCTTGCCATCAAAGGTAATGACATTAAGGTCGGCTGGGGTAAGCCCTCTCAGGTACCTACCTCAGTTGCCCTGGCGGTGCAGCAGTCGGGGGCGTCACGGAACGTCTACCTTGGCAACCTGCCGGAGGAGATGTCGGAGGATGAGTTACGCGAAGAGCTGGGGAAATTCGGTCCGATTGATACTGTGAAAATTGTGAAGGAGAAGGCAATTGGTTTCGTACATTATTTGTCTATTAGCAACGCGATGAAAGCCGTCTCACAACTGCCCCAAGAGGCCAAATGGCAGGCACCCAGGCGTGTATTCTACGGTAAGGATCGGTGTGCATATGTTTCCAAAACACAGCAACAGAATGCGGCTCAGTTCCTGGGCATCGCGCCAGGGTACGCGCACATCCTGAACTCAGCAGATCGGGATCTGATCACGAACGCACTCGCCCAGCAGTCCGTTGCGGCTGCGGCCGTTGCTACTTCTGCCGGTGGTGTTAACAACCTGGGTAACCGAACAATCTACCTAGGCAACATCCATCCTGAAACCACCATCGAAGAGATTTGCAACGTAGTGCGTGGCGGCCTCTTGCATCATATTCGCTACATTCCCGACAAGCATATCTGCTTCGTCACCTTTATCGACCCGACCTCAGCTGCCTCTTTCTATGCCTTGAGTAACCTACAAGGACTCATGATCCACAACCGTCGTTTGAAAATCGGCTGGGGCAAGCACTCAGGGCCACTCCCCCCGGCTATTGCCCTTGCTGTAAGCGGTGGTGCCTCCCGAAATGTGTACGTCGGTAACCTCGATGAGACTTGGTCGGAAGAACGCCTTCGCCAAGACTTCTCCGAATATGGAGAAATCGAGCTAGTGAACACATTGCGCGAGAAGAGCTGTGCTTTCGTGAACTTCACCAATATCGCCAACGCCATCAAAGCGATTGAGGGAATGCGAAACCGGGAGGAGTATAAGCGGTTTAAGATCAACTTTGGCAAGGATCGCTGTGGCAACCCGCCTCGCCAAACAAGTAATGGTGGACAGCAAAATCGCAACAACGGGCTGGAGGGGCCTCAGTCGCCCTCGCCAGCGCTCAATGGGTTCCAGCAGAATTTGAGTCACTCTGGCTCTCAGTCCAGCCCAACCCGATCCGCCCTCTCTCCTGCCCCTGGCTCGACAGGTTCACAAAATGGCCAGCAGGGCCGGCACCCGCTGCAGACTGTTACATCACCCTCTGGAATGTTGAATGTTGGATCCAATAACCCATTAACCATGTACCTTAGCCAAATGTCTGCCCAGCAAGCTCAGGAACAAGAGAACCGTCTGAACGACTCTATCTCCCTCGCTGCTTTGCAGTCGCAGTCGCAACCCGCACCTCAGCAACAACCCCTCTATAACGGCACAGCGACCAGCGAGCTCACCAACGGAAGCATTGAAGCACCGCTCCATCAGCACAAGCCGTCTACCAACGGATTTTTGAATGTCACCAATGGCTCTAGCGGCCCTGGCCATCACGCCACTGCCAGCACCAGCAGCTTAAGCGTCCCACGCGCGCAGCACTCTCGGGCTGTCAGCTTGCCGTCATTCTCTCAGGAGCCATTTGGTCCTATCTCGGGTCAGGCTGGACATAGCCGCGCTGCTGTAGCTCACCAACCGCAAAGCAGCTTTTCCAGCTTTACGTCAGCCCTAGGGGGCCTCAATCATGCCGGGTTTGGACTGGCCATCCAGAACGAAAGTTCGCTACCCGGCTGGGCTGAGGAAGAGATTGGAGCCAAATAATTCCATCTTAATATTTCGAGGGATCCTTTCCTTCCCTCTTCCATTCTTATGGGTGCATCATTTTTAACTATTAACATTTTTACTTGACGCTTTCTCTTCATCATGTTGATTTATTGTTTTGAAACCACCACCCATTGATTCCTTTCTTTGTATTGGTTTGTTCTACAGTATTTCTGTCCTTCCCCTCTATTTTCTGTGCAAATTTCGTTCTCAGCCAACCCATCTTACACCCTTTAATACTTTTTTTATACCATCCTTGTATTGCTAGCTGGGTATGATATTCTTTCTCTTCAGTTCTTCTTTTGGTTGTTTCAGTTTCAATTTCCAGTTGGCTACGGAAGGCGGGTGAGATATCGGCTATACCCTAGACCGGTTAGCTCTGGTCTGTTCTTTGATGTTTATTCTGCTCAGTTGCATATGCGATGTCATTTTGACGGAATTAATCCAGGGCGAACAGCTCCTTTTGCATAGTGGATCACGGACAGGGGTTATATAGTTGCAGAGGTAATAGGTTCGGGACAAGTGATGGCAGTAACCATCAAGGAATATAGCATAAGTGAAGAAATACGAAAAGTAATGATCTACACTTTGTCGCTGTGCTTGCGAGTCTCCCGAGGAGCGCGCATTGTATACTAAGTGTGGTGGAGTAGTAGATGCTGCCTATCCGAATCAAGTAAAGAGTCAACAATCACGCTCACGTGACTGTATACATGCTCCGTCGTGGCACGCTAAGCTCCTTCGGGCCCAACCATGGAACCTGAAGAAATGCTCATGATCATTCCAAGTCGCTCGCTCCTCCACCATCGGTCCTAGGTGTCCTAGGTTAGAGCAGGCAAAGTTCAGAGCCACATAGTTTACCAAAATGGCCCTACCTCCGGAACAGATCAGTATCAAACGCCGTCGAGAAGAGGAACCGGTAGACACTTTATGTAAGAAGCTTCTGCTAGTTGTCGTCACGGCTAATTCTACGGTCCCCCGCCCCTTCGGTTTCTCTGCATAGGGTTGTCTTCTTTATCTATGGGTACAAAGCTAATATGCGAATACAGATATCCAATCTGATTTGCATCAGACAAAACGCCGCTTTACAGACTTCGTTTTCCAACGAGTCCAAGTCAGTGCCAAGGATCTGGGAAGTGAATCTCCCAGTGCTTCACCAGTGTCCGCGGCGCAAAGGTCTATCCTTACTCCGCGTTCAGTGAGCGCCTCTGTATCTCTGACTGCGGGCTCGGTGTCGGCCCGCGCTACAGGAGAGGTTCCTTTGGTGAGAGCCACGTCCCCTGGGGCCGAGCGTCGCGAAGAGAAACGCATCGCGACCGTTCGTAGGGAAGCGGAGGAGAAACTGAAAAAGGCTTTGCATTCTTCGCCTGGTCCGGCGCAGCGGAAAGCTCGTGATGAGAGTGTAGGCCGAGACGTTCTTGGTGATGCTACTGCGGCTGGAGTGTCATCCACATCTAGTGCGCTAGACAGCGCGTCGTCTTCTCCGGGACGCGCGCAGTCGTTGCGACGATTTCAAATCTCCCGATCCAGTACGCCCATGAGCCCCCTTCGGAGTAGCGGAGGAGGGGTGCAGAAACGTAAAGCAGACGGGGTTGCGGTACTCGTGGAGAAGCTTCGACGCAAAAAGCATTCGCGACAGGCGTCCCTGGTAGCCGATGCGGCCGTGCGAGCGGATGATGTCGCTTCTCGTGACAATTCCGATGTGGCTGAGGAACAGCCAATCCCTCCACGGAAGCGACCGGTGGTAAACCAGGCCGAGAGAAAATGGAGGGAAGAGCGTAAGGTGGCGATCTCGGCTGCGAAAAAGCATATCTCGCAGGTATTGGAACAAGGGGCCCAAGCGCGCCATAGCAACTGGGAAGACGAGTCAGAAAAGCTAGCTCGGGATCTTGAGCAAATCGCGTTAGAACTAGAAGGAGACATGGAAATGGAGGTATCGCACACAGATACGAAACACAACGCCCCTCAATCGACGGTTGGACGGACTCATTCGGTGATGCCCAAACCTCCGTTGAAATATCCTCCTCGCACACCCAACAAGCTTCGTGCCGCGGCGTCTGCAGTACGCACGCAAGGGGCCACGGATCCTGGTGGATCCATCACGCCTGCCACACCGGCACCGCTCAATCTACACTCCACTGCAGGGCAGGATGACGACAGTGACGGGGAGTATGTATACGATACGTACATCCGACGTCCTCTGCCGAACGGAGGTCAGCTTACGAACGCACTAGCGGATTTAGAACTAGACCAAGATGAGTGGCTCCGGCAGAAGGGTATCGATACGACTCGTCAGGACATCGGTGTGATCGTCATCTCACCAGAAGATGAAGAATACTGGGAACATTTTGCAGAAGATGACGACGATGAAGACCAGTGGGACAGTGAAGACGGGGACTCCAATGGTGAGCGAGCCAATCACACATAGAAACTAACCTGAGATCTGCCCTCATAAAAGAGAGGGGGAAGGTAATAGCAGACTCTGCTAACAACAACGATAGCCGAGAATAATCCCGCGAATGACTATCCCGACGAGGAACTCTCTTGGGATGACGAAGAGGATGACCCCAAAGCCATCTACAACCGGTATCGGCATAATCACTCCGATGAGGAAGAGTTCGGCTTTGACGATTCCTCCAGTGAGCGCTTCGGGTACGGTTTTGGATACGGACAGAGACAACGGGCGCACGTGGATTCCGATGACGAGAGCTGGTGAGGGTACGACGACGGGTGGCTGCATTGATTATTCTACTGGATCCAGGTGCTTGTCCTGCACAGTACTTTGGAGAAAGAGAGACCAGCAGGGATGGAAGGTAACACATCATCAGTCACCGTTCCCTTGCCTCACCTCCTACACTCACCGCAATTCTGCAGATGCAGTCGAGGGTATATTATGAGACCCGAGTCTGTTTCTGCAGAGTAACCTTCATTCTGCATGCAGACTCCATCGCACAGCATGTGCAGTACAGTACGTATGATTACACACACCCTTGGATATGAGTTAATCCCTGTTCCTTACATGCATAAATACAACGTTGTAAGGGTGCTAGTATGTATGGTCGTACTGTATGTATTTATATACTAAGTACAGGATGAAAAGCAAAATGAAGTGAAGTACATACAGATGACCCTCGAGTCATGCTATCCCATTCTCACCAAAAACAAATCCCGAATCTAAATATGTCAGAGCAAACCTCCGCAGAAAATCCTTTCCTTGAAAGAAAATCAGAATCGCGATAAGATACATACAAAACTCTACGAGAACACAAATATTCGACAACTCACCTACATAAACAGTATAATTAATAATCTACAGGCTCTCATGCCGCTTCATCACGCAGAAGGGAAGGGAAAACAAAATCAAAAATGGGCAAAAAATTTTTTAAAATAAATCAAAGAACGATATGAAGTGAGGGATGATCCTTACCCCTTCCCCTTACAATTTCCCATCCCTATCGGTTCAGCATACCGAACATCATATTCCAATGGAATCCCAGATAGCATTAGCATATCCATGTTATTGATATTTATGCGGGAAGAAGAGCAGGAAGGAGAAGGGACAACAACACCAATGATTTATAGAAAGAAGATAAGTGGAGCTTCCATCCATCACAGATGCATAGAAGGGTGATTTCTCGATTCGGCAGGAGGGGCGACTTGCATGTCTACATGATTCAATTCAATATGTTATCAGTTACCTGGTCCTCTTCAGGCCAAGGCTATTCAACGTATATTAGGTAGGTACTATGCGGCGTGGATACGTCACTGCAGAAGATGGATGTTGTATACATGCAAATGGACCTAGAAAGAAAATATATGTATTTATATACGCCTGTGCAGTTGGTAGGGTTTTGATGACCATTTGGTAGCATGGCGTATTTCCAACTCGATTGATCATCCCCTCTCCAGTGACTATAGATTTTCTCTGTGGACAGGGAATCAAAGCAGGGACAAATAGTCTCCTTGCTCAGTGAAGTAATTGTCTTCTTGAGGGTTGTAAGATGATATCATGTGTTACCTCTAATGAGGCATGTAGGGGTTTCAAACTATCTCGGCTTTGTTTATTTGGCTGCTTGCCTATATGCTTGTAATATGGTAAGAGACCTCTATGTTTCTTTTCTTCTTTCTTTTAATTCTTGCTGGCTATACTACTGGATTAATATTCTGCGTACTTATTGGTGGTGTTTCGTATGTATGTGTGTATGTATGTTTTATGTACTGTATTTGAGTGTGAAAATAGTGTATCGATATTCTTTCTGTATGGTACTGTACGGTACGTTCTGGCTACCAAGTATAGGGAACTATGAGTATTGCAAGTGACTCAATTGAGTAAATTTGGTTGAGAATAGTAATCTCTTCCAGTCCAATACAAGTGACAGTCTCCACGGATTTCATTTCAATCCAAAACAATACAGTGATGATATGATATGCATGCTAAGGTCAGATAGCCTCCCTTTGAGAATCATAAAACAATATATGAGAGAGAAGGAACACAAAAACGTCTCGAAACGACAGCCCAGCCGGTAGAAGAACATGGGGGTAGAAAAAGTGAAGTAAAGTAAGCATATGACGAACTTCAGAGGTATCTTAACGGCCGTAAGGATGGATTTTTCGAGGTAGAAAGAGAATCCATAAAAATCGAGTAATGAGGTAAGTATTTTTAAGAAAAATAAGAACGAAAAGAAAAGGAGAGAGAATTAAAATAGATCAGAGAATTTAGTGCGATATGCGTCGACTTAAAACTTGTTCTTTGGTCTCTCGCATCCACGGATACCATGCTCCCACCCATTCTACGACGCCGAATCGTGGTGCTGCCGAATCAACGAGCCCTGACCCCTCGCGTAGGAACTCGCCATCGCGCATGCGTCTCTGCTCACGCAGTGTTGGGCACTTCTTCTCCTTGATGAATCGGTAGAATTTGCATTGGATTCCCTGGAATCCGCGCCGTTGCCGGCTAGGGAACTGTCGGTTGAAGCTCTCGCGCACCTCCTTCCACTCCTGGCATAGGTCCACGCGGTGATACCAGATGAAGTACATTTCCTCTTCCTCATACTTTGGTCGAGGGGGTCGTCGCCTCTCCGGGGCGTTGCTCGAACTGCTCGAGACCGAATCGTACCGGTCTCGAGAGTACGCACCGGGCGAAGACTCCGTCGACCGCGGTCGATAGGGCAAGAACGCCTGATCTTGCGAAGAGCCAGAACTTTCCCGGTAGGGATGATGGTGATGGTGGTGGCTCTCTGTGTAGGGGTGATAAAAGTAGTGGTGACTAGGACTGGGAGGGTAGATAGGTGAATATTGCGGTCCTGGATGGGCGTAGTGCAACTGAGAAGGAGAGTGGTCGGACTCTGCTGAGGGGTTCAACAGGGAGTCGATAGCCATGCGGCTTTTTCGTGATGATGGCATATAGCTTGACGGGGATTGCGAGTGAAGGGGCTCCATGTTTCCTTCTCTATTTTTCAGTTGGCAAGGTGATTTTGCACCCTTTGTGATCCAACTGCTTGGGTATGGTGATCGACGAGAGTGCAGTAGTAGATTTGAGGACAAGGGAAGCCCTTCGTGTTTGATCAAGGAACAATCCCGATAAAAGTAGGGCGTAAGGAGCCTAGGGCACACTTTTTCACACTGACCAGATGGAAGTGCACTGTGGCCGCGGCAGATAGAGAAGATAGTAGGAAAGGATAATACGCCGAATAAAAAGGGCGGTGATCTTGTTTGGCGACGGGCCAAGAATCTTGTATTCCTCAGCCACTACACCAGGACTTCCAGAAAGAGTGTTGGGCCGAAGGATCACGTAGAAGTCACGGTTAAGCGCTCGAAGGTTGGAAGGAAAAAAAACCTTGGAACAACCAACACCGCACGAGACACCGGGTTGGATTCTTAAATGAGGGCAATGGCCGCCAAGGGTTCCGTTAGTTGTGCTTAACCCATGCAGCGTACCGAATCCTTGGGACACGCCGGCCTGTAAGAGACCCCGAAGATGACTGCGCCCCCTGTCCACTGGGAGACAATCACTGCTACGGCGGGTACACGATGGCTCCGAAGTGAAGTGTAGCGCCTGCGGTAGCAGGGGAGTAATTCAAGATCCTGGTGAAGGAGGAGTAAAGTGTGTTGAGGGGGTACGTCGAAAAAGTAGTAGTGGATTTCCCTTCTCCTAATGCTTGTATGCCTCTTTCAAGTCCTGAACCCTAGTAGTACCACAACAGCAACCCTGCACTGATCTGCTAATAGAAACAAGAAATATATATGAAGGGTGGGGGCACTTCTAAAAAAAATAAATAAATGAGAAGACGATTTAATATCTTGTAATAGAGAAAATGACAAGAAGGAGAGAGAAAAAAAAGAATAAAGATATCAAATCAAATCAAGTGAAGTATAGGTATTTCTCCCGTTTGTTTTATATGCAAGGATGTCGCATAGAGAACGGTTAAAATTCCATAGAAAATTTTGCCACTCTTCTGTTTCTTGTTTCCCTTTAATTCTCTATGATGTTTTCCCACAGAAGAGAAGAAAGGATACTCAGACGTTGAATAGTATGAAGCAAGTGGAGATGTGGAAAGAAAGGGTCACGTTGCCAGACGTGCAGGATGTACGTGCAGAACAACCACCGACTCTTTGGACCGGGTATTTTATGTATTTCTAATTTTTTGAGAACGAATGACTTCAACTTGTAGCCTTGTCCTTTTTCTTTCTCTTTTCTTGCCTTGTCTTATTTTTATTTTTATTTTTTTTTTGGTCCCAGTGGAAGATCCACTTAAAGAAGTAGGTAGGAGGGGAAAGAAGAATAATTCTAGTTCATGCAATATGCAGCAAGGATATATCAGAACCAAAGGGTCTGAAGGAGCCGCAAAAGTCGAAGAAGAGTTGGTATTTTGGTTTGACCCATCAGGGATGACAAAAAGATGGTCATTAAAGTGGAGGGTCGAGCAGGCCATAGTCAGTTCAAAGTCAATGGGACCCGATTTTTGCCTTCCGGTCGAATGACTTTCATCCCAATGACACAACGGTCACGATGTAGTTTTTGGCCACGCTGGGATCACCCAGAAAGGGGTCCAAAAGATGTGATATGAAAAAAACCATGGAAACAAAATGAAATTATTGATCACTAACAAGGCAAAGACAAAGAACCTGGTCCCTGGGGTACCTCAATTAGGAAATGCCGTTCGACTGTAGTTCTTTGGAACCCGTAAGGGATTAAAAAAAAAAGGTACCAAGATGAAAGAAAGGGATTCAAGTCTCGGAATTACAAAGTATTACTGAAAGATGCAAGTCAAAGATCTAGGCACTGCTATACAGTTGATAATACAAAAGTAGCCTAGAAATATACTGGAATATCTCTCTTTTTTAAAAATAAAAAATAAAAATAAAATCGGGGTATTTATTTGTATACATGAAGAAGTGCTATTGGACGAATGGTTATCCAGTAGGGAAACGTTTTTCCTTCCATAAAGTAATACTACTAGGTACGGTACTAGTAATACTCCGCACTCAGTCGGGATACATATCTAAGTAACTTCCGATGGGTATGGGCCCAAATATGAAATGAAAGGAATGATTTCTTAGTGTACATAAGATACAAAAGATTTCATTTGCCTCTAGACGCACGTAATAATAAATCTACAGTGGATGCGCTCCATCAAGAGAGAGAATCATTTCACATTTGGGAAAGAGACTAGAGAGAGAAATAAATAAAAAGATAAAAGAATATATAAAAGTATTTTCACTATAAAAAATTCAAAAAAATTTTTTTTTTAATTTGAATGTAATACACGATATGCTGCAGCCCTGCCACTGCATAAGAAGGCTTCGGTTTCCCGGAGCTGATAGGCCCTTGCGGGTAGACCGAAACGAAGCATTGCAGGGTTCAATTCAGTTCGGCCGCTGGCGGGAACATCAGACGACGCCCCTGCTCAAAGACGAGCTGTGGAGCTGTGGGATGTTAGTCCGATGTCCGCTCCGACACCTAAATTAAATCATTATCTCGCCTGGAGGTTCGGGGGTCTCGACCTTGGGTACGGAGTGCAAGAGGCGAGATATGCTCGTACGTCAGTGACTCGGTATTCGAATCATTTTAACAGCCAATTTAAATTTATCAAAGAAACAAAGCCAATTAGTAGAGTTTGACCTTGACTGTGAAGAGCACGCCATCTATCATCAAGTCGGTGGGATCTAAGGCACGGTCAAACGTCGGACCCGCTGACAACGATGAAGACACCACACACACAACATCCCTCTTCCCTTCAACACACCTCCAAAATCCCACTTTCATTTCCACCGGCTTGACCCAATCCAACCCAATCCCATTACTCTCCATCGGAGAAAGGATCACTGCAGGAGTACTACGCCGCACAGGCTAACGCTGCTCTACTACCTACTAAGTCGGTAAGTAGACAGGCTGGAAAAACGGAATGGAAGAGGGGGGGAAAGGGACAACCAACAGAACTAACCATAGAATTCGCGTCTATTGGACGTGGAAGAGTAAGTCAGCGACACCAAACCTACAGTGGCTTAATCAGTGAACCGTGGTACTGGAACCAACTCACGAATGGGAGTGAGGCTCTAAGGCTGTCTAGCTCTTAAATGGTCTCAGACTTACACAGGGCTTTTTCTTCTGCTGAAGGATAGACGTGACAGCCAAACGGGAGACACGATGCGCTAGTGGGTCTCTCTTAGCATAGAACTGGGGCATGGGGGTGGCTAGCTTCCATTGGATTTTCCATTGGCTATCGTGGTCTTTATTTGCAACTGTTATTATAATAATAATAATTATTATTTTGGCGTTTTCCCACTGTCCCCTCTTTCCTAAAATTACATTTTCCTATTTGGTCACCAACCCACTTCCCTACACCTACAGGAGAGTATGTACGAGACAAGAGTATTCATCACAGCACCCAGTCCAGATAGTATTCTGCAGAATCTGCCAACGCATCTTTGCATTGGTGAGACGATCACCTTCCTAGGGCGTTTCTCTTTTCTCTCTTATTCTTAATCTGCAGGGTATTGCGTTGTAATTTCCACTACCTCCTGAACGGGGAATCTCCATGGTATCTAGCCGGCCCTAATTTTTATTATCTATTTTATTATTATTATTTTATTTTTATTTTTATTATTATTTTTATTTCATTTTTTACCTCAGGTCTCTCCAACTCATGAGTAAATCCTGTGGACATCTCTAAACAATAATCCTCTCTACGTCCCCGTTTGAAATCTTTTGAACAAATACTACTGGAAATGGGCTGACAGCCCCCAAACCCATGTGCCCCTCGAGTCTTCCTTTCGTTTAAGGTAGTCGAAACAACCAATGTACGGTTGATCTGGAGTCATTTGTCAGTGCAAAAGTCAAGCAGGATGAATCGTCAGGCCACTAGCGCTATGGACTGAACCTGTCAAAGAAAGCAGAGTAAATCCTGATGGAGTCGGTTGGTTGGGGCTAAACTGGCGTTGGATCCATCATAGCGAACAGTGGATGTACTCTTAGGGCAGATTAACAGCCGAAAAAGCATCGGGTCTCGGCGGCGAAGATCCGGAGGATGACTCTGGAGCAGAAGGAATGGGTACGTACATACGTTCATACATACATATCATAGTCGGTAATTTGGCTGCCCTTTTCACATGACAGGTATTGAAAAGGCTTGCAGGAAATGTATATACATATGTACTATACATACGCAGGCTGGCTTTCCTTCTACTCTGTAGATTTATTGTACGATCATTCTGCATCTCTCCTACAACTTACTACATTGTGCCATGCTGTACACTGACCAGAGATTAGGCATGGAGGCAACTATGGAGCACCTCGTATAGGTATATAGCCAAGTGTCCTGCAAGGAAAGCCAGTCGATACACGGACGAGACAAAGCGGATTCCTCACCCCACACCAGCCGAGTCCTCATTATATTGTAAAAAATTTTAAATGAAGAAACCCTGGAAGAAAAAGATTTTTCGGTGACTATACACATGCGCGCACACAACTTGTAAAATTAGTTAAATAAAAAAGACAGTTGGAAAATTGTGATTAACACAACATTGTGTGGCATTTGTCACACTGATACCTCCAATCCTGATGAAAGGGAAACCAACTATACTCTCCTACAAGAACCAACAGTTGATTATACCTCTTGCCATCATGATTAAGTAGTCTCTCCAGTGTTAATATCTTTTAAAGTTACGGAGTACTTCAGAGTATGATGATTGGGTCATATCCAGGAAGGGGAGAGGGGAAAGGACGTCAGCTGTTTTTCTATTGATCTTTGGGCTGCATCGTCTGTCATCTGCAACACCACTTTTTTTTCCCTCATCTTGGCATGATGACGACAATCTAAACTGTGTTTTCAATGTGAGACGGCAAATCTTCATATTCAAGAATAGCTATCGGGCTTTGGTTCAGCATACGAGAAAGAGAGGATACTATGTATTAACCTCGGCCAGAGTTACTCTTTGGG